CGAGGGACAGCTTCATCCAAGGTTCCTTTTACAGACAAGACCCGTGGAAAGCTGGAAGATGTCACCCGCAGAATGGACTCGGCGGCACGCATGGGTATGCGTGCGACGTCCTTTCTTCTTCTCCTGTCAGAGTACCTGGCACTGGGATATGAAGAAGATTCGGTGATACCAGCCGACATGATGGTGGCTGCTCTCCATTGCCTCGATCGCGGCCTGTGCTCCACTCTCGACCAGTTTGCTAGAGTGTCGACCTTAGCAACATCGTCACGCCGCGCCAATGTGCTAGATGCGCTTTTCCTCCCTTCACCGGGAGCACGAAAGCGTCTCGACGATCTCCCGCTCTCAGGCCCGGACTTATTTTCTGGTAAGTTCCAGGAGGCCATGGAGGCCGAAGCATAGCGCCTCAAGGCCACGGAGAAAATAAATCTCAAGAAACCGGTCGAGCCGAAAACCGCGGACAAGAAGAAACAGCCATCTTTTGTCATTCCCCGGCGCCGCCCCCCGGTCAGAGCGGCCCGTGGTGGATTTCGTGGGCGCGCCGATAAGGCGGTCGGCCCGCGCTATTCACAACCACATATCGGACAACAGCGTCCCCAGTCGGGACGCGGTTTCCGTGCGCCCACTCCCCGGTACACCGGGGCGTGGCGCAAGTGACTTATGCGTCTCCAGGCGGCCTCCCACCGCTGGACCCGTGGGAGGCCGCCTTCAGGAGTTCGTGGGGTCCTGGGTGCAGGTGACTTCCGACCGGTGGGTCCTCGAAACAATCAGCAGCGGTTACGCGCTCGAGTTTACGAGGACCCCCCCGTCGGACATGCTAATTCGGACAACGCCCGTACCGCCCGACACAGCAAAACGCCGCTCCCTCGAGGAGGAGATCGACGCCCTCCTTCTGAAGAGAGCAGTTTGTGTTGTCCCCCAAGGGGGGACCCGGGCAGGTTTCATGTCAACCTTCTTCTTGGCCCCCAAGAAGGAAACCGGCGTGTGGCGTCCAATACTGAACTTAAAACCCCTCAACAAGTTCATACGTCCGAAACGTTTCCGCATGGAAACGTTACGGACCATTCTTGCATCGATCATGACACCAGCGTGGGCGGCCAGTATAGACTTGAAAGACGCGTACTTTCACGTACCGATCAGGCCGGAACATCGCAAATTCCTACGTTTCCAATACAAAAATACACTGTACGAATTTGTGGTGCTCCCGTTCGGGCTATCCACTTCTCCGCGGGTGTTCACCCGGATCGTGAAGACGATCGGGGCGGCACTGCGGCGTCGAGGGGTCATGATATTCATGTACCTCGACGATTGGCTAGTAGTGGGCCGTTCTCGAGGGGAGACGGAAGCGGCGCTCCAACTAACGTGGCAACTTGCTTCCGACCTGGGATTTCTCATCAACACCAAGAAATCCCATCCAGTCCCCTCTCAGGTTCCCACCTTTCTGGGTGCATCCCTCGATCTTCGCAGGGGACTGGCCCGGCCATCGGAGGACCGCCTGCTGAACCTTCGGCAGTGCGTGTCCCTCTTCCTCCCGACGGTAGTGGCTCCGGCCCGAGCCTGGCTCAGGCTGTTGGGCCTTATGGCCAGTCTGGTGGACTTGGTGGATTTTTGCAGGCTGAGGATGAGGCCAATTCAACTTCACCTGCTGTCTTTCTACAGACCCCGCTGGCACCCGATCGACCATCCGGTGCCCACTACGTCTTGGCTAGTCCCCCACCTTCGTTGGTGGCTAGTCGAGGCCAATATAACGCAGGGCCGTGTTTTCCGCCCGCCCCGCCCGTCGGTACTTATCACAACCGACGCCTCAGGGTACGGCTGGGGGGCTACCCTCCACCCGCGACAGATCGCGGGCGTATGGGGCCCCGCACATCAGTCATCTCACATCAACGTCCTGGAAATGCTGGCAGTCACCAACGCACTAAAACATTTCCAGTCGGACGTCAGAGGGCAAGCAGTCCTGGTCCGATGCGACAACGCCACAGTGGTGGCATACATCAATCACCAGGGTGGCACTCGGTCAGGCCATCTGTGTGCACTAACGTGGGATCTCACCCTCTGGTGCATACATCACGGGATAGCCCTGTCGGCAGTCCACATCCCGGGGGAAGAGAACGTCACGGCCGACGCTCTCTCCAGAGGCTGGATCGCCCCGACAGAGTGGTCACTGCTCCCACAGGTGGCTCAGTCGATCTTCAGACTAATCGACCGGCCGCATGTGGACCTATTCGCGTCGCGAATGAACAATCAACTACCGATCTACTGCGCGAGGGGCCCAGATCCCAACGCGTGGCAGACCGATGCACTGTCGGTGCGGTGGGACGGCCTACTGGCCTATGCCTTCCCACCCATCTCCCTCGTTTCTCGAGTGCTGACCAAGATCGAGCAGGAGGATTGCCGAATTCTCCTCATAGCCCCGTTCTGGCCCCGCCAGCCGTGGTTTCCCCGGCTCGTCCGACTCTTGGTTCACCGCCCGGTAATTCTACCGAAGAGGGCCGATCTTCTTTATCAGCCCAGCTCGGGAATCAATCACCGGGCTCCGGGGGATCTTCACCTGACGTGCTGGGTATTGTCACGCGATCCCTCTGCTCAGCAGGCCTTTCGCGACGAGCTGCAACAATTGCAGCCCAGTCCCGTAGAGCCTCAACCAGAAAGGTGTACGATAGCCGACTACGCCATTTCTTTAAATGGTGTAGACGACAATCCATTCATCCCCCCAATACTTCTGTAGGGGAAGTGGGGGATTTCCTCCTATACCTTTTTGACAGTGGGCTCACGACGGCCACAGTTAAAAATTATCGATCGGCCGTTGCCGCGATCCATCAGGGATTTTCGGACGGTTCCTCCGTTTCCGACAACCCTGCAATTAGCCAACTGATCAAGGGGATGTTTAATACTCGTCCCCCAGTACGCACATTAATCCCATCTTGGGACCTCTTCGGTGTATTATCTACACTGGCGAAGGCTCCCTTTGAACCAATGAATTGCTCAACTTTGTTACAGCTCTCCATCAAAGTAGCTTTTCTATTGGCTGTTGCTACGTCCCGACGACGTAGCGAACTACACTCGTTATCGATACAGACAGGACACATCCGGTGGGAACCGGGGGGTGTCCGCCTGATCCCTACGGCCGGTTTTCTCGCAAAGAACCAGTCGGAGACCTTTATGCCCCCGGACATCTTTGTCCCGGACATCAAGTCTTTTTCGAACGAGGCAAACGACAAACTTTGGTGCCCAGTTCGAGCACTTAAGTGGTATGTCAACCGTACGAAGTCACTTCGTACGGGACACGAAAAATTGTTCATCACGACGACCCCGCCCCATGGGCCGGCGTCCCGCGATACAATCACTCGCTGGATCGTGACGGCTATCCGGTCCGTACCGGGCGGCTGGCCAGCGACCCAGGGACCCATTCGAGCGCATGAGGTCAGGGGAGTGTCCACCTCGTGGGCCTTTTTTAAGGGTGTCCCCCTAGGGGACATCGTCAAGGCAGCCTGCTGGAAGAACCCTAACACGTTCTCCGAATGCTACCTGAAGGATGTCCTCCAGGCAGATGGCAAGGCTGGAAGAGAAGTGCTGCTAGCGGCCAGTCGAGCCTCACAGAAGCACTAACGGGTGAGCATATAAATATACATATATATATTGGTATGGGCATTAAGTTTACTTAGGTGTATCTATCATGTGTTCATTCCCATAATGGTTACACCCCCCTGACTTTTTGCGCACGAGCTCTTTGGGTTCCCCTGACGAGGTGAAACCTAGAGCGTCTGGGATGTAGGTTTTTGGTTTGGTGTTGTTTGCCTTTGGACACGCCTCATGTCCTACACCCCTGTAGACATACGGTAATTTGCGTATACCCACCGCCTTACTCGGTGCGAGTCTATGCATATGTAGTATTCGCTCTACAGGTAAGTAGAGTGATGTAGACTCCCCCCCACAGAAGTGTGGTTGGGGTCTACGAGCGAATACTTACCTGTAGAGCACCCCTCCCTCCTTCCCCACTATACTTGATTCCTTGAGTGCTTACGCAAGTAACACTTGAGAAAAAGAGGACGCTAACGTGGTGCGCATGTCACAGGGCGTCGTGGGTAGGACACGTGAGGGCGCTATTGTATGTAAAACTCTTAGCAAATTGCCTGCCGGCATAGGGAACAATGCATATGTAGTATTCGCTCTACAGGTAAGTATTCGCTCGTAGACCCCAACCACACTTCTGTGGGGGGGATTTAAAGCTGATTTCAGCTTTTTTGTGTGTTGAATTTCAGCTTTTTTCAGCTTTTTCCTTCACTTGCTGTGTACAAAAGTATAGGAGATTTCCTAAGTTCAACTTTTTTACACTTTTTTCCAACTGTTTTCAGCTATTTTTATCAGTCAGTGGTCACTCACACCCCTGGGAAAGGAAACCAACCTAATGTCTTACCGTTCCCGAGAAAAGACGAAAATCCCTGGTTGTTTACATTGTACGCGACAGACATATTGCGGCATAATCATACGTATTTTCAAGCCATCTCTATTCAGTGAACTGTACACGTTATGTGTGTGTGTGTGTGTCACTTAATACACACATTACCAATACACAAATGGTGTGTTCTTACACGTCCGTAGAATGTGAATTAATCACTGTGCTGCTGGATTCACAACTAGCCTCAACAGCTTCAATTTTTTTGGGGACTTACTGGGCCAGGATAGGTCTCTCGCAAAGACGGCCATCTCTGTAGGAGAACTGCAACTGTGTATTTTACGTAAGCAAGTATGCATTGGGCAGTGTTGAAATGTTCCAAACACGCGGGCTTGTTGCTCGAAATACGACGCAGCCGATGCATGTTATGCAAGTTGACGCTCAAAATGCCGATGCACGTGGCTAGTCTGTAGGAAATGACGTCATTTGAAAGAGAGACCTACTGGTCTTTTAACGGCCCCAATGTCTTTTCCACTGTGCAAAGCTTCAAGTGATATGTATTTATAAATGAAATTATATTTTTCGTTTCACTTTTTTTTCTCAACAGGCCAAAGAAACTGACATTGAAGGGCTACAAGCGAGGCTACTTCGTCTTCAGAGACACCCATCTGACGCAGTACAAGGCACAAGAAGATAACCACGGAGCGCCCGTACAAACACTCAACCTCAATGGTATTACAATTTTAAAAAGTTTCTCAGGGGTGTGATTTTTCCATATTTTCCTGGATTTCCGGATTTTTAGTCTAACGTCTGCGGAATTTTATGCGGATTCCGGATTTCCAACGTTTTCCGTTTCCGTAATATCGCCCAAAAACTTCTGGTGAAATATAGGCCCTAATTTATGATAATGGATGGACTGGTGACACAAGTCTAATAAGCAGTGCGGTGAAGAACCTGATAAACATCAATGCAGTGTGCACAGTGGAGTACTTGAGGACCAGACTAAAAATAATTTTCTGAAACTTTCTGAAACTGATTATTGATGAAACATCATCCATGTTCAAATGTGAGTGTGAAGGAAATTTGATTGTACAAAACACTCTCATCAAAATTTGCCAGTTTTAAAATGCGTTCAACTTTTTAAATTCTGCACAGCAAATTGTTGCTGTGACAAGACAAATTCTTGTTTGTATTGCCATTTGCTCTGACTATGAACTAGTCCTTTAAAGACTCTTTTTTTTACAACCAGAGATATCAATCCTTTTAAAATAATACTTAGGCGAATTTGAATGTGGTTTGAAAACAGAAGGCTTTCTAAAGCCTTGTTCAACTTCCTTTCTTTTCCATCGTACTCCTTAAGAATGTCATGCCTCTGTGTTTTTAAAAAAAGTGAGCTAAGCTATGCATGCCATCACATGATGGAAAATCCACTCTGTCACTACCTCTTTTTGTTCGGCTTAAATACACTGTCAAGAGACTAATAGACTTGTAATGGAGGTTAAAGTCGCCAATTAGCTTTTGAGTTGCTTGTCAAAGGGCTTATGTTGAACAACATCTCTGGGGGAATTTCCAATTCCACAAGTTAAACGAAAAACCCCTCAGAAGTTTTAGGTAGACACAGCTAGCTACATGTGGAATGCTAAGTCTTAGAAGAAAGCTGTTCACTAGAAAAAAAAATTGAAGCAGATGTAGAAGAATCAAGCTCAGAAAATGAAACTAGTGGTGGGAGATATCAGAGATTTCAAAATCCGGTTATTCTAATTTTTACAAACCGAATAACGGCTATCTGATTTCACCAGAAGTTTCCATTCAGCTAACATTCATGCCAAAAAAAGTGACAAGTGATTTAATGGGTGGGAACTCTCTGACCAGTCAAATTGACAGGCTATTCATGAATCAAGAAGACCACTAGCGAGTGAATGCGGTCACAATCAGAGACCATGGAGTAAATTGTGGGAAGTTCCAGTTATTTCTTTAGCCTGTGTCATAAAAACTGGAAGTCTTTGAGTTTGTTTAAAGAGGTTGTGGAATGCTCCAAGACATTTTTCAGGTATATGTAGCCTAAGGTGTGATGAAATAAAAACAACTATTGTTTCTGTCATGAAGTGAATACAAAAGGTACTTTTGAGAGCTGTTTTTCAGGTCCTGTTTCGAGCCGAACGTGCAATTTGTGTAAAAGTCGTCGTTGGGGGCAGCAAACAAAACATAGTAAATCTTGACGTAATAAACAGGACTGCCTATGCAGCGTAGTATAAACGAGTCCTGTTTATTACGTCACGATTTACTATCACACCTTAGGCTACATATACCCGAAAAATGACGGAAATGTCTTTGAGCATTCCACAACCTCTTTAAGGTTAGTTTCGAATATGCAGAATCCAAATTGAATTGTGGAATCCAAACCAAATGTTGAAAAAGTATTTTTGATGCATTTCTGCAGTTTGCATAGAGACAGTCTCGTTTATCTGATGGTCATGGTGATATTTATTGATGTATCAATTCCATCTTGCCCGGGGCAGGTTGCGAGGTGTCACATGAAGTCAGCATACCCAACGACAGATACGGCATCAAGCTGCTGATCAAGGCACCCGAGGGGCCCATGGAACTGTGGCTGCGATGTGAATCGGTGAGTAAGATAGACAGACAGATAGACAAGTAGACAGACAAACGCTCATAGAAACAGAGAAATGAATCATCATATTGACACACACAATGGTTCTTTGGCAGCGCCTGAATTACTTGGCTACGGCTGGCTAAAACACACACTTCTATGGGAAGTGGCTGCAGCCGTTTCCATAGGTGTAGTGTAATTACAAGGCGTAGCCAAGTAATTTGGCTGAAGCCTGATACTCAGATCGGTGCTTGTTTGCCCAAATCCTTTCTGTATGCATATTATGTGACTTTTCAAGTACTCAAATTTTGTTCAAGACACTTGTATCCTTTTGTTGTAAGCCCTTTAATTGAATCGTGTCATTGGAGTTTCGAAAGTGTCATCTTTATAAAAGTGTTGTTAAAAACGGACGGTTGAAATTTCTGGCTCTATATGAGTTCAAGTCCAAAATAAAATGTACTCAAGAATGAGTACAAATTGACAAAAAATATTACCAATGCAAAAGTGAAATTAATGGTTTGAATGCTATTTTTGCTTTTTCAGGAGGAGCAATATGCTAAGTGGATGGCAGCTTGCCGGCTAGCCTCTAAAAACAAGACAATGGCCGACAGCAGCTACCAAGCAGAGGTATACATTTAACAATTGTGGACTGCTGTGGTATGGGATATGACGTTTTGAACACCCAAGGGGCGCATAGCACCCAGAGGCGATGCTATATGCCCAGAGGGGGTTAAAAATTGTTATATCGTGCCAATAAGTAAAAAGATAGATGGTTGTAACTTACCGTGTGAGAAATACATTAACTCACTGCGATGAAACCTTTGATAACTGAAGGTTTTGATGTCCTGCCGGACATGAGACTGAGCATTTGACGTTGCAGTTCTCATTGCGCGAAGCTAGTGCGTCAGCAGGTTCCACACGCACGTGAAACGCGCACGTAAATTTGGCACGTGTGACATGCATTTTTATTGTCCAGACACGTGGCATTGTAGACCAATGAAATGACATATCCAAGTACACGATATAACTATGTTTTTAATTTTGGGGGGGGGGGGAATACAAATGTGAACAAAGGTAACATGAGACACGAAATTTGAATGAGCTAAACATACAAAAATGGCGCACTGCTGTTCAGAATTAGATGAGCCACAAACATTGGCACGAGACTTACTCGCCCATTCACCCCCAAAGCACACCTGATCGCGTACTCTTTGTTCCAAGACTGGAACTTGGTTTTCGTTTCCCCAATTTTTTTTAGTCAGTCCTGATCTTTGGCAGGCGTTGTCAGGCTGCTAAGGTGGTAGAGGGAATTATCAACAAGATGAATCCAATCCAATGTTGGGAACTTAGGCATCCGTCTTAAAAAATTCCGAGCATACCTCAAGAACCCTGTATTTAAGCTGATGTGCACACTTGATGTATGCTCGGAATCTGTCTGGTCCATTTGCCAAAGTTTCCAAGATTTGATTTGACCCATCTGCTTGACTGCATTCCTAGAGGGACCTGCTGCATTCGGGCACCAAAATCCAAATCCAGTTTTGGGCCCAAACTACAGATGTTTTAATTATTATATTCATTATTATTTGAAACCAAATGAAACCAAGGATTCCTCAAAAGAAACTAAGGATTCCTCAAAAGCGCCCTAGGCACTGTAGCTCGCAAGCCTGAAGAAACCTGTAGAGAGGAGACAATGAGAAGAAATTACAGTTTTAGAGGTGGGAGGAAAAGCCCAGAAGAATATTCTGGGGAAAACCCACAAAATCAGGCAGGGACTGAAAACCCAATCCACATGTGGACCAGGGCAGGAATCGAACCTTGGCCATAGAGGTGGAAGGCGAGGAAAGCACCACTGCACCAACCTGACCCCCCTTTACTACTTCCTTTTTCCTGAAGGTCCAAGGCATCCAGGCTTTCCTGGGCATGCAGCGCAGCAAGAAGACGTCCAATCCTTCCATCAACACAGAGAACGTGGACATACAAGTGGAGGACTACGTGTCACCTAGGTTCCTCAAGAAACACAAACCCAAGCAGGTTAGTAGCCGGTGTGCTATAATATTCGACCCTATGGGATTTGTTTTCCTTGTCCATGCTGCACATGCTCAGTGAATAGGCATGGGTGCGGATGAGGGAGGGTTTCCATATTTTTTACCAAGACCGAATTCCATGTGACAGTAACTGAAAAAGCTCTCTAGAAGCTCTGTAATGTCTTCGAAATTAATTTTCCTTATGGAGTGATGGTTGATTCCTAGAACATTTTTTAGGACGTTTTGTTATGAAATTAAAATTGGGCAGAAAAATGTCAATGTATGGAAATATTTGGCCTGTAGGGTATGGCAAACTGTTTCTTTTTCTCAACAAGCCATGACTGTTTGTTTATTTCAATAAAATCAGTTCCTTACATTTTTCAACCTTTTTATTTTTACTTGTACTTGTATTTTTTTTTGGATTGAACTCTTATAAGCCCAGTTCATACTGAATACAAATTTTAGAACAAACCAAATTCATTAAGGTTATGGTAAACATCTTATGATGAAACTTCACTTTTGCTTGTTTATAACTTACATGTACATGTATGGACACTGCTTTTAACTACTATACTACATATTTTTGGCTTGCGGAAATATTCCCTTTCCTGATAAAAAAAGCTGCTGCAGGATAAAGGTTTTGGGTGGAGCTAATCTTTCAGTACATTTCTTGGATTTGCTATGAGTTTCACAACGTATCATATTTTAGCCCAGAACTTCTTGTAGCACAGGGTAGAAAGGGAAAAATAAGATTGCAAAGAATGTCCTGGAACTATTATGTCGCAATTGACCTGAAAGCCAGCCAAGTTGGTCTTTGTAAATTTCCTTTTCTCTGGCAAATAACATATGTTTTTGACATCACTTGTTGCACAATTGCCTCGTGATCATGCTTTGATTTATGTCCAATTTAAGTATGGCCCGATCAGTTGCACATTATAATAACATGTTTACAATGCTAATGTGTTTGCATGCCAAGTGTGCATAGCAGACTTCTTCTAAGCCATGTTGACGGCGTAGCTACATTCTTTAAACTTTGGAAATTCATACTCAAATATTTGATATCAAGTGTTGTTTTGACTACAAGGTATTTATGTAGGAATTGTTTCTATTTGGAGAAAAATATTTGTAATATCTTAGCAAAGCATATTGAGATCAGATGTTGTGATCAAAAGCACACTTTGTGTAAATTATAAGATTAGTCTTCATAAACAGGTCATATATACTGGTTCCATACGGACTAAATATCTCTATCTTTTGGTATCTAAAGCTCTAGAATTTAGTATGTATTTTTTTAGAATTATTTTTTTAGAAAATTAATTCTACACGTCATCAATAACATTTTTGATATCAATTTCATGAAGTAACAATCAAAACTGTATCGGTTTTCATATCCTGCTGATAATTATTTTAAAAAAGAAAAAGATAAAGAAAACCAAACCAAAAACAACCCCTGATTATTTATGAGCATCTCATAATCTTAAAGGATTACAAATATATTCTTCATCAAGGAACTTCTCTGTTTATGTGGAAAGATAGTTTGACTTAAACTAAATTGAGCCGACATGTTCCCTCCCGATAAAGGTCAGCAGTAAAAATACATATATATCAGTTTCATGTATAGGAAATACACGACACTAGTTGTGAACGAAGATAAGTGTTTAGCAGGAAGTTATCGGGGACTCATTTCCTTTGTTTTACACACATTATGAAAACACCAAATTTGGATAAACCTTTATTTTGTGGGTGAGCTTTTCCTGTTTGTGAAATGTTGTTTTTTTGGTTGGGCTCAGAATTCATAGTTAGTGCAATATTCTGTTTGTACCATGGGCTCAGTTAAAATAGAAAAGAATACTTTCCACTTTTTCTAAACCTTATCTAAACAGTTTACTAATAACCTACTAATTTATCTCGACATTTAGGTCTTAAGAGTTTTCTAGATCTACTGTTTATTCCACATGAAATATTTTCAACCTTAAAAAGATTCCCACACAAAGAGAAAAGGTACAACCTTAAATATATTTGATCGAATTTATAATTTTTGTTTACAAAATTGGATGTTGTGGTAACATGATGCCATCTTTCAGCAAACTGTTGTCTTCTGTACAGCATGTATATCTGTTGAAGTATTAGTGTTGACATAATCTGTTTGATGTGGGCAAAATAACATGCAGAACATCCTTAACCCTAACCTTCCCAAATCCTCCCAAATCCTCTTTGCAAAAGGGAAGATTATGGAGGATTGAGGCTATATAGCAAAAATGTGGCTGATTTTGGAGGATGCACTGTGTCAAGGTCTTGGGCCGGACCTTGTGTTCTTTGTACTCAGCCGTGCAGTTTAGGCCTAGATTATACTTGAAATCTCCGCACTGGTTCAGGATGTCACTGGCTCTGCCTCAACATATTGACAGCAATTGCTGGAGGATTTTGCAGGATTGAGGTTGTGGTCACCCCTCCAATGACCACATTCAAGAAATAAAGGAGGATGTTGCAGGATTAAGGCTGTATGCAATTTTTACATGGAGGCAGTTGAAGGATTTTGCAGGATTGAGGCTGCATCCTAGCACAAATGCCTATGGAGTTAGGGTTAATGTATGGGTTGCATGTGGGTTGCCTGTATGACATAACAGGTGACAGGTATTTAAAGGCACAGAGGAACATTTGCAATTGCCCGAAAATGTACCTATCGATAAAATCCTTGCTCAAAGTGAAGATAGGACTAGTACCAAATACCCTGTGAAATTATTCCACCTGAAATGGTATCATTCGGAAATATACAATCATTGAAGGTGGTTCAAGAAAGTGTGCCTGCAGGCACACTTTTTTACGTGCGTTAGTAATGAAATCCAGTTACAACGTCCCAAAAATTGTGCATATGTTTTCCCCGTATTCTCCAAATGTATACTTCCACTGAACTGAAACTTCAACAAGTTAGTTGTTATGCACTTGAGATTTGTTTTGTTGCTTCGAACCAAAAAAAAAGATGCACAAAAATTAAATGTTCCCATATACCTTTAACGAGTATAGATTTGTTCGTTCCTAGGATTAATAAAATGTTTATCATCTTGCTGCAGGTTGCTGCTCGCATTCTCGATGCCCACACCAGCGTCAAAAACATGAAGTTGATGGAAGCCAAGTATAATTACATCAAGGCCTGGCAGGCGCTACCGGAATACGGCGTCACTTACTTTGTGGTCAAGTTTAGGAACAGCAGCAAGAAAGAGGTCAGTATTGTGCTCTGGACTGAAGCTTGACATCGGAGTTTTGTAGATCCCATGCGCTGCAGCCAACTTTGAATGACAAATCTGCTGAATGCAAAAGGGCTGTTCCACATGATTTGTTTTTCCCACCAGCTGACAAAACTTACACTTAGACCCTCACCACCTCATCCTATTCAGCTTAACAGAGATTCTCACCATAAACCAGAAACATTTTGAAATCTCTTCGTTCCAGAAACAAAAATGGGTGAAATTTGCACATTAGATCCCATTCATTGACTTGTCTGAAATTCAATAACAACAGACCTTTTTTTCTTCCAAAATGAAGAGATTTCGGATATTTTAGGTTCTTAGTGACTTTGTAGTCAAATAACAATAGACTAAACATGGGTTTGTGTTGATATTTTGGTGTTGAACAAGGTTTACTGTATAGTGCAGCTGTGTTTTTTGGGGTGTATGGTAGGGTATTAAAGGTGTGTTACAAAAGGTCAGGTGAGTAGGTGCTGTAATGTTGTGTCTTGATTTATTTATTTTTTGGGGGTTAATTTTCGAAGAGTTGCTGATGTACATGTGGTTGAAGCTAAAGGGCTGCAACTTCTCCAGCTTGAAGGAATGTGCAGGTATTCGTGTTGAACTTGTAGTCAAATCCGTCACCGGGCCCCACAGCCCCACAAGTCTATCACAAGTCAGCCAGTCCTAAGTCTTGTTAAACGCTGTTCGAATGAAATCTGACAAAGACAATGCATTGTTATTGTTCGTCCCCTGTACTTCCTGTTGCTAGTGACTGGACATGTGACTGGTGATTCCAGACAGATGGTCTTGACTACAAGGTGGTTGGGGGGGGGGGGGGGGAGTGGTGGCCTAGTGGTTAGGGTTTGTGACTCTTGATCAGAGGGTTGGGGGTTCAAATCCAGCTGCTGGTCATATGTTGTGTCCTTGGGCAAGCCACTTCACCCCCACTTGCCCCTCTCCACCCAGGAGTATAAATGGGTACCGGCATTAGCTGGGGAGTAACTTGCGATGGACTAGCATCCCATCCAGGGGGAATAGAAATATTCTCAGTCGTTTCGTGCTACTGAAACGGGAGATAAACGCCGGCCTGATGAGCCACATTGGCTCGCGACAGACTGTACTTTTACTTTACTTTCAGGCAAGTCCTTACTTTGATCACAAATAAGTGGCTGTATTGTTTTTTCAAAATTTCAACAGGAGCTGATCGGCATAGCCTACAACCGGCTGATCAAGATGGACATCAACAGCGGCGACTCACAGAAGATGTGGCGCTACAGCACCATGAAGACCTGGCACGTCAACTGGGAAGTCAAGGAAGTCTTAGTCCAAATGGAAGACGAGAACATCCAGTTCTCCTGCTCCTCGGCTGACTGCAAAGTCGTCCACGAGTTCATCGGTGGATACATCTTCCTCTCCATGCGATCGCTGGACGCTAACCAGACCTTGAACAAGGAGATGTTTCACAAGCTTACCGGCGGATGGGTTTGAAGATTTCCATCACCGCGATCGCTACTTTGTATAAAACTTTCATCCGTATCATCAGCTTCTACATTTCTCGGGGATGGAGAATTTTTTTTTTTTGCAATTGACGTAAACACACTGCACTGCTATCTTAAGTGGACACATTTTTTAACATTGCCTTGATGCGAGTTAATTTTTTTAATTCGCAAACCAGTGAATTAGTTTGGAGATTTGGTTTGTAAAATGGAGGATAAATGCATTGGCAGGAAATAGTGCTGCGCGAACCATGGTTTTGGTCTTTAAAAGTGACTTGGTTGTGAACTCCATGGAACAAGTGCGACATCGGACATGGGAGGCGTCGACCGTGAAGATTTACAAAACCTTGGAAACGTTGGCATAGTGAAGAAGCAAATGAACCGAATCATGGATGTCATGCAAAGAAGGGGGAAAAAAAAGACTTTGAAAATGATCTTTTGGACTACGTTTCAGACAGGCCTTAATTAGAACAGAGAACAAGCCTCGATGTTAGCTGAAGAAATATTGGAGACTGTTGTGATGACAGCATCACAGATTTGACTGGCTGAGCGAAGCTCACATTTTACCAAACCGCAGATGACGAAGCTACGATACAACCAAGCAGAGACGAGCGGCTTCTGTATATAAATCTATAAATAGTGTATCCCTTTTAACAACAGTTTGAAACTAGTTTTATGAATTTTTAATGAATAAATACCTTTATTGATATCGGCACCTGGCATGGTGAGGAAAGTAGAGTGGAGAATAAGAAGTCGCTGCCTTTCCCTGGTTTACGTTCAGAGACAAAGCTGCTGTATATATATAGCCAGAGTAATAGGAAAAAAGTGTGCATGCCAGTGACCTCATTAATATTGAAATATATGTGCATATTTTTACATATTAAATCAGTTGCTCTTCTTTGCTGTTCTTTTTCCAGTTAGTATTTTTCACATAATGAGGTTGTAGCTTCTGTGCTATATTTTCATTTTCCAACAATTTTCAGATTGTAATGCTTACATACGGAGCTTATATTTAGATTAAGTAGACTAGAGAATGATCGTTTTTAATGAATCCTGTCTTTTTTTAAACCCGTGTACAAATATTTGTTAATGTTTTTATCTGCTTTTACCCAATACAGTAGTTTAAAATGTGGAGCGAAATCGCACTTGTATACACATATGCAATCATGTTATGCTGAAAAGAAGGAAAAACAAAATGGCTGATTCTGCCAAGGAACAATTTAAAAATGGAGGTTCCCTAGTAATCAAATATATTTGGGTGAACGTCTCCAAAATGTTACTCTATATTTGGTGAATTCCCGTAAATCGTCACGTTTTCGGTGAAAATGAACTCGAATTGGGTCTGATTAACTTATTTGCTGGTACACAACTTGACGCCTTACCCTTTTCCAATTGGAAATAACGACGGATTTGTTCACCGTTACTAGGATGCTTCCATGCATGAGCACTCTTTGCAAATGCATTCAGACTGCGTCACTAAAGGTGAGTGCATTGGGTGAAAAATGAGCTTTCAAACATCCCAATGATGGTGGAAAGCCACTCCACTGCTCACAGATCCATCTGAACTGATTCATTTGCATATTTCTCTCGCAAAATGACACGCACTCTGACACCATTATTCAAACTCATGAAATTTTGATTGTGTAGTTGGTGTTGTACAAACTACTGAACCCTGTCTGAGAAATGGTCAGGGATTCTAATCAGTGTTTCCCTTGGCCGGCACGCCAAATGAATTTGAAACGGTTGTCCATTTTCTAAATTTGCGTCTCTTGTTTCCAGGAATTTTTTTATTAGATCCAACCAGAGATGGGATTTTTCAATACAGATTGGATTGGAAAGATTCCTTGTGTTAATTTCTTTAAATATTCTTTAAATATTCTGAACGAGTTTTCACTTTGTCACGCTATACCCTCATGACCCTTGACCTTTGTTTGACAGAAATATTTATTAAAAAATGTCGCTAACCAAGCTGGTTTATTGGCTTCTTGTCAATAGCTGCCAGAATTTAAAAAAAAATAGACATTGCAATTAATGTTATATGTAGTAAACTTCGATTCGGAAAGAATTCCATGCCTGGACATCACTTGACACCCTGTGCAAAAACCCTATGAGACTGGTCTGAACAATTCTAAGTGTTTTCTCAGTGAATGCTTCAATATTTTCCCTGCTAAATTTGACTTTTTAGGACATGTTATCGCTTTCTGATGGCTGATGGGTCACTGCAGGGAAAAATTAGTGATGTTCATGTATGGAATTCTTTTTTTTCGATTCTTCGTTGTTGTGTGTCACTTCAGTGAATGCTACATTGTACATTGCAGTCTGCCAGTCTTCGAAACATGGTTTGGAATAACAAGTAACTATTTTGGGACAGTATTTTTTACAAAGGTGTTGAAATAATGGACACTGTATCTCTAGTTTCTTTTCTGAAAAAGCAAGTGAAAGTCGGCATCAGATCACAACAGCAAAGTTATACCCATGTTGGCGTCATATCCTCGTTCAAAACAGCCGAATATGATAAGGGAGGTATATGACCTGGGAGATTCTCAAATCCTCTGGACTTTCCTTAAAAATAGCATTGAAATTTAAACCAGGACTTTTAAGTATTTATAAAAAAAAGTGCGGTTTCACTTTCATTTTGCTTTCATGCAAGGCCCAAGTAATCACAGGACGAAGTAATATTTTAAGTTTGGCTTGACTAGGTGGTAAAATCCTGTCCTGTATTTTCACCAACTTTCGGTCCACCCTCAAATTTTATTAGAGTTTTGATGCATCATTGTCGAAAAAAAAAAGGTCAAAAGTCATGTTGCCGGCGGGTAAAATTTGCAGGAAATTTCTCTGACTAATATTCTGATGTTTATTCCCCGGAAAGCTTTTGGCCCAGTTTCGCAGATATGCTTCAACCTTTCATTTCCCTTTTTTTTTTGGATAACGGAAAATCTTGTCTGGAATGTGAGTGACTAGATCGCCAGATGGCTTAAAAAGATCGCTCTGGTTTGGCGGCCAGTAAACAACTGTAATGCGTATGTTGGGAAGTTGTCATTTAATATGCAGCATTGAGATATAATGTATTTTGCAATGACTGTCTTGTTTCATAGAGGTCTCGAGTAAATGTCTTCAAAAATACGGCAATTTAGTTACCAGCGGTGGGGCAAGAAAGCTTCAATGCTTGAACTCTACAGAGTGAGTAAAAAAACCCCGAAACTCAAATGTCGGGACTATTGTTTCAGCGAAGTTCTGCATGTAGCACTTTCAAAGTCTAGGATATGAAAGCCCAATTCATAAGCTTTCTTTTAGTACAAGAATCATTCAAATCACTCATGTACTTTTGAAGTTACGGAATTTTGAACACAACCACCGTTTCAAAGTTCTGTCCACGGATCGCAGAAAGGTGTGCGTTCTTTCAGCAAAGTGAAAACAATTCACACACTTCCCTATGTGATTTGTTTTCATATTTTGCTGAAAGAACACTTACCTTTTTGTGAATTGCTTATGAATTGGGCTTTCATTTCCAAGCTTTTGAAAGTGCTACATGCAGAACTGCACTGAAACAATAGTCCCGACATTTGGGTGTTTTTTTTTTTTACTCACCCTGTATGAGAACTGGAATGGTTTTGGTTTTGCTGTTGGTCAGTCTGTGCAGACCCAGCTAAGATTAGAGCTTAAATTAATTGTAGACATTTTAGTATGCGAAATGAATTACTAGGGTAAATTTAGCTCTTTCGGTTGTAACCTCCACTGCCATTTGTTCCTATGTATCACTGTTGTAGTTTTGTGTAATCTTTTGGAAATTGCTAATATTTGGTCTTCCTTGGTAAGTTATACTTATAATTCCGCTTTGCATTGAATTTTCTTCTTTTCAATTTATTACATCAATTTGTCACTGTTTAAAAAGTGACTTTCTGTCTGATATATATTTTTAATTAGGGGTTTACTTTTCTGTGGTAATGTATTTACGCTGTGTACGTAATGTTTTCAAGTTCCTATGCGAAGAAAAATCATCAGTTGGATTCAAACTCTTTATCCGACAAATTTGCTTACAAGTTGGATGGTCAAAGGTCCACATCCAACCTAAGTCATCTTTGAATTTTTTCCTTAGAGGCACTCCATACAACTAAAATGTGCAGTGAAGTTTGCCTCACAGGCACTCCATACCTTATGTTCACAGTTGTAATGCTTTGTTTCAGAAGAGCCAAACTATTATTTAACTCATCAAGTGTATAATATTATTGTATGAATTGATTATATTAATTAACTTTGCATAACCTTTATTACTGGCAACCATACTTTGTCAAATTCAACATGTCTGTTCTACGTGTGCATATGAACTTGTTCTAAACCGAGCTTTCAACAGTGCCTGGGATTTTGTTCAGTGCTCAAAAAATGTTCTTCCAGTGAATAAAATTAGTCAGGTTTCAATTTCACTTTATAATTTATATTTTACAGTTTCAATGATTATGTCAGTTATGTAAATGGCTCGTATTTTGTCAGCAAGCTTGTATATGTGTACAAAGTGAAGGCACTTATTTAGTCACTTATTGTTTGCTTCTCATAGCATAAACAAATATAATCTTCACAGACCATTCAGAATACAGAAAGGGAGGCCCCCATTAATGGCGGAGGATTATTGTGTCCACTATGATCTCTGCTCCAGTCCCCCCTGAATTGTTAAAGAAAGTAAATCGAGACTTATGAATGCATTGCAGCAATTCACTTTGGCAGTTTTACAAGGACGTTATAGGACTGTGCACATTCAAATGACGACTAGTTGTTCTAACTTCGCTCTGTACACATCTCCTAGCTCTGATGAAAAGTCATAAAGCCCATCGGCTGTTCATGCACGGAGTCCATAGCTGGCTCATACTTGCGCCATGACTGGGGGCCCCCGTGACTGTCCAGTGCCCTGATTGGTCTATCCTTCCCTCCCCCACCCTGAGGTTTACTGTGTTGTACATCGAGGACTTCCAGTGTCCCCATTGTCAACTTGATGTTGTTTCTTTTGTTAGTGTTTCTGACGTACACCATAAACATTCTTACACTAAGTGTACCGCCACAACAATGTCCATGAAGTCAATGACCCCCAAGTTATTGAATAATTCTATTTGGGGGGGAGAGACATTCGCTTCATTTTGTTCAAAAAGCTGCTACTGCATTTCACAATTACTGTGAGGATTGAAAATGTTTTGTCTGTGATAACATTTTTTTTCAACTCGGCAGAAATGTATACAAATATAAACTTCATTTCAAATTCCCAATTTTTAAAATCATTTGGCAAACACAGCGAACTTTTGTTACTCATGAAATTTTGTCTCAAACCTAGCCAAATGTTCACCTAAAATTGTACAAATCTTCTCAATGAAACTTGTATTTAATATTAATATTAAAAGAAAATAGTTTATGGAGGTTGCTTCAGATAATTGGGTGCATCAGCTATTTCTATAATCTATTTCTTCCATTATTTCATGGTCTGCTTTGTCAATTATTACTTTGTTAAAATAGTTATACACCATTTTGTAAAATTGTACAGATATTTTGAGTATATTATATGTAAGTATAAGTAGGCCCTCACATTTCATCAGAACAAAGCTTTTGGGATTTTTTTAAAATAAAAGTTAAGCTTACTTCTGTACAGTTATCGTTGGAAGATCACGTAGAATTTTTCTGTTTTTTTTTCTCCAACTGTTGCAGGCATGAAATATTTAGAACAGAAAATAGGTCTGATTGGATGAAGGGAATTTGGAAGTAACTTTTGGACGGTAAATGTGTATAGAATTTTGTTATTTTTTAAAAGGAAACAAAAATAATCTTAAATTGCCTGCATGCTGGGTGCAATGGGACTGTAAATGACAAATTTGTTGATTTAATATCCGACGTAATCTAGCATTCTAATCCTGTGTCCATACGATAATAAAACAATGTTTTTATACATACAACAGTCTCGTTTCCTTGTTCTATTTTTGAGTAGGCTTTAAAAATGAATTGAGGACAATTTGAATTTAAATCTCCCTCCAACAGCCAGTGCATCAAACAAATATATGAAGACACGTTAATCCTTTAAAGCTCAAATTCTATTTCAATCATTTAGAGGCTTCTTTAAGTACTGACAAAAAGTTTTAGTCTTGAGAATAAACGAAGACTACTTAAATAGTTGTTTAAATTTTCTTCCGACTGAGATGTCATTTCACACTGAATTCATATTTTCAAGTTTGGAGCAGGGAGGGGATTATCACTTTATCAAATTATAAAATGAATCAAATCACTCTTTACTACACAATTTGTTACTTTTATAGCTTTATTACAGATACAGAATTTAAGTACATCTTATATTTCATACCTCATAAGGTGTGCACATTTGGATGGAAAGCTGTCTTGCACTTTACAACAGGCATACACGCCGGCCTACCTTACATACCTAGTGTGGACATACCTTTGTCTTCATGTTTTAAAGGGAATGTACATCATTGGCTTTTGCTGTAATTTTCAGATATGAACTATTTGAGGGGTTAGTATAATAGATCAAATATTGTTACACTGACATGTTTGAAGTTTTGTGTTCGAAAATGCTGGAAAAACCAAGAAAAACAAAAATGTTCAAGTAGTCTGGTTCCTTGACTCCACTAAAGATAAAATGGATCAATTTATAGATGCCGGAAAATTGTAAGGTAAGGGAACCAGTCTAGCTGGCCTGCACCCGTTCATGAACATGTAACCAATAGCAAACAAAATTTGGACTGAAAAAAGTGTAAAGTTGGAGCAGTAGTTGAAAAATAGTTAGGTTTTTCCAACGGTGGTCGGCCGACCACTGTTGGAAATGTATACAAAAATACCATTTTCTTGAAAATGACTTCACACCAGGTGCCATAATTTTACAGGATGCTTTAGATTGTCATTTACCAACATCCTAGTATTTTGTAAAAACTTGGTAGTTTTATTTTTTGCAAATGTTGTTTATTCCCTTTAAGAAGAAAAGAACGGAGAAAAAACATATTTTACTCGCACTGTGACTACTCTTTCAACCCAATTTCATTTTTCATGATTTCCTTGAGTGTTCCTCTTCATTTTGCAACATAAAACCGTAACCCCAAAATGCCTCTAAACCTGTTTTCCAGAGAGGGGGATACCTTGTGTGGACCTGGCTTAATCCACACTAGGTTCACACAACCTGCATTATGTGGACTTGTTTTGTTGTCAGGTCCACGCAAAGATGGCAAGGTAAGCTAACCAACTCACACACAGTGTGTTCCACACACTGGAGCTGTGGTGCACGGTCACACAGTGCCACGTATTGCTTCAGCGCAACGTTGCTTTGTAGTTTGCATTTTAGCATCATGTTCTTTATACCTAGCAAGTTTCAAGAAGATTGGACTTTGTCGGGTCATTCTATAAATTAAAGATCCAAAGTGTGACTTTTTCCTGTCCCTGTTACCTTGGTATTTTGTAATTTTGACATTCAAAAATATAATTAAGAATGACTTCAAACGATATTGTATTTGTTGGGTAGGTAGTTTGCTATTCATAATCACTCTTGGAGGACGACTGCATTAAGGAGTGCATCAGAATGATAAAATCCTAGATTTCAGATGTAACGGGGACAGGCAAAACAGTGGACCCCAAATTCATAGAATGACGGTGACCCATATACAACTTATTATAGTTTACTTGTTGAAAAGTGCAGCTGTCAACGAATATTACAATTTCCTTTGACATGGTTTAGCATGTTAGGTTTCATATTTACCATAGCTATTACACAGAATGTATATGTTGCACAGAACATAAGGTTGGCAAGCAAATGATAGTTATGCGCTTTATACATTTTGTGAGTTTGTCATAAATGTACCTAGCCAAAAAAAAGAAGAAAAAAAGAATTGAAATAAATTTGAACTGTCCTTGTGGACAGCTTATACAATGCAACACAATCATTAATACAAAATATCATCTCTGATTATTCAAATTCCTCTATTTACAAAGTCTCATTTTCTAATTTTTGATATTATCTTGATTATTTATATTCACAATATGCCTTGGCTATATCAAAAGTCAAATATTGCACATGTATACATTCATGTTGTCCAAACATTTGAAATGCCTAATCGCAAATTAAAAAAAAAAGTAAATGGATATTTGATCTCGAGTTCGAATTGGACTGTCGTCATTCTTGACAGGCTTAACTCTTTGACTATGGAAACTAATTTCGGTAATTAAATGGAATTCAAACAATGCGCAATTAACGCTTAGCTGATATATAAAAGCTTGTCGTCTTTAGTGGGCCCTATTATGAGCCAATATATTTGCCTGCCATAGGCAAAAGTTTCACAGCTTTTCATCGGAGTTCCCAAACCAAACCAGACGAGCAACATTGAAATGTAATAGAAAAACTGTCTCCGACCTTTAGCCACCGTGGATATGAACGAGGATATAATTTATATATCTTGAAGAAGATACATACACGTCTATCAGACTGGCATTCCAAGCGTGCACTGGACCAAGATATTCCAAAGATTTAAATGAAGTACACAAACACTCTTTGACATTTTAAAAACAAAAATGAACTGTTGCAAGTCCGGATTCTAGTCGATGGAAAAATAATACATAATGTTGGTCTGTCTGAAGCGTTCCTAATACAATTCTTGAAAAATAGAATTAGCTGTTGCAAACTGCTTACCAACCAAAAGGACCTATGGTATAAATGCAAAAAAATAGTTAGTGGCCTGACGTTTCGACCCTAGCAGAGTCTTAGCGACTGTGAAACGCAAATCAGAAATGGCTGTAACTGTAAGTTGTCTCCTGTAATTCATACACTTTCGTGAACAACACAAAAAAAGCAGTCCCAAAACCATGTTGTGGTCACACACTCAGAGTTAGGTTAGCTGACTGCTTGACTTGCCAGCGAAGCAACCCATACAACTTCACACCAATCTGATTTTGAAATGATGACGACAATCCTTGTAGCCATTACATGGACGCCTCCATGCCTGAACGCCCATCGCACATGTATTTTGTATCCGGTTTGTTAGTAAAAACGTCATACACGCGTGCGCACCACTGATTACTAGCGCCCATTGGACAAACGCTCAAATTGCGTTAGCTTCCGGTTCCATTTGTGCTATGCTACACGTTGTGAAGTACGCATGGTTGAATTGAGATGACGTCACACTATCAAACCGGATAGCTCTGGACATGTTTCTTAAGTGAATGCATTGTATGAAATACAAAAGCCAGCTTTAGCGCGTCCCAGTAATGGTGGAAAGCCAGCCCAGTAATCAGAAAAAGTGGGCAACCTGGTTTGGCCTATATGACTCGGTAAGCATGCTTAACCTAAATAATATCTTACAGTAACAACCAGAATATGTCATCCTGCTATGATGTCATATGTGATGCGATCAAGCTAAATGAGTCATTTGTCGGGAACTTTCATTTGGAGATTCCGGCCAAAATAGGGCCACTTCATCACATTACTTCATCACATCTCTTGGTGTTCCAACTTCCATAATTTTTGAACTAAAGATGGTATCAGCATGCAGTTTTTACAGCAGTAATGCTGAGATTGTGCTCTTTTCAAATCTGTATTAAAAAAAAAAAAAACAGGGTCGCCAAACGACTCATTGAGCTTGATCGCATCACATATTATCTTTACAACGCAGCCAGCTGCATCACAGTGCATTATCCGAACCTAAACAGTTTACTGAACTCTGGTACTCTTCATTAAGAGAGATTTAATTACAGACAACAAATGCTTCCGGTCAGATTAAGCTCCAATTAAAAGCTGTGCAATTAGCATTACACGTTTAATTACTGCTAAGTCAGTTATCATCTGAACTCACTTAGTTGTATCTCTAGTGATTATCGGCGGCAATCGGCAAAGAGCGCAGTGTAGAACTCGGGCACGGACAGCCGGCTGCGATACTTGTTGGCCATGTCTTGGATCTTCTGTCGTCGCTTGACATGAGGCGGGGAATATCTGATCAAGGGAAGCAAGCACGACAGTTTGGTTTATTCCATCTAGGGTAGCAATGTAGCCAGGATTTATTTAATGAACTGGCTTGTTGGTATTCACAGTTCTCCATTGTTTCTGTGGGTGTTGGCCTACCACATATTAAGTCGGTACCCTTCAAAAGGCTGTCCAACTCATCAATCAAAGCTAAAGGAAATCATTCGATTTCGATTTCCCTGCAATTTCATTGAAACTTTGAAATCACTTTTTTTTCTTTGTTCCTTTTTTTTGGTTATCTGCGATTTTAAAATGCCTCAAATCCTGTAACAGCAGGAAGACTTACATCCATACTACAGTTGAACGTCGCTATAACAAACATCGTGGGATCCATAGAAATTGTTCTTAATAGCGATCATCAGGTATAGCGATTTTCACACATTAGTGGCGCACTCTTTGACCATTGTTATAGGGTAGTTGTTTTTACAAACCACGCGTGGAGTCGCCAAATGTGTCCATCTTTTCAATTCCGTAGCAGAACTTCATCCCGTACGCCCTCGTAGTTACTGAAAGACGACTTTGAACAAGTGCGACTATTGAATCATGTAATTACAGTTTTTGAGCTTACACCTTCTACGGCCATTTGTCGCTTTTCTGTTGACATTTGCCAAAAACAATGTTCAGTACGTTTTGTACACAAAAATTGGGAGCCAAGGCTGATGTTGGGTATAGCTGAAAGTTCGGTATAGCAGAGTTCGGTACAGCGACGTTCCACTGTATTTATGTAACTGGTTTTTGGTAGCACAATTCCATAAAACACATTAATAACTCACGAGTCTGTTTCCATGCGTTTTCTATGGCAAGCGTTGATGGCTGTTTGTCGGACCAATGTCCCCAGAGATCTACGGCTGACCACCATACCGTCCACTAGGGGAATGGCTTGAGTTGGTCTAGAGTGCAGGGAGAATATGAGAGAATGTCCAAGGCATGTTTCTGATAATAAGTACTGGTTACTTTAGCGTAAACTTACCAAAGCTATGTAATACAAGTGGAGGACTTATAAAAACCAAAATAAGTGGCTTTTATTTATCACAATTGGAAAGTTGCAAAATTCTAAAGATATGTTGGTGTCTCTAAATTGAGCAGAAAACAAGCATTCCATTAGTATAAAACTAAAATGACAAAATTTCAGCTTTGTATTGCTATACAAGAAAATGACATTTTGCAACTTTCCTTCATTTGTGGTGTCAAGTCACATTTGTTCAAGCACAGTGTGTAAAACATCTCTTTTTTTAATTTATGAATTTTTCTTGTATTAAAGAGATCCTTCTACTTATTTGACGTTTTTGATGTATTTAATATATTTGGATGCCATTACCTGCCATGCATATGGATTCGGAAGAGTCCACTTTTCAAGGGGTGTATAAACATCAAGACTACTGTGGGCTCTGCGAGGGACTTGACTTGTGCAGAGGAATTCCCCCCTTGGCATAATGTCTCTAGCCCAGTGTTCATTTCTTCTAGGAGATCCGCTGAGGAGAAAATGGAAAGGCAACTTTCTAATGAATAATGCAGCGTCACAGAGACTCTTACTTGAAGGTAACAGGCTACCATTGATGCCATCATTAGAGGTTTCCTGAATCAGCAACTATAAATTTACAATCATTCAAGATATAAATATAACCAACCAAACAAAAGTGTGTGTTTTGGGTCCATTTAGTGGAAAATATGTGTATAGAAATGTTTACTAAAAGTATTTCAATATGGTGAATTGTAAAACAAAGCCTTAGAACACACTTCATTGCATGTGCCTTTTTTCTAAACTCCTCAGACTGATTTTCTGACGTTACTCTTCAGTGTGTCCAGTCATGCATAGTGTCCATGTTATTGCACCCACTTTAAAAACTGTGGATCTCATAATTGTGTTATTGGGGTTTAAAACTTAATCCCTTCCCTTCAATTCAAAGCTGATAATCTCAAGAATACGAATATGCAAAACTAAAAATTGTCGACTTTGGATGAGTTTTTGGGGCGCAGCAGCCGATTTCACGAAACTTTACATAATTGTGTAAGTCCACTTGCGCCACAATTTGTTGCAAAAGTTGTGTACCATTTCACGCTGCGCAACATTTCAGTTATGACAATTTCACACAAGTTTCATAGTAGGAAAGTCCGCAACTTGCGCAACAAATTATGGCGTAACTTGCACAAACATTTTAGGTAGCACAATTTGTGGCGTAGCGACTGAAAATGACCTATTTTACCAGCAAATCGTGATCGTCGTGGAGCCTGTCACTGCACAATTTATCAAGGTTGATGCAAGACACTCACAGCTTTGTGTTTGAGGTAAACGAATTGCTATATTACTCATGACAGAGTTTTTAGAGTTGTTGCACGATTTCAAAAAGGTCGAAAAAAAATATATTCACAATGGTGGGCGGAGGTGATTCAATAACTGTTTCATGAACGTACAAAATCATACACAAACAGCTGTCATAATTCATGTTATTATCTTCGTCCAAGATGGTAAGATTATTTAAAACATTGCGCAGCTACGCTTAGTTTCGTGAAGTTTATTCCACAGCTGAGCAATACATTTGTTGCGCAAGTCCTACATATGGCGTAAGTTACGTACTGTTTCATGAAATCGGCTGCAGGTCTCACATCTCCTGTCAATATGACTTGGTTCTTTTTTGTTGTCCTTTCTACTTTGCAGCCCACACTTACCCAGAGGGAAGGCCTCCCGATCATCAAAGCTCTCCAACCAAACGATAAGCACCTTGATCTCAGGCCCCAGCAGCGGACCCCTCTTGTGCAAGGACTTGCGACCTCTCTCTAAGGAGCTCATGGGACTGACCTGGGGAGGGGTGGTGGAAGGGGCGGTGTCTGAGGGGAGGTCAAGGGTCAGGTTACGGCTGCTGAGGGGGAGGGATTTGGTGCTCTTGTGGGTCAGCATCGGGGCTGGTTTACTCGGCTCGTCAATTCCTGTATTCAGAAGAATTGAGGATAACGAAAATATATTGTGGGAAATTGTTTTAAGGTTGGGTTTAAATACACTAAATTTATTAATGGGCTTAACTCTTTCTGTACAGTGAGTTGACATACTGGCAAGAGACGATGAGCAATTATTGGCTTGAATGTCATAAAGCATTGTTTTAATTCTGGTTAATTAATGTAATTAACCCTTTTGCTACATAAACAGTGACAGACAGTCAAAATGCACTTCCACTTCCCCTGCTTAACTTTTAACAAAGGCTAGTCACCAGCAGTCAGATCATATGTCAAGCAAGCACTGTGACTAGTCAAACTGGATCAACAGACAAAGCAGGCAAGTTGTGGTCACAGCTGTTTTATCACCCATCCGGAGTCAAAGCAAAGCTGTATCAAGTTACTTAAACGGTCCCAGCCAGTCAATCCTGCTTTATGTAGGCTGGGAATTCTTAACTGATGAAAACAGTCACTTGTTTGATTTTGACTGAAAGGACTACTTCACTTGGCACAGAATGTATGTTTGCATAGGAGGGTTAAAATCTGTCTGTATTTTTTACCCATCAACTTTTCTTCATAAAATGACAACGACACTTTCTAAAATTATTTTATATAATGAAGCATTTTTTCTTGTGATGCTTCTCATATCTGATTAACAACAATCTGAAAGGCAGTGGCCTTTTGCAATGAACTGAATGTGTGTGTTTGATAAGGCTACAGATTGTGATTAAGAGTCCAGCCAATTGGGCGTGGTGTTTGTGTCCTTGGGCAAGACACTTTATCATGATTTGCATCTCTAAATCCAGAAGTAAATAGGTACTGTTATTCGGGGTGTGATGGTAATTTTGTTTGTTTAAATTAGACTGCAAGAATTCAGAAGTTTAAATATGTTACAAAAAGTAAACAAAAGTGAACTAATAGTTATCCAGTCTCAAGTCAGTTTAATAAAGCTAGTCAAATGAAATGTGACAAAGGCTTTCCTATGTCATTGTACATCCCCTGTTACTTGTGACAGGACTGGTAACTGACTCAATTTCAACTCTAGATGAAGTGTAGTCATTGGTTAGTGTAGTCAAGTCGATGGTTATTTTTAACAGTATCTTTTGAAAGAAGGTGGGGGAGTGTGGCCAAGTGGTTAGGGTTCGTGACTCATGATCAGAGGGTGAGGGGTTTGAATCAAGCTGCTGGCTATATGTTGCAGTGTTGGAGCAAAGGCTTTGACCCTCAAGGCCAAGGCCAAGGCCAAGGCTTTGACCCTCAAGGCCAACGCCAAGGCCAAGGCTTTGACCCTCAAGCCTCGAGGCCAAGGCCAAGGCTTAACCCTCAAGGCCAAGGCCAAGGCCAAGGCCCTGTTTTATGAAATGACCACTGATATAGAACTAATTATAGTCACATGAGTGACACATCATCACGCAAGGGCGGATCCAGAACACAATTTGCGGGGGGGGGGGGGGGGGCAAAGAAATTTTGGTCCCCCACAAAAAAAAGTGGGTCAAAAAATTACGGCTTGGGCTTCGGGGCCCGCTTAAGGGCCCCGAAAAATTTTTGGATTCGAGATGCTCTGTGGTGCGATTGGAGGCAATTTCTGACCATTTTAACCGATGTTTTTTGAGGAAAAGATGGTGGTGTACTCATTGCCTGCCTTTATTACGACGTCACATACAAAAAAAATGGTTTCTTTTTTGGGGGGGGGGGGGGGGGGCATGGCCCCTTTTGGCCCCCCTGGATCCGCCCTTATCATCACGAATTGCTCATTACGAAGAACAACATTTCTTTAATTGCAATCAACATGCTCGCATAGGCCTACACCGTTTTATGACTGCACTGTATCTATTAAAGTATAAGTTCAGGTCTTCAATATGGTTTAACTAAACAAAATAATGATTTACTTCTATATTGACACACAATTCTCCCAAGTGTAACAAAAGGGGGATCCAAGAAACTGATTTTTATTTGCTGGCCCAACATGGTCAGAAATATCAGCATTATCTTAAACAGATACATGCAAATCTTTAGCACTTATCAGGGAGACATATACACCCAATCAGATCTATTCCATGGTTATATGCAATTAAAGTGATCATCTCATTAGCCCCACAAGTGTACGGAATATTGTTGCAGCAAGTCTACTACAATGGTAACAACATGTGATGCTATAAAAGTGGAAGTGTGCCCAACACACAAATCTATATGGTGCTTCCCTCCTCCATCGTAATACGATTAAAATGGTAACAGCAAAATTTCGAACAGATTTATCTGGAAAATGCAAAAATCTATGGGCCTTGAAGAGCCTTGACTCAAAATTGCAAGGCCCTGAACCCTCAAGGCCAAGGCCAAGGCCAAGGCTTTTGCCCTCAAGCCTCGAGGCCAAGGCCAAGGCCCTAAAATCCAGCCTTAAGGCAGCCTTAAGGCCAAGGCCCAGCATCAAGGCACTACATCACTGATATGTTGTGTCCTTGGGCAAGCCACTTCACCCTCACTTGCCTCTCTCCAGTATAAATGAGTATTGGCATTAGCTGGGGAGTAACCCACGATGGACTGGCATCCCACCCGAGGAAAAATTTAGAAATATTCTCATTTCATGCCAAGGAAACCGGAGATAAACGCCAGCCTGATGGGCCATATTGGCTCATGACAGACTTTACTTTATACTTTTGAAAGAAGTCAACTAATAGGAATGAACTTCAGACTAAGAAACCTACCGTCATCGGCCGAGTGCCGCCTTCCCTTCCCATGATGCCTCACACTAGGTACAACAAAGGCTATCTCCGACATGACATCAGCGTAGTACAAAACGTGGGTATCACCATTGTAGAGACTACCACCATGCGTCTCGGTAGAAGATGCAAATGACATGTCTCCATCTAAAAAAAGTTAAAAGTTAAAAGTTTAAAGTGGATAAGAGTTGCAAACTGTGTTATTGTGCAGTTCATTACAAGTCCGGCCACAAGTAAATCACAAGTCCTTTCACAAGTCCAGTCACAAGTTACAGATGATTGAACAACAACAAAGGAATGCCTTTGTCACAGTTCATGTGAATAGCTTGTGAGTTGACTTGGGACTGGAGGACTTGTGATAGACTTGACTTGAACAGTAATTGCATAGACTTTTAGCAGTGAAATAACAGGGGGGATTTATTAAATCGATAGTTGTAAAGTCACTATCTGGTTTAAATGTTATTCTCAACGTAAAGTTATTTGTTTTCTTGATGACAGCATATTTTAAAAGTTGGACTTGCCCTTCATTACAGTTATTTATCCAAGACTAATATTTCAACATGACTATTTTTACCCAGTTTAAACAGGCAATATTCCTAGTCCAAGGTTTAAAGTTGCTCCGAAGTTTGTGACCCTGACTTAACCCTTAGAAACTTTCTTGCATCGTTTTGAAGTCTTCAGGCATTTCAAGGTACAGTCTTTGTACTATCAAGTGGCATCAAGTCCATGTAAAATACTATGGCTGGGCTCTACCCGCCTTAAAGGCATATACACGTAGGATCATGTGCGCTTTTTATGCATTTTGTTCATTTCCAATAATAAACACCACTCAAAATCCACAGAAAAATGTTCAAAACCTTATCTGTTGAAGTGGATATTACACGTTTTGAGAAAAAAAAAACACTGAAAAACTGTGCACAACCCTTTGATCACGAAACACGTTTTTGTCTATATACTCTTTATTTCCAAAAATCAGTCAACTGACTGATCGTTGGAAATCACCTACACTTCTTGATTTCTTCTAAATGGCAGCAAGCCAGATGGAATAATTTCACAGGGTGTTTAATACTTTATATACAATCTATATTTCAGTAGCTTACTTTTGGGATAAATGCAAATGATCCTATATGCCGTTAATTCTGCAAAATCCTCCGAAACCTCCTGGTGGATTTTAGAGCTTCTGAGAGCAGTGGCGTAGCCAGGAATTTTCAGTGGGGGGGCGCTGGGAGGCTGGGGGGGGGGCTGGAACATTTCATGGGGGGGCGTCATGTAGATCAATGATAATTTTTTTTAGAAACTCAAAACCTCAGTGGGGGGGCGACGACAAGGTTTCATGGGGGGGCTGTTGCCCCCCCCCCCCCCACGCCCCCCTGTGGCTACGCCACTGTCTGAGAGGGTGAGGATTAATGTTATCTTTGGGATTTACAAAATCTTGACTTCGGCTTAAAGCTCCAGCTTCACGATTGAATTAGGTTTCTCATGAATCTTGGGCCTGAATGCAGAGCTGGAGACTAGCCAGGATTTGGTAAACTTCTGCGCATACCTTGTTTGGTTGGTCCTGCGGTATTATCCTTGTGTTCAGCAAATGTTATCTTCCAGCTGGTTGTGACATTCCCCGTCCATCCTGCGTGTTGATGGACGTCTACCGGCCAGCCCAAGGAACCCAAGAACTCTAGGAATTGAGGCTGGACGTTGGCTCGGTCTGTCTGTTGACATAAATCAGAACATATGTATATATACATGTGTAACTATTTATTAACTCCAGTGCCAATTCCATAAAGCTGCTTAGCGCAGGATGGCTTTGCTCAGCAAGAACAGGTTACCAGCGAATATACCATGTGATTATTGCCTGTGACTGGTTCCCTGCTTAATTATGCTAAGCATATTAATTTGCTAAGAAATCTTTTCTGCTTAGCAGAAAACTGTCCTTAAATTTGAAATCCAACCATTGGTTTTGTTTTGTTTTCAGAATCCAATCTTACCACATTTTGTATAATATCGTTTGCGTTGGACTGCCCGGCCTTGACGTAGAAGATGAAAGCCGTATCGTAGGTCCGACTTGGAATAGCGTCAAGTGCGCTCAGGTCACTGGCAAAGTTTGCGGGGTCGTTGTCAAGGGCAACCACAGCTGGTGGGATGGGGCTGTTCTGGGGATCCTGCAATTGAAGTAGTAAAAAAAAGATAAAAAGTTCAAATCTTTCTTGTTACTACAAATTATGACCACCTTTTCTCAGCACTTTGTGTGACCCACAGTGCCAGCCATTAAAATAAATACTCGCTGTACTAACCACAGTAAAGGTGAGCTGAATACTGATTGTTTTCAGAAAAATCTTGAGAGCTGAATACTTCGGCTCGGGTCATTATCCCCATCAAGGGCCGTGCAGGTATTAAAAGCACTTGTTTAACACCGGCCAAGCACATATTTAATCCCTTATTTACAGATGGGATAAAAGAAGTAGAAAACACCCATCCCTATATCCAAGGATACAGATTTTGTTTTGCCAATGACTCCACGCTTCCTATGCCATGACGTATGCCCACAGAATGTAAACAAAATCATGGTGGTTATACCATGATAGATTGCATTTCCTTTTCGATATTTTGTGTGAGAGATAAGCGATCACAAGCTTGCATGCATAGGGCATTTTTATATAAGAGAGTTGCCCATCACAAGGCCCTACTTAAAGGCCACTCAAGGTGAGGGCTACACAAAGGGATAGAAAAGGAAAATAAGAAAGAGAAAAAAACAACACTTTATGTAGAAAGAGTAATTGTGACATCACGCTTGGGGCAGATCAAAATCAACTTGAAAAACAATATACAGGTTAGGAGTTCCAGTGCGTGGGAAAATAATAATAATGGGTATTTATAAAGCGCACGCATCCACCAGTATTGGTGCTCAAGGCGCTACATCACTATCACCCCTGCTCATTGGGCCCAAGAAACATTCCAAATACCATCTCAGCTCCCTGGGGAGTATACAGCTCGACGCTGCCATTTCGGCGCAAAGCAGCTAAATCAACCACAATAACCATCTCTGCCCTCACAGGTACCCATTTACTCCTGGGTGGAGAGAAGCAATGAGTGACAAAGTGCCTTGCATGCCCAAGGGCATACACACAATAACCCCAGTCTGGACTCGAACCCACAACCTGCAGAATTACCCGCAGATCACAAATTCAATGCTCCAGACCATGAAGCTACAGCGCTCCACAAGAAGAAACGGGATGAATATTTCCTAGATTGGCTTTGGGAACAATGATTGTATATAGATGTGAATGGTTGGAGAAGCGTGTACTGCCCCCAAAGGGACGGTTAGGAGGAAATAAGTATGAGCAAAATCATCCAATCAGCCCAACTTTCTCAAGTTGTAATTGTACCTTGAGTGAGTCCAGACTCAAATAGCCCAAGTGCGACAGGATAAGGCGAGCGGAGCCAAACTCTCGACAGGGCATGGGCGGCTTACACTCGGTGCGTGCATTGGGATAGCCCCCTCGCTTGATATCCTCCTGGGCCGTCTCGCAGACAAACTTCTCATACTCGGTTTGCTCCTCGATGAGTCGTTCTAGTTTCTGATGGTCAGATCTGAGGACGTCCGTTTCGATGTCTTCTAAGGACGGGATGCTCTGATCCCTGTACAAAAATATGAAAATGTTATCGAAATGATCGCTGAAAAATCTGCTGCGACATCTGTATACCTTGTCATAAACTTTGGGCAAACATGTTGCCTAGCCAACACAGTGTTCGCTGCAATTTAACAAAATAAATGTATACATAAACTACTCCATTGGTTGCTGTATGATATATCATATTGCATCACTTACAATTTAAAACGTTGTTGGAAAATTAATTTTTGAACTCAAACTTAACTTGGGCAATTCCGTAAATTTGGACGTACATGTCTGACTGCTGTTGGAAAAGTGAAAGTGATACATCACTAATATGTGACATCTAATGAGTAGAAAACAATTACAGACCAAACTAAGGTACCACCACCTTAACGACCTTGTACATGTACTTCATGTGGTCAGACGTACGTTGGTTTTTACGGAATTGCCTGCTTGATAAATTTTATTAATAAAGATTCTTTGAAGTTGCTGAACACTGGCACACATGTATGTGTGAAAAGACGGTATGAAAATGGAATTCTGCAAAGTGATATAATATAATGTGATATCAGCAATTTTGTTTTAATGGTAACTGCTTGTAAGCTTATTTCATGGAGTTCTCAAGGGGAAAATGCTGCATATCAAATTTGCATAATTAACAGAAATCAGCAGGGTTTAAATATGTTCAATAATAAACATGAAATGAAATGATTTCAAGGAACTGCTAAGCACAGAAATAATTTACTTAGCAAAACTAGGTTACCAGCCAAACTGTCATGCAATGTATATTGCTTTTTGACTGGTATTCAGCTGATTCCTGCTTAGCACACAAACTTGCTAAGCGAATTATTCTGCTAAGAGGCTCCTTGAACTTAGAGGCGGGATATTCTTACGCCTGGGTGAGCAGGATTTTGTCCACGGCCTCGGGGTAGTGACGTGACGTGATCTCATGGTGGGTGCCGACGTTATCATCTGGCTGAGGCCTCATGGGATACATCAGGCGGGATGTAGTGTCTGCCTGTATGAATTATGGATAAAAAAATACGCCACATGGAACATTTTTTATACAAGAGCATATTTTAACTTGTTGGTTTCACTTGCTTGTAGAAAGGGGATAAACTATATTTTAAAATGACATCTCAGAATGTATAAGTGCCTTGAATGTAAAATTTATGGCACAAAAGAAGTTCACCCTACCGATATGCCTACACTTGTTTTTAATTCCTATAATTAACTCTCCGTACCTTTTCTTTCTTGGACCAATGTCGTAGCTTCATGGTCCAAACATGACGGCCTGTTGGACCACGTATGACAGTAGTAACTGTGGGTAGAATCTCTCCTGTTAATAAAAAAAATAATTTGCAGGAAACATAAGATTCAGAAATATTTTTGTTTGAATAACAGCTCCGCAACCAAGGTTTCCTTATATTCAAGGTGAATTCATTTTATTATAATTCAACAAATTTGATCGGCACTGTAAATTCATTTACTCAATGGTTGGAGTCAATGAATTCACATTTGTTTTCCTTAAAGTAACCCTCTCTCTTTAACACCCTTCACAAATCTTGTTTCCTTTCTCAGTATAACCTTCAAAGTTCACAAGAAATGTGAACAGGCATCTTTTATCACTATAATTTTTTTTGTTGTTGTTCTTTTCTGTTCTTTTTCATCTGCAGCCAAAAATTGTCTTGACAAAGATGGCTGAGTGTCGAGACATCTGTAAGCAGGAGGTAGTGGGTTCGAGTCCTACTGGGGTGCTTCTTCTCACAAGCCCTTGAAAAGCTCTGAGCACGCATTGTTCAGAGCAATAATAAAAGGCAAACCAATTACTTAACTTTAAACCACATGCAGTTTCAGTAAATCTTGTTTGGTATGAACCAGTGTTGTAGTCGAGTACTTTTTTCCGAGTACCGAGTACAGCCGAGTACTTTGGTTGCCGAGTACGAGTACGAGTACTTGTACCTCCGAGTACAAGAACAGGTCTCCGAATACGAGTACTTGTACCTCTGACTACAAGAACAGGTCTCCGCGTATGAGTACTTGTACCTCCGAGTACAAGAACAGGTCTCCGAATACGAGTACTTGTACCTCTGACTACAAGAACAGGTCTCCGAGTACGAGTACTTGTACCTCCGAGTACAAGAACAGGTCTCCGAATACGAGTACTTGTACCTCTGACTACAAGAACAGGTCTCCGCGTATGAGTACTTCTACCTCCGAGTACAAGAACAGGTCTCCGAGTACGAGTACTTATACTTCGGAGTACAAGTACGAGTATGAGTACTTGTATTCCGAATACGGCCATACAGCAAATGGTTCATTGTGCGTAATTGGCCCAGACCCAGTCAGACCGATATACAGACCCAATCACGGCTAGCTGTTAAATGTGTTTGTCTGGACGTAAGTGCACAGAGGAAAATCAGGAAACCTTGATTTGTCCACAAGCCCATCAACCATTTCAAACTGAAAGTATCGATAAAATAATGCCATGGTAAGAGAAGCTATAACATTTTTTTCCCCCGAGTACTGCTATTCAAGTAGAGTACTTTGATGATCGAGTACATTTTCGACATGTTGAGTACGAGTACTTTGCTGCCCGAGTACGAGTACCGTCATTTCGAGTACGAGTACTTTGATTAGAGTACGAGTACTCCAAAAATAGTACTCGAGTAGTACTCGAGTATGAGTACCGAGTACGAGTACTACAACACTGGTATGAACTAGTTAAAATTTGGATCAACAACTTCCACGTGGACAAAATGTGATTTGAGGTCTCCGTGTTTTATCCTAACTTCAAATGCAGCTGAAAAAAAAAGAACAAAAAAAGGTAAGCTTAGTAAAACTGGTCCCAGACCAATTTGGTCCAGGAAGTCAACTGAGTCAATTTCTTGGGCCAAGGTAAGGCTTAAGCAAGTCTTATCTACAGGTGACAGACAGACAGTGAGTCAATGAGTCTGGCACCAGCAAAAAGAGTCCAAGTGTAGCATCTGTGACATTCACTAGGATTGGCCAAGTTTTTAGCTGGTACTCACCACCATTTTCTGTCACCGGTCTCTCCAGTACAGCCATCAGTGTGGTGTTCTCCAGTACAAAGTATCTGAATGTAGGCTGGTGTGGTGTGTTGCGACTGCTGGTATCTGTGCTGTACTTGAGCAATGATTGCTCGTCAAGCAGAGAGCCTACTGAGGCAGGACCGCAGGGGTTGGGAAAGGAACCCTGAAGAAGAAAACAAATGAACCAAAGGCAAAAAAGATTGATTTATCTTAGAAACTTCAAAAATTCTTTTCATTTTACTAAACTTTGTGATTATTTACGAAGTCACTAAAGAATTGTAATCAACTAGAAATGTCTGTGGTGCTAGACCTAAAAGGGGGGGTTAATACAGGTGTCCAGAACTTCATGGAAACAAAATTCCCTGAGTTTTCCCTTGCTGGAAAAAAAACCAGAAGCTCATTTTCAAGGTTTTCCCTGATTTCCAGAGTGGCAGGGAACCTTGTAATTCTCACCACATGGTTCAGCAGACATGCTAAGAGACCCTCGGCAGCATCTTTGACTCTCTTAGATGCCGGCTTGAGCTCCTTGTCTTGCTTGAAGACTGGTGCCACCGAGGCCTTGCGTTGCGACTTGGTACCTGATATACCCAACTCTACCACCTCCAAGACGCACTGCAGGCATTCCTGCAGGAACAATAACATTAAAAGGAAAGTGCTCCGAGTCACTGAACATTAAGACAAACTTAACATGAACAAATGCCAGAACACATGTTATCAAAAGTAAAAGTCACTTAAACAATGTCGTTACTGTTTTCACTTTTAACCTCAACCCCTTGGCATTTTGTCTAAAAAAATCCTTCCCAAAATCCTCCCAAATCCACAACTGTACAGCAAAACCAATGTCACATTTTCACTTTCAACTTCCACGGGCGTCAAGCAAAAGTGGTTGGGTTGTACTGTTTAAGGAAAGAATTTTGTAACCCGACGCCACTTTTTTCCTCATATATCATCTCAATGAAGGTCAGTTATTGCAAAAATGATGATAAGACATGAATCTGGGACTGAGAAACATTTCCAATTTTGTTATACTTAGAACATTTTCTTGACTCTCCATAGACTTTGTACACAAACCACTGAAGTGGCGTCAGGTTGCAACATTTTTTTCCCTCTTAAATCCCGCAAAATCCTTCAATTCCCATGGTGGATTTTCAAAAAGAAATGAGAGGGTTAGGCTTTTGCTTCATAACTGTCAGTACACAAGTGTTCAGGCCATCTTGTGTCCGTTGCCATAAAGTGGACATAAAGTGGACAGAAAATGGGCTTATGCAATGGTGGTTTTAGGATTTTAAAAATTGCAGAGTTTGACTAAGACTTACCTTGTCTTTGAGCAGATCTCCGTGCTCAATCAACCAGACCGTCAGGCAATGGAATGCTGCCACAATGATAGAATGAAGATCTCTAGAATGGTACATGGAGGGCCGACTACACTGGTAAACAATGTGATCACAGATCCACTTGACTGCACGCTTACACTCCAAGGAATCTGGGCAAAGTACCGGGAACAACATATTTAAAATTTAAACGCCAATTCAATGACACACTGCGGCAGGGTGATACCTACTTTGCATTCATAAATACCTAACACAGTTTACCCATTCACATTGGTCGAGAGCCCATCACGTTGTTGGGTTTAAACAGTTGACAAAAGTACCAAGGAGTCCGTACTCCATAGTCTTAAATTCACACTACACTGTTTAAAACCAGCTGGGGGCCTGGATGTGGATGACAACCTGAACCGAATCCCTTAATAAATCATGGGAAGATCTGGAGAGGGTTCGTGAGTAAGAAGATGAAAGCACTCTGTCTACCAGCTACGAATATTTACTGTAGCACATCATTTTCAGAAACTTAAAAAAATGTACCAGAAAGCAAGCCAACTTGGACATGGCCAGGAAGCCAATTTCATTGGGTTGTAAAGTACAACAATTTGTTAAGCACAGAAAACATTTTTCAAAAACCAGCCAAAATGTCAAGACATAATTCTCGGCAAATTTTTGTGAAGCAAACAAATTTGCATTGCAAACTTTTCTGCTTTATAGGCCCATGGAGTTTAGCCCTGATTGTCCACTACTTTTACTTGGTATATTAAATAAGCTTAGAAATTATATTCTGCTTAGCAAAATCGTTATGCTAAGCAGCCGTATCAACTTATTCTTACCTATGATTTTGATCTTGACTTTAGCCAATCCAGCCAGGAGCTCCAGCGCTGCCAAGGCAACGGTGTAGTCAGTACTCCAAGCTGACATCAACCGCTGGCATACCAGGTGGCAACAACGCACAAAGATAACCCAGGCTGAATCTGATGGGGGAAAGGGAGTCAGGATGCCACACCAATAATGCTTGAATTGAAATACTCAAACACAAAGACATTTCAAGCCAAAAGTAATCTATGAACATTTATCTTTTTGTTTTCTGGAAGATCACAATCAACAGAACAAACAAATTTAGTTTAACTTTTTATCCACTCAAATGTTGCCCTCACGTCAGAGAATCTGGCCTAGTGTTTAAGGACTGTGACTCATGATCCGAGGGTAAGGGATTCAAATCCAACTGTTGGCCATATGCTGTGTCCTTGGGAAAGCTGCCTAACCCCCACTTGCCTCTCTCCACCCAGGAGTATAAAAAGTAGCTGGGGGTAACCTGTGATCTTTAAATGTCTCTCTGTAAACAAACTGCTCACAATAACGTGCAGCAGACCCCGGCCAGACAGAGAGCCGCTGGCAGCGGCTCAAACTAGGGTCAGAGGTTATACGATATAAATTATCTAGATAAGGCACACGTCATGGGGATACCCTGTTTATTCACAGCGACGTCACCAAGCCGCTGTCAGCGGCTCGCCGTAGCGAAAGAGTTAATAAACCAAGATTTTTTTGTAATTCCTCGCAATCACCGAGTTTGCAAAAAAAACACCACCAAAAACAAAAAACAAAAGCAAAAACAACAGCACATGGCATCAAGCCCCATATAAAGTAATAGCAGATGAGTTCTATCTTCCTCAATCCTGCAAGATCCTGATAACTATCTGAGCAGATTTTGAAGACTTTGGGAGGTTAAACTTTACTGTACATTTCTGGTCATTTTACCTGTCCTTCCGGTGACTGAGCTACGTGATGAAGTCCTACTCCCAGAGCTAGCTCGCTTCTCATCAAAATCACTGTCTCTGAACATCCAAAAATACATCAGATAAATTATGAAATACACAACCACAACTTACAATACGAAATCAAACTATTTCTGAGACATATTCCCACATTCGCAACAGGCCTAAAATTATCAACCAAACATACAGTAGGACTGACTTTCAACATAACTTCTTAGTGTTTTTATTTGGGGGCTTCCTGAATCCTACAAAATCCAACACTGCCTTAAACCAATGGCAAATTCGTTTTTCTTCAACAAATTTGGAACATCCAGTCCTGTGTAAAGTAATATTGTCTGGACTCTTAAATCCTTAAAAATCCCTTTGTCAAGTGGAAACTGGAGGATATAGGATGGCTAAAATGACAATATATTCTGTGTCCACAAAACATGATGCTTCATACAAGTAACATAACTTACACTCCTATTCAAGAAACTTGATTTTGGCCATGTGGTTACAACGTCTGCAGTGCGGAGGATTGCAAGTATGATCTAGGCCTAAACTCCTGCACGGCTGAGCATTAACAATACAAGGTCCGGCCCAAAACCTTGACACAGTGCATCTTCTACCATCAGCCGCACATTTTTGCCATATAGCCTCAATCCTGCAAAATCCTCCATTTTGCAAGGAGGATTTTGGAAGATTTTGGAGCATTTGTGAAAGTTTGGGTTAAGGACACACCTCTTTAATTTCTCTGGCTCGTTATTCCCCGCCTCTAGTTCTTCTTCCTCATCCTCTTCATGTAGGATGTTGTCTTTCTGTTCCATCTCTGCCTGCTTGGCCTCCATCTCTTCACACATCGCCGAGTCCAGCACGCAGAAATGCATTGCGCCTGGGGGAAAACAAAAACCATTCAAATGTACCTTGGAATATGGATCAAACACCTTAAATGTTGGATCACAGTGCAAATGCAGGGTATCTTGAATATGAAGCTCTCACAAAATGGTTACGAAGAGTTATCTTTTGTTAATGCACGGAGTTCACAGCAAATTTAATTGATGTTTTTGAAAACTTTGTGGAAGAAAGTTTCTGCGATGTATACATACCAAGGAGCATCTGAGTGTTATATGAGTCGGTTTCACATTGCACGGCGGTGATCATAAGGTCAACCAACTTTGGCTTGAGGGACTGGAAAGTGACCAGCTCTGTCCGGCCAAGCAGGTCCTCAGTGGTCATCTCTTTGCCGGTCATCAAATCTGTGGGTCAGCACAACAATTTGCAATAGTTGAGCAGTTTAAGGCTGTGCCTGAAATGGGCATTATGGTATATGGCTATGGTTATTCATTGTAGTGTGCCAATATCAGAACCTGAAACCATAGCTACGGAATACATGGTTTGGATGCAGCGTCATGTAACCAGTTTGCGCTGGGATTATTTTTGCAGAATATTTCGATTTTCAGAAAAGGCAAAATTTAGTAGCAAACTTTTGATATACGGCCAAACGCCACAAAGACTGCTTCGCAAGAATCACTTCATCAGTATTTGTACAATATTTCTTACTGCACAACCTCACTCAATAAATTTCATGTCACTGTCTTTCAAAAAATCGCCAACCGCCTCCTCATTACTTTAACATTAAATACCATGCTAGTGAAAGCTTTTCCAGCATCTCAAAATCTGTTAGTAGCTTCTTCTCTGGCAGAGAATATTTACTAGTGTCACCTTGGCTGCTTATCTTGATTTCAACATCTTCAGCTCTCAAGTTTCGTGGAATTTTCGTAGCAAGAGTATCCTAAATTCACACGCTTACAAATATTCGCGCAACCAACTTTTTCGGTGCGTATCGTTTGGCACGCCGTTAAATATTGCGCCACTTGAGGCTGCCATTTTTGTGTGCGCAACCGCTACGCTCTGTTCACTGGTTAACAACTGTGAGTTTCTACACTCTTGATTGAGTGGGAACCAGTGGACAATATCAAAAATAATATTGTCCTCATCCGGGTACTTTTACTGACATACTATTGCAGTCATCTGGGTACTTTTTACGAAAGCATAAGATACTATACAAATAATGAATGTTTGTGAGTGCGATGGTAAGAATAATTTCATGAGGTGACAGATGGAATGTTCCATTCCTCGAGGCCAAACCGAGTGGAATGGAACATTTCATCTGTCACCGAATGAAATTATTCTTTCCATTGCACGAACGTGAAACATTCATTATTTGTTTTATATAACACCTGAATAAATCCTTGTCATCTGATTGGTTGACTTTCAATAGCCAATTTATTCAGGTTAAAAACTGTTTAAAAGTTCGACAAGTTCATCATATTTATATTAATGCAAACTGTTCAACAGATTGAGAACAATCGTATTCAATTTATCTCGATTTAAAACAGCGCCACCACCAGCAATGACATGTGATCAACGATCCACCAATCACATGACGGGGATTTATTCAGGTGTTGTATAAAGAGATTTGTTTTACCTCTGGAAGCCTGATATAAATATTAATGTAGCATACAAGTACCTACAATCCCAGACCTTGAATATCCTACATGCAGAGTGAATGCACATTTAATGTATTCTGAATTTGATGGTCATGTAAAAGACATATGGTGATGGAACAGTAAACTGTTTACCTTGTATGGGAAGATTCTTGAAGTGATGTGGCAGACACAGCATGGATAGCAAGAGGTGTATGGAGGCCCTACGGAGCTGATGATTGGACACCAAAGACCTGAGAAAGAACAGAAGAAATTATAAGTCATGTGTCTACAGCTGCACAAAGGCCCTATGGGTAGATATGGGTGATCCGTTTACACCAACAAAATATATATTGCAGAACATCAGTTTTGTGCAATATCAAATGGGTGATTGTTCACAGAATTTGTGCAATGTTTGCATTGTTCATGTGAGCAGAACACACCCTAGTGTATTCACAAACTGTGAATATTTAGGGAATATGATTGTAAGATGCTCAGACAAAAGTATTTAGTTTTGCATACGGGGAAAGAATGTAGCATTGGTTGTGTACAAAGTCTATGGAGAGTCAAGTGTGTTTTCAAGGTATTTTCTAACAAAATTGGAAATGTTTCTTGGTCCCAAATTCACGTTTTTTAACATTTTTGCAATGACTGACCTTCATTGAGATAATATATGATGAAAAAAGTGGCGTCGGGATGCAACATTGTATTCTTACTCTTTGATTTATAAATGAGAGAAGAAACCATCAAAAACCCAAAAGGTTTGATTTTTTTTCCTCATATACCTACTGTCATGCCTGTAGAGTAAAAAGTCTGCAACAACTCAAAAATCTTTTCAGGACAACCAAGAGAAATGTCAAAGTTGCAAAAGGAAGAACTGTGGCTTTACAGTTGGTATATACAATGTGTTTAAGGGAATATACAACATTTGCAAAAATCAAAAACAAAACTACAAAATCATTATGAAATACCTTACTGGACTGTTAGTGAATGACAGTATTAAGCATCCTGTGAAATCATGGCACCTGGTATGCTGTCATTTTCAAGAAAAGGGGTATTTTTGTATCATTTTTGTATCTAACCCTCCAGGGTATGTTTGCTAGAACCCTGCCAAATGTAGCAACATGCAATACTTGATAAAGTGACAAGCCTGCCAAATGTAGCAAGATCCATCAGGGGAAAAAGTCTCAAGGCCACACTGCCTCAGAGTCCGTGGTCACTGCACTGTGTTGCGTCTGGCAGGGTTAGGGTTAATGTCCCAGACTGACAATTTAATTGGACCCTTCCAACATTCAGACTCGCAGAGGGAACTTACTGGAATCGAATCTCCTTGTCTGGCAGAACAACCTGCAGTGCAGTGATGATGTCTGGGATGAGTACCTGGACTCCCTTCAGATCAATGCGCAGCAGATTGGTAGAGTTGTACAGGACGCTGGAAAGCACCTGACCGCTCAGTGCCTATAAAACAATTCTTTATCATTTCAAATTGTGAAGAAATCTTGCAACAGGTGGTTTCTTTTGAAAACATAAAACTGTTTCCTCAGTTTTAATAAGACATGTAAAAAGAGGAAGATTTTTGGGCACGTGACTAGTCTGTTCCTGAAAGAAAGTGTCAGTTCTTGGAAGAGCCAATAGTAAAATTGTACCTCAATTGTTCCGTTTCAAAACCCACATGTTTTCCTTCGTTTTCAAATTCATCATGCAAGTTTCAAATCTCACTAAAGTTGAGTTTTACAAGTCGCAGCCGTGGTCAAATTTGCCACAAGGCAAATCACACGTTAATCACAAGGTCGACACAGGTCCCTCACACAAAGATGACAAGTAACAGGGAATTAACAAAGACACAGGAATGCTTGTCATATTCATTTGAATAGGTTAGGATTTGGTTTGAGACAGGATGACTATCAATTGACTTGTGACTGTATTCTGCTTCACTTGTGATTGCTTAACTACAGAGTGTCCCCTGATAAAACCTGAACCCTCAAAGCACCCTCTTTGTCACATTTTTTAAAAAATATATCAGAAATACTGATACATATTTTAAAAGTATAGCTCATCAACTTTTCAGCAACAAAAAATCTTTCCAATCGGAAAAACATTTATTGAGTTATGGCAAATACAAAAATGTGCGGCCTTTTCATTTTGTCCACCGTCTTAATTGTCACTTATTAGGAATGCAATGGATTTGGGGGAGAGGGTAGTTTTGCTTTTGTTAACTTTTTAATCTTTCTTTCTCTGTTTGGTTTTTTTATACTTCTTATTTTTTTGCAACAATGTTCATTTTTTCTTTTTGGAAGAAATGGTAGTCCAAAAATGGACTGTTTTGTTTAACTTTTTAGAAGTTCACTGTTCTGATCCGCCCTCTACTTGGTTCGTCTTCCTTGGATGCAAGTTACGGCTTTTGTTCTCAATGGGGCTTTCAAACATCAGAAACACCATGGACAAAATGAAAAAGCAGTAGAGCTTTGTGCAATTAGCCACAACTCAACAAGTCTGGAATCGCTTGAAATTACGTTACTTCCATATATTAAAGCTAACAAATTAAGGCTTATGAACAGCTCAAAATATAATTGACTAATGCTTTATAAGGCTGTGATAAAGATGGACACCCTGTACAAGACAATAAAAATGAGTCAATCTACCTCATCCACTCTCACACCCTGGCTGAACGCGACATAGAACCGTCCAAGGTACGCCTGCTGTATTTCCTCATCCGACTTACGACTCGTGAAGATCCGGCAGAGCATCCCGCACGCCTCGGCCCGCCCCGCCTCATAATTATCGGGAAACTCCGACATGTCGAAGAGCGGGTTGGCGGCCACCGAGGCGGAGAACGGATCCTGGAGGGAGACACTGCGGAGGTCACTGAGGTGGGCTGAGCGGGCCGAGTCGGGAATCGCGATGGAATGGTGACGCTTGAATGCTTTACCTTAAATACCAAAAATGTATAACTCGATCACGTTACATTCTCCAATAGTGCATAAATACTCACAAATTAATACTGAGTGATTTTGTGAGAGAGAACTTTAAGTACTATTGTTGCATGGACAGAGGTAGTCAGTGTTATATTGCCAGTTTGTAGAGTGATTTCTGGGGAGGAGTACCAAACAAACCTTTTTGTTATTAAAAACATTTAAACAATGCACCGTGTGTGTATCAAATGCCAAGTATTGTCTGGCCAGGAAGACAATAGAAGAGTTGATGTACAAGTCACGAATACCCATGTCAATATTTTTCTCATTTTTCTCAGAGCTAATAACCACCTTTTCATGTTATTTTGATTAAGCTAGGTTATTTAACACTTAACCCAATTTGGTTAACACTATAGACTACAAACTAGTAGGTTATGGAAATTAAGTGTGATACATGCTGAATCCAACAGACTCATACAAAAAGAAATTTTTTTTTGTGCACTGGTCAGATCAACGAAACCAGTCAAAAACTGTCAATCATTTGATGTTTGTTAGGTCAGTGGCGCACCCAGGATTTGGCTTGGGGGCCTCACAAATTTGTTTCCAAACTTTTTTCAGAAGTTTGAATTTTTGTCAAAAATGTTGCTCCCAATTTTTTTTTTTTTTTTTTTTGGGGGGGGACTATTTCGACGTTGGTGACGCCATGTACACCCCTATTATACCACTCAAAAATAGGCTACATACATATCATCATGGTCAAATCGTGGGACTACAAAAAAAAAGAAAAAAAAAACATTTGACAACCCCGGGGGTTCAAGCCCACCGAGCCCCCCCCCCCCCCCCCCCCCCCCCCCCCCCCCCCCCCCCCTCAGGGTGTGCCACTGTGTTGGGTTCAGCAAGATTGAGTTTGGGTTGCTCAAATTTAGTTTGATCTAATTCAGCTACAATTAGTGAGTTTCCCACTGTTATACGTTGCTTCTATAGATTGCAATTATTTTACCAGGAATAGATAAAGCAACACCAACATTCCTCCTTTGTCTGTCTTATTATGACTAACACAGTCAGTAGTATGAAATACATAAGTTGGTTTTTGGCAGAAGACTACCAAAACATAGTGGTCTTGCAAAGCTGGTTGATTGGACTAATGCACCTCCCAAATTTAAGTACAGGCAGAAGTTAGTATTGCTCAAATACCATGGTACTAGTCAATTTGTGTTTCATACATATCTACATTCTTAGACCTTCAAAAAAGTACTGCTGTCGATGATCAAAGTTTCAAAATCTCCACACATTTGAGCACACTTTGGGGCCATGTGCGCTGTAGTTCAGTATCTTAGAGAGTAATAAAGAAGGAAGGCCCGTTCTAACTTCGCAGGAATGCAAATTTGGTGCATATTTGAATTTGACAATATGAAACATTTGGGGTAAATCTTCACCAAAAACGTGTAAATGTTCAACTTTTTCAAATTTGCAGTGAAAATTGTTGCCACTGATGTAATGAATTCACTCTGCACGTCCGTGTACTTGAACACTGTGGATTATCTACCAATCCCATAGGCAGGTAGCTTATGAATATGCATGAGGTGCAATGACAGTGTCAACAATAATACGTTACAGTTACAATCGGTACTGTGAGGGATGCTGTTAAACACTTTTACAAGGGTTTTTGGCTGACTGGAAATGAGACTAGCATGATGGCGTTAAAATGCACGATACAAATCTGTGACACAAATGTCGACATGACTGACTGTGCTGTGAATAACAGCAGTGAAGTTTTACATTTTTTTGGGGGGGGGGGAGGGGAGGGGGATGGTTCAAGCATATGATAATTGTACTTCTGATTAACAATGACTTTGTGGATTAGGAATTGATTGTGATAACGTACATGACTTCACAAATGTAATGGCATGGGCTATATACAATGTACTGTATCTTAACAGGACAAAAAAACAAATGTTACTTAAGCAGGGTCAACTGCACATTGAAGCTGCGTTAAAAAATCTTCTCACTGTTCTATAAAAACACTGGTCAATGAGGGCAGTGCCATGCACATGAAATTGATCTATAAATGGTATGTGTGTTTTGTACACAAAATGTTCTTAATGGTTTTTGTGTTAAGACTAATAGCGTGCTGGTGAATCGACCTCAATTCAGTAATGGATCAAACGGGAATATTGTAGAAAACATTCCAATGACGAATAACAGGAACTGGTCAAATAAGAAATGTCAACCACTCTGATGGGAGCTGACTAAATTCTCAATGTCATCTTTGTTTTGAATGAGACCGTTTTTCTTGACGTGTTTTTTTGTTCACAGCCAACAAAATTGACCAAGATATTTGGAGGGATTGATTGTACTGAGCAGTTCCACGTGGAAATATACACCCTTGTAAACGTCAGAGCAGTTAAAAAGGCAATTTGCCTATTACCTAGTCTTTTGAGGATCAACATTTAAATATCTGGTACACTGATTTGTTTCAGCTTTGAATAAGCCCCTGTACTGATGACGTCACACTTTGTGTACTTGTGCGCTTTTCTATGGGGCTACAAAATCGACGTCTCCACCAAGCTCCCATAAGAAAGCACACGTGTGAACAAAGTGTGACGTCATCGGTACAAAGGCTTATTCTCCAGACTAGAGACACTTTTGCTGTATCACATGATTCGGGGCAAGTTCTTATATCATTATGTAAGAAATATTTTCATATAAATCTACTCAGAATTTTTTAATAATTTTTTAAAATATTTGTTTTTGCTTTGCAACTCCATGAAATCAGTCCTGGACCATTCCAGAGCTGAAGGTTGCTGATTTAAGGCTTGTCCCTAAACATGTATTAAAGCAACAGTACAATGGGGAGTCAGGTTGGCGTAGCAGTACTTTCCTCGCCTTCCACCGCTGTGACCCGGGTTCGAATCCCGCCTGGGCCAATATGTGGATTGGGTTTTCAGTCCCTGCCTGATTCCGTGGGTTTTCCCCAGAATATTCTTCTGGGGTTTTCCTCCCGCCTCTAAAACTGTAATTTCTTCTCATTGTCTTCTCTCCACAGGTTTCTTCAGGCTTGCTAGCTACAGTGCCTGGGGTGCTTTTGAGGAATCCTTGGTTTCATTACCAGAAATGATTAATAATATTAATATAATAATAGTATTAGTCCAGGGGTCAAATTTGAATGCATATGTAAAAAAAAAAAAAAAAAATTTGGAGAGACAAAACTCCGCATTTTAAGTCAGGTTGCATCCAAGTTACTTTGCTTTGGCTGGTAGTCACAGCCATGTCTGTGGGAAATGGCTCCGGCCACTTCCATCAGTGCATGTGTACGTGCTAGCCGTTGCCAAGTAATTTGGACGTAGCCTTACCAAAAAAACGCTTGTTAAGCATGCCATGCAGGTGTACAATTGTGTAAATTTCATAACAACTGATGTAACACAGAAAATGACAACCAAATGTAGAGTGCATACGTGCAAAAAAATCATAGACATAATGCAGTGTCACCAATGCCCTTTGCACGTGAATTTATATGGCAAATGTTGATTCTCTTCAGTGTTAATGTCAGTGTTATTAACCCTTACTCCCTGTGTAATGTTTTGGTTAGCAACTGTCCTGAATCCTACAATGTCCACCAGTATCTAGGAAACAGACATGACAGATGGGCTACATCTTCCTTAAAAAAAACCCTTCTGGTAGATTTGGACGGAATCGGTTAAAATAAGGGTTCGAGTTGCTCTACCCATGCTCTTCAACATATTTGATTTTTTTTTTCTCAAGAATTTTCAATCTGTAGTTTTATGTCAATGGAAAAAAAAAATTCTATTTAGGAAGTTTTTAACCCTCTGAAAATATCTTTTTATTTTGGTTTGCTTTTGTGCTCATAACGCACAAAAAGATCCTGAATTATTGTTATAAAGTCTATTTTTCAGGGTGAAACTTGAATAGCAAGGGGAGAGCAACTGAAACAAAATGTATTTATTTAGAATTAGGCAAAAAGTTAAGAGTGGCAAGCTTATTAGAGTATACATGTACATGTATATACTGCATTTGAGTAACAAGTTTCATTAGTTTTCAAATTGTACTTCAAATGGATATCATTCACATTAAACAAAGTCAGTACCAATCAGAATAAGTCTTTCCTATTCTTGCAAGAGTCGTTATTTTAATGTTAAATATGTCTATTATTTTTTGCTTGATCAGTCACAGGCAGTCAAAAAGTCATTCCACTTCCCCTGCCATGCCTTTTAGGCAGGCTAGTCACCAACAGTCAGATCATATCTCTATAGGCACAGTGACTAGTCATATTCCATCAATAGACAAAAGCAGGTCACTGGTAGGCACAGCTGGCTTATCAATCATCTACAGCCAAAGCACAGCTGTATCAAGTTTCGTAACAACCAAGACCAGTCAATCCTGTTTTATGTGAGAAGGGAGCACTCAACTGGTTATAACAGTCACTTGATTTATTTTGACTGCTGAGTTGGCTTTGTTGAATTTGCCAGCTGGATTGGGAGGGTTACGGCATTCATTCATTTGTGGTTGATTGGTGTGGGACATGCAGCATGCACTCAACTCAAAAGTTTATTTATTTTGTGTTAGGTGTCCAAAATCATATTACATTTGTCTATATTAATCATGCACCGAAAGTAAAAAAAAAAGGTCTATTGCCATGCCTATAGCATGAAATAAAAGTCAGATTTGGTTTAAATAACAAATTATGTTAATAGTTTAATGGGCAATTCCACAATTACTCACGTTACATTTTTGATGTACTTTTGAGTTTCCTTGGGCTGTAATTACTTTACTGAAAAGGTTTAATAACTCAGTCCTTCTGATATGAAAACCACAGGCGTGTGGAAAAAGGCACACCTGGATTTTTCCAGGCGTGTGGTTTTTTCTAGGTGTGCGATTCTGAGGTCCAGGGAAATTCAGGCATGCAATTATTCACACTTCTCAGTAAGCTTTTAGGCATGCTATGGCGTGGGGGTGCAATCGCACGCCTCAAATCAGAAGGACTGATAACTGTTATCCCCATGGTAGATAGAGTAGACCTAGACCTACCTAAGCACCAAAGATGACATTCAGAAAAATGTGTTATGTATGATAAACGAGACGCACAAAAACAGTTACTCACATTACGAAAATGTAACGTGAGTAACCGTGGAATTGCCCTAATAATCTTATAATGTAATGTGTTGTCTAATAGTATTTGAACGTTCTAAGACTGTGATGCAGTAATACCACTGCAAAACATTTCAACGAGTTTTAACCAAATTCAAACCAAGTTAAGCATGGAATTCATATGTGTGTCAATGTGGCATGCATGGTGACAAAACTGATCTCTCAACAAAATCCTGCTATACTCATCCAGCTAATGGATTAGTCAAACGGTTTTATTTCAGGTGCTTTTTGGAGGTTTGAAAAATAACTATCTGACCTTGCTTGAACAAAATTGTATCTAAAAGGAAAGAAAAGAAATATAGATAAAACAGCTGGATAGAGGGGGAAAAGGGGCAATTATAACTAAATAAAATACCAAGATCAGTAATCAAGTTAATCGAGATAGAGATTGGTTTTGAAATTATGATTTAAAGAGATAATCACTTTAAAAGGATTCTCTGATGACGACAAAATCTTGGCTAGAAATTTCAAATTTGACTGAAATACTGAACATTCGCTATGAAATATAATTCCGCACATGAGAACCTTACATGAAGCTCTGGTTTTCAAATTACATGTATGATTGAAAGAGATAATCACTTCAAAAGCATTCTCTGAAGACGACAAAATCTCGGCTAGAAAATTTCAAGTTTGACTGAAATACTGAACATTCCCTATGAAATATAAATCTGCACATGAGAACCTTACTTAAAAGTTACTAAACTGAGAATTTAAATCAAATTCAAATTTAAAACAAATTTGGTGCAATCATGAACAAAACACAAAAAAATGTGTAAACAAAGTGAGATGAAATGATGAAATGAACATACCCAAAGCAAAGTTAGTGGTGTTAGTGCGGGCATCGACAGCTAAAGACCTCCGACGGGGAGGCGGGAGGATTTTACAGCGAGACTTACAGCCGGTGAGGGCCGCCTCAAACAGCCACGCCCCAAACAGGTGCAAGATGCTGTTGCACTGGGAGCGCCGGGGGGTGGGGCTGCCCCTCCCATCCGTGGCGTCCTCCACGCAGAACGACATCGTGGTTTGACTGGAGGATTGGGAGGATAAAGGGGGAGGGTGGTGGGACGATGTGAGTTTCTCTTTGAACTGCTTGGTGGAGATTTGTTCCTTGCGGCTGATCTTGCGACTTGGGGGCGGGGTGTCTCCAGGTGGGAGGGTGGGGGTCCGTGTGGTGTGTGGATCGGCACTCTGATGGGTGGATATACCTAGAACACACAGGTTGTGAAAATAGGCTGCTAGATTTATCTTTACAAAATACTTAGTAATTTTGTATATTAAAAAATTATCTGGGGAGTAAAAAAACAGCCAGAAGCTTACAAAACTACAAAGCCAGGTTTAAACCTTTTTTTTTTTACAGATTTAAAAGGTTTGGGAAATTATTTTTAAAAAAGAGATACGTTATTCACACAGTAAACCTGCAACATTTTTTCCAATATGAGAAAAACGTTTAGAGGATAAAACATTGAACTAAATCATACAAATTATCGTATTGTCCTCTGAGTGAGTGAGAGAGTCACTGACTGACTGATACGCTGGATATAAATTATCTCCTAAACTTAGACTATCAGGCCCAGCTGGACTGCGTACATCCACCTAGGAATCTGTGCAAGGGCAAGGCAGTGCAAAGTTCTGCTCCGGTGCTGAAATCAAAGAATGGTAAATATATGGGCAGAATTCTGTGGTTAAAATTGTGGCCTAGATCATGTCCGGTCCCAAGTTCATGAAGCTGCTTAGCAGAAAATATTGCTTAGTAAATTTATATGCTTAGCAAAAATCCACTGAGAACCAGTCACAAACAGTACATGTTGCATGACATTTCAGCTGGTAACCTGTTTCTGCTAAGCAAATATTTTCTGTGCTTAGCAAATATCTGTGCTTAAGAAAGCTCATTAAATGGCCCCTGGGACTATCGAGGTTAGGGGAGAATGTGCAATTAAACAGGTGGTAAATGGGTCATTCCACCGGGTTGAGGAACAATGTGTGACATATGACCATATTAAGAAAAGCATGAATGCCTTGCTAGCAGTTGCTCTACATAATATTTGTTGTTGGGTGTTTCACAACTGCAGAAAGTTTGAAATCATTTCAATGTATTTTGCCAAAAATATGAGCAAAAAATGTCATTTTGGACGTAACATTGACACCGTGTCAGTGTTGCGTCCAAATATCACATTTGTACCTTTTTAAAAAATTTCTGCGAAACATTACCCAAATTCACTTTGCGTACTTCTTACTATACATGCAACACAATTAGAAAAGCTTTTGTTTTGGTAGTCAGGTATCAAATAGAGCAGAAATGATAGCTTGGTTGTGTGGATGTAACATTGACACGATGTAAAACCCAATGTCACACTTCCATTGAGTGATTTTTACACCGTTACATCCACACTAGAGGTATTGTTTCAACTATATTTGAACCCTGACTATACCAAAACAAAAGCTTTTCTTGGTGCTTAGGTGTCCAGTTGTAAATATGCAATGTCAGTTTGGGTAATATTTTACATACGTGTAAAAAATGGCAAAAAAAGAATATTTGGATGTAACATTGACACGGTGTCAGTGTTGCATCCGAATTAATACATTTTTGCTCATATTTTTGTCAAAATACTTTCAAATGATTTCAAACTTTCTCAACTATTGAAACATCCTAAGACAAATATTATGTTGAGCAATTGGTTAGAATGCATTGATACTTTTAATAATATAACCAAATATATGGATGTAACATGCACTGTTTCCCAACCCGGTGGAATGACCCAAATAAGGTTGACCTCAAGGTTTTACAAGGTTTTATGGGGTAACTTGGGGTTCAACATCGAGTTGCCACTTGTTTGATTTGGCATTCTTGTCTTACCCAAGAACGCATCAATGACAACCGACACCCCTCTCATGGCCTTCAAGAAGATCTGCGGCAGGGCTTGCAGGCAGGTGAACTGGTGGGGTTCCAGGGAGGGTTGATAGGTCACGGCCGCCGACCGGAACTTAGGGGTGTGACTTATGACCTTTGGCCTGCAGAGGTCAACGGGGTTACCCAGGAGGTGGAGGAAGCGGAACCAGGTCTGGGCGATGCCGTCGTTGTCCAGCTCTGTCGGGATGATGTGGGCTTCTTCATCAGCTGATTGGGGAGGGGGAAAAAGGGAAAAAGCAAAGCCATTAAAGTACAAATTTTGACTGAGTACATCAATTTTTGTCACATGTCTAACCACAATTCAGCCCATCGTATGTAAGATTTATCCCTTCACCTGAAACAGACCTGCAGGGTTTTACAAATTGCTCTGAATATTGATTTCTCACTAGGATGGTTAATAGTACTGGGGTAAATTACACTCGTGAACAATACAAATGTTGAACAATGTTTTGATCTTGTTGAGCATATCTAATGTCAACACATTCACGAACACAGTAAAACATTTGTGTTGTTTACATGAACGGAATGCATCCAAGGCAAAGTACTAGAACGTGCATTACCAATGAAGAGAGTTGGGAACTCAGGTCCGTAGAGAATCTTGAGCAGTCTGGAGGTCAGCACCTTGTTGATGCGATTCCACTGCTCTACCGTGGCGGCATGGTGGCGCCACGTGGCGCACATGTCAGTCAGGGTCCGCCACAGCGTCGGGGAGGGAAAGCAGCGTCCGCAGGCCAACAGCCAGATCTCAAAGAGGACACTGAGCAGGCGCTCACACAGCTGCTCAGCTAGGCTGTCTGGAATGGGCACCATAGACAGCGCTCCTGAGTGGTCGCAGTGTTTGGTGGTAGTAATGGTAGTAGAAGCAGGGTTGGATGATGGTGGCAGAAGTGGGATTCGGTGGCAGAAGTGGGATTTGGTAGCAGGGGTAGGATAAGGCAGCATGAGGTGTGATGTGAGACAAGATAGAAGCAATGTTAGAATACCATTGGAACACCAACTACAACTACTGATCTATATTTTGGGAAGAATGGTGGGGCACTGAGTGACCTCACAAGAGTAATGATGTAACCTAAAACTACGCTCCTTGTGAATAAAATGGGCAACATTCCCATTATTGTTTAGCTTTGATTTCTTTGTAATGTCCATGCTCAAGTACATTCTTCTCATGCACATGTGCTACAAGTTAGTGCTAATGGCATGCCAAAACCAGTTCATGATGTAGTGCGACCTTTTATGTGAGTAGACTTCAAAGAGTCTCCTAGCCTTAGTATACATGGCAAAGTCAAGCCCAGTGCATGACAAAACTACCCTGTTTCACATGAAGAGAATCCACCTGAGGGAAGGCACACGATTGAAAACGACAGTGACTTCCTCTAACAGTGATTTCACATTTTTGATACTTGAGGGTGTTGTTTCAAAGAAAAAGAAAAACCACCAGCTACGACATGGAACAGGAATAGCTCCCAGCGTTTCAATATATTTCCTCCAAAACCCAACAGCTGCCCCTGCAGCCACAGGTGCTTGATGTACCAACATTCCTTTGTTCTGCTGCACAGTGTTGGATTTTGGAAGATTGGAAGATTAAGGATCCCATCAAGCCAAACTACCAAGAGGTAAAGGGTTAATTCCTACAATCACCCTGAAGTATACATGAACCAAGCAATAAGACATTCACATTGCATCCTGGAAATGGGTTACAAACAGGCACAAAAACTATGATTTTCAAATTATTTTTTTCTTCAGTATTTTTTTCAAAATTAACTGTTCATCACTTCACCTTTTAATGCACATAATATAAGAACTTTTGTTTGTGAAGGACATTCAGGTTGCTTTTGACTTGAGAAATAAAGAAGAAATAATCTTGAAATTTCTTTCATGGTACCAGTCATCAGGCACAGAGGAACGATTATGATTGGTCAGTACTGGAGGCATGAGCTTGAAATCTTGATTCTGATTGGCCAATAGTGGCAGAGATAGTGTCCATTCATGTAAGTCATGAACTGGTATCTTACAAGTAACTCCCCCAAACTTTCTTCATTCTGATAAGTTTTGAACAATTACCAATGCAACAAAGCCAACAATGTGCAGGATACATTCAGGAGGAATCAAATGAAAGTTTTAGCCAGTGCACAAATTGTCTGGTTTTACTTGTCACCCATAGGCCTACTCAAGATACATTGTGAATATTGAAGGAAAGGTTTATGGACAGCCTGCATGAACAGTAGATGGTACTTTGGGGCGCTGTGGTCCAATGGTTACGGTGTTCGGCTCGTGTGCCGTGGTACACGAGTTCGAATCCTGACCGTGGGAACATGGTGCTTGTGCTCTTGAGCAAGGCACTTTACCATTATTGCTTCGTCCTTCGGATGGAACGTAAAGCCGTAGGTCCCGTGTGTTGTGTAATGCACGTTAAAGAACCCAGTAACACTTGTCGCTAAGAGGAGGGGTTTGCCCCGGTGTTTCTGGCAGTGGCAGCAATTATGCGCCGCAGCACCTAGCAAAAAGGTGCTTCATAATGGGTCTCATATGTTCATATACTTCATTTACCTGGCTTTGGTTGCATTCTAACCCAGCGCTTTGTATCCTCTGGCAAAAAGCGCTACATAAATACAGTTATTATTATTATTTATTATTATTACTTTGTGACCACTGATCCACATGTATTAAGCCAGCACACACCTTTCCGATCTCAACGGTTCACCGGATCACCCCAACATCGGTACATTCTTCTTTCACTGTTACGGTTAGACCGCAACATTGCCCACACACATGCCCGATTCCGTTCTATAATCGTTCACATGATGACAAGTCACATGATGACAAAATAGCACCCGTCAATTTGAAATCATGTGACTTCCTTCGTAAATCTGATTGGGGGGATACTAGTGCACCGAGTCCACAGGCGTTTAGTTTCTTTGACAAATGTTTTGCAAGACATAGAGAAAATTTTAAACTGAACATGAAACCTATTCATGTACATGTACCAACACCGATTCCACTTCTTAAAGAATTATGCACCGTGGATACCAAGGCTTATTACATATACAGCAAATCCTGTATTCAGCAAACCCCAGGCTATTAAGCGCTCGTACATATGTTGGGCATGGAAGTTAACTCTGGGTGAAATATATGCTACTGGAAGTGTTAAAGTTAAGAATGAGTAATTTGCTTCGGTAAATTACTACCAATCTATCTACAATGAAGTTACTCATCACACCACCAATGCTAAGCATACATGTATGTAAGTAGCTGAGGGTGCTTAATGGGAAAATGCCGAAGGGAGTTTGGAGAATATTTGAAAGTTTGAAACATCAAATTGGATAACAGCAAATCCTGAGCGAAATTTCAAAGCTGCTTAGCAAATGTTTTATTTCCTATTTCTTGCAGGTTTTTCATATTATTAAGGTAAGCAATATAAAGCAATCATAGTGAAGACATAGTGTATCAAAATTCAGCAGTGCTATAGGCAAATCCGAGTTGCCCAGTTTTTATTACTGGGCCAGCTTTCCACCACTATTGGGACGCTCCTAAGCTCACTTTGGTATTAATTACAATGCACTTGTCTTAAGTGACATGTTCAGAGCTTTGCAAAATGCCTGTGCGATGGGCGCTTAGGCATGGAGGTGTCAAAGTAATGGCTACCATTATAAGATGGAATTTTGCGTAAATCAAATTAGGTTTTGGCCCTTCACCTACGTTTAAACACTGTATACTCAGTGTGTTACCTCCCAAGTGAAAGTTGAAAAAAAAAAAAAAAAAAAATCACTCGGGTGGGACTCGAACCCACGACCTCCTCGGGAGGTAACACACTGAGCATACAGTGTTTAAACGTCGGTGAAGGGCAAAAATCTACTTTGATTAATTAACCCTTACCCTACTTGACCCTCCAACGCATGCCAATTGTGCCTCAAGAAAATCTCCTATGTTTTTTGCATGGCCCTCCAATATCTGCCATGTCATTTCAAGGGTAACTGGACAGGCACTCCAACACATGCCACAGAGAACAATGAGAGTCCTCTGATAACAAAGTGAGTGCCCCCAGCTGGTCAGTATCAGGCACCCTCCAGGGCCTCCAACTCCTGCCAATTGGAGCCTTCACTGTTAAGACTTGTTATCTGCCAAATAACTGCAGCTGGAGGGCATTGGCATAACCAACTGACATGCAGTAAACTACCCTCAGAGAGTAAGGGTTAATATGGCTACCAGTCTACCATCCTTATGCATACAGGAGATCTGCACTTTTAGAAGGAAGGAAGGAAGAACCGTCACCATAATTTCAATATCGGATTGTGTATAAAATTGTAAGAAATCATCTGATCTGTATATCCCTTTAGTCACTGTACTGCCCTAAACCGCCCAAGCATTCTATGGTTTTATTGATTTTTCAGTGAATAAACACAATGTAATAAGTACAGATGCTAGTGGGATATTAGGCCAAAAAAAAAAAATTTCGGTCTCTGGCCAGACCAAAGTTCCGGAATTGAAGCGGCCACGCGGCTTTTTTTTTTTTTTTTTTTTTTTTTTTTCCTCAAGCTTGGATTGTACAGACAAGGTGGGGTACTATTTTGCTTTTTTTGGTGTCCTCATGTACATTGGTGTCCTCCATAATTTGCCTTGGTGCCCTCGATCATTTGCCTTGGTGCAATTTCCCACTCCTTGGTGCTCTTTGGTAAAAAAAAATTGAGGTGCGGCAATAGAGGGCACTGTTGGAGCTACCGCGGAACATTTTGGAAAAAAAAAAAGGTTGACGCGCATCATTACAATCGACGTGCGCGCTGACCAGAGACCGACTTTTTTTTTTTTTGGCCTTATGAAGAGATTCTAAAATAAATCGCAGTAAAAAGTACCACATTTTGCACACTTTGGATAGAGTTTTTGGAAGGTAAAACGATTCAGTATATATGTATACACATACCCGGTTCAAGGGGCGGGGCCAAAATGATGTCATTGGCAGCCAACAGAAACTTCAACAGGGATTCCCAGGTTTGCCTCGTCATGACGATGCTCTCGGTTGCGACGGTCTGTATGGTGCGCAAGACGCGGTGACACAACATGACCTGGGTCGTTGTCTCATGCATATTCATTCCTGAGGGTGAGGTACAATTTGGGTTTAAATTCATATATACAATTTTTAAAGGGAATATACAACATTTGCAAATATCGAAAAATAAAACTATCCAGTTTTTACGAAATACCTTACTTGGATGTTGGTAAATGACAGTCAAAAGCATCCTGTAAAATTATGGCTCCTGGTGTGAAGTCATTTTCAAGAAATTGGTATTTTTGTATACATTTCCAACAGTGGTCGGCCGATCACCGTTGGAAAAACCTAACTATTTTTCAACTTCTTCTTCAACTTTACCATTTTTTCAGTCCAAATTTTGTTTGCTATTGGGAACATGTTCATGAACGGGTGCAGGCCAGCTACACTGGTTCCCTTACCTTACAATTTTTCGGCATTCATAAATTGATCCATTTTATCCTTAGTGGAGTCAGGGAACCAGGCTACTTGAACATTTTTGTTTTTCTTGGTTTTTCCAGCGTTTTCGAACACAAAACTTCCAACATGTCAGTGTACTAACCCCTCAAGTAGTTATTTCTGAAAATTACAGCAAAATCCAATGATTTACATTCCCTTTAAGGCTGGGTTTCTTATTATCGATAATCAGGTTTAGTAGTAATACATTTTCTGTGTGTTCAGAAAAACTTTGTTTTTAGAAAATCAGCTAACAGGCACTGAAACAGAGTTATTGGAGGCGTGTGTATTGATCCTGACTTGCAATCCAACATTCATTCTTGATACTTGAAATGGTGAGCATCGTGCTGCTAAGCACACGTTTTTCTGCTAACAGAGCCTCCGTCTATTTCATGGAGACCGTAAGCATAAGCACAGCAAAAGGCATGCTTACCTCAGAGGAAAAATTTGCTTAACTTAGTGACGTAACAATAGAAATCCCCATGCACGCACGACCGTTAGCACACACACGCCGTGAAATAGTGCTTAAGGTTAGCAAATTTTTCTGCTATGCTAAACACAACTTTTCTGCTAACTGTTAAGCAGCCCCGTGAAATAAGCCATTTGCGAGTAACCTATACCTTTTGGGATTTACATTTGAAAAACGTCTGGTACAATGACTTGCTCAGAATGCTTGGCACATTTTAACTTTGAATTCTCCAGACCAAAGACACTGTTGCTAATCACAAGATTCGGGGCAAGCTCTTGCATAGTTACGTAAGAGACGCTCAGCACCAATACATCGTTCACAATGGGTGAGAATGGCACAAAGACACCAGACCATGCCGGAGCTGGGGGTTGCTAGCATAAGGCTTGCCCCGAATCACGTGATATAGTAACAGTCTCTTTGGTCGGGAGAATGCTACGTTAAAACGTGCAAAGCATTGTATTAAGTCAGCGTTCCAGATTTTATTCAAATTTAACTCGCAAACGGCTTATTGGGCCCATGACCCTAGCACTGTGTGCATTTACCTCAACGAAATACAATACAATGACTGCATGATGCCAAATCTCATAAAATACAATAGACTTCAGAAAACCAAGTACTGTGTTTATAAGTATGCATCCAGGTTGATTGACAATAGTAGATGTACTTTGTTTTGGTGTTCAAACAGATCTTACTACTTTTAGTTACCACATTTTCTTCTGGTCATCAAATTTTAATTCAATTAATTCCATGTGAAGACTTTATATCCAACACGCGATATATCCGCATAAAAAAAGGGAAAATGGTGCATGTTTTGGAAACCTAAAGAACATGTACAACAGCTGTTTTTAACCTACATTGCTAGCTTTGTTGCATTCTTAAATTGTGTTTAATAAGATAACAGCCGTCGAAACTGACTGTGGGCAACTTGGAGAGGGTAAGATTCTAAAAGGTATGAAAACTGCGTTTATCAGGTTTTGGAAACAAACTCTTCACTTCTTCAGTTTCGATTTATATTCCAAAACAAGTCCCTTTTGTTTACATTTGGTTTTTCACTGGTGGAAAGCCTCTCGATAAGCTTTATAACTTTTAAGGCAATCCTTCAGGCCTTCATTTTGCATTGTTTGTTTTGTTGTCGTCCTTTATAATTTGTATACTACAATTTTCTTTTCCCACGCCAGTGAGAAACATGGTGTGGGCTTGAGCTGCTTATGTTGGTTGGTGGGTGGGTTGGTGGGTGGGTGGACACTTTATTTGGGGTGTATTATACTGTTCCATGCCACGCGTGTATCACAGCTTTGCCAGTGAGTTTCTATGGAATACCTACAGCTTTGCGACACTGATGCGCATGCGTCTAATTTGTGTATTAGATCACACCCCATTGCATGGCAAAATTTGTGGTTGTACGGTTCATGGAACCGCCTCGAGTTGTACCACTTGGTACTCGTTCTTTTTACCATTGTTTGAACATATTTCATTGTCTGTTTACCATGTACTTGAATTTTAATCTATTCATTTGCCAGGAACCTAATAAATAGTATAAAGATCTGAGTGTCCAGTCTAAGCATACCTTGCATTCGTGGTTGCATTCTCGGCAGGAATAAATTGATGAGATGTCTTAGGATCTTCTGCACGAAGAAGTTAGGGTCTTTGAGTAGTGGAGTGGGTATGGTGTGTTTGGGGATGGTTAGAGCACTCAGCCACTCACAGTAGACATTCACGCAGCTTTTGACGGCTTCTTGCTCAGTTAAAGATAATGTCAGGCCATAACAGATCACCTGTGAATGTAACACAAACAACTTACAAAGGAATTTAACGCTCAGTGTAAATGATTAATAAACATTAATAAGCAGTATGCTGCCTTTTGATGAGGGTGAAGTTTTTTTTTTGGGGGGGCAGGTCCTTGTAACAAGGACTGAAGCCAATGAAAACTTTTTAAAAAATACGTTACTACTTCATGGAATGTGCAGACATTTCTAATATCTTTAGAACTGTAATTTTTCAGTTTTAGTAAGTTGGACCCTAACGTCACAAATTCTACTTTAAAATGTTTTGACTTAAACGGCAATAGCACAGTAATATATTGTTGCCACAGTTGTGTCTAAAATTAGCTTATTAGCAATACCTGTATTTGTAGGGTCCAAAAAAAATCAACCAAGGACAAAAAAACACTCAACCTTTTTACAACTTAAAAAAGGTAAAATAGGAAACTATATCTGTTCAATTAATTTATGATTTTTTTTGTTCAGTATTGTACCGGCACGGCCAGGCACTGAACATGAACAGTGACTGTTTTTTGGGGTCTTAGACATTTTTACTATGACGAATCTTTGTCTGGTTCCACACTACTAAACACTGTCGTTGTGACGTTGTGTTAAAGAGATGGGAATCAGACCTAGGCCCTATTATACTCCAGAGCCACAAATCAGAAAAAGTAGATGAAAATACTCTGCAATTACACTAGCTACATGTGAATGAATATGAGCATGTCAGCTGGAGTTACTCAAGCTACAATTACACGTAGGATTCGATTTAAAACAATAAATGAAGACAACTGTTATTTTTTTGCACACCAAAAATAAAATTTCACACTATACTAGGACAAGCCTTTGCTCGACGAGAAATGGTAATTTAATATCTTACTAGGCCAATACTAATTCTTTATGGTGTAGGCCTGGTCGTTTACACGTGCACGAGGGCGCTATATGATCTGCCGGCTTATGAACGGGTCCGACAAAATGTGAGACCGTTTCACAGCTAAAATAAACACTTCATTTATTTAGGCTATATGTAATTTGTAAAGTTAGTTTAAATAAAGGCTGTAAATTCAAGGCAGTGTATATTTTGCCGGAGACGGCAAACCTTCAGTAAACGTTAGTTTGCCGGATATGCACTGAACATGCGCAGTTACTGTTTTTTTGTCCTTAAACATTTTCCGGTGACAAATTTTAGTCTGGCTCCATGCCAATATTATCGTTGTAACCTCGTATTCACAAGATGGGATTCAGACCATTTTATAATTTCGGACTTTATTTCCCTTTAAAAAAAATCCTCCAGAGCCACAAATCTGAAAAAGAAAATGTAATACTCTGCAATAAAATGTTTGAGACATGTTAAAATAATAAAAGAAGAATATTCTTATTTATATGGGGATAAAAAAAAAAATTAAAAATGTGGCAAGGATCAGGATTCGAACTCGGGACATTCCACTCACTAGAGCAATAGCTTATCCACTGCACCGATTGTGCTACACAACTTTAGTGGGAATTTAATACATATTATAATTCAGCCTTTTATCAGAGTTTTATCATTGGGTTGTCATCTAGGGCTGGAGCGAGTTTTTCTCGTAACTTGTAGTATAGGCAAAAAATTTTGGAAAATGTTCAATTTTGTCCCCGTTACACACTAATTGCAACTGCAACTCACCCCAAACTTGCCTGGAATAACCATTACACAGGTCCTTGAAGTAAAAAACGATCCACGATGAAGATTCAGCCTACAATTGCAGTGAAAACAGGAGGAATAACCGCTAACCTGACAACCTTTCAGGCATGGCCAGGACTGCAATTGGTTTGTGCACAAAAAAATTGTGTACAATGAATGGCGGTCGAATAACATGCACAGAGAGCGATCGCTGTCAACTACTCGTTTTTGCCGGCTGCGCTGGCTGTTGGCGCATGACGTCACGCGGAAGCGTAACACCCGATGACTGTTTCATGCACTATTGGTTGCGGTTCCAGTACCAAAGCTGTGATGTGAGTGGTAAACCTTATATTAGTGCATGAAACGTTACCTCCGGCAAAATATACACTACCTAAATTCAATTGTAAACTTTTAATTATCATTCATAAACACCTCAGACAGTTTAGCTATTCCTATTGGTCGAGAGCCCGTCACGTGGCCGGTATTAAACGGATGATAAAGACATGGCTAGCTGGTCTTAAACACTTTTCCAGTGTCGCAATAAAATGTGGACTCCTAAAAATCCAGTGCCTCTTACCGTTTCATTGGTTGAACGTTCACAATCCTCACGTAGGCATGCGCAACACTACAAGCGAGTGACATCGCGCAGAACATGTTACGCGCGCGTCAATCTCCATAAAAGGGTTGTTTACATCTTACTCGCCAGCTGAACACTCCATTATTTTGCTAGAGGGATGTTTCAAAAAGCATGAAGTGAACTTGTTGAACAAAATCGGGATTTTTTGAACGAATTATTTTTTATTTTTGATATAATTATCAGCACCCAGACTCTAAGCGGTATTAAACGAGTGATAAAAACCTCCGGAGCACACATTTATTCCCTTATTTCATGTTTATATTTGATCCTGAACGGCTTGCTTTGCTTGCAACTTGTTGTATGTAGGCCAAAAGCATTACTGATTAAAACATCGATAAATGAAATCACCTCCATAGTCCATAGCACTTCTTTCTCCGTATCTAGCGGGCTCCGTAGGTGCTGACTGCCTGCACGACTACTCGTCGCAGTCAAACTCAGATGATTCGCAAGTTGTCGAACCACGGAAAGGACAACTTCCCTTCCGACATTGTCAGGAAAGCTCTGCAGAACGCTACGATTGCTCCCATCGCTCTCAACTTCTGGCTGCATTGATGCCCACCACGAATACATGGTGGCTGTTGAATTCCAGAACTGTGTGTCGTGAAATTATCAACTTGGGAAAGGAAGAAAAGAAGTGGAAAATTTAGGGACCTCGAAAGCTTCCATCTTCCACTTGAGCTAGCGCCCTCTGCTGCTTGTATTGGGCCAGTCTGCCGGCCAAACAGGTTAGGGTGAACGAACTTTGGTATTAAGCGAGGTTTTACAAACATGTAGTTCATGGAAACTATTTGTTTCGTTTCATTAATTATTGACAACATTATTTCCTATAATTTTGATCAAATCTATAAATCCATATTTAATTGATTCTGTAGTTGTAACAAGTTGTATCCGAAATTCTCAAAACTTGTACATTTAAGGGAACATGAAATACTCGTTGATTCATAAATCAGGGAGGCATTTAAATAATAGCCAAGCGTCATTTAAATCGCCGTGTGTAGGCGTGGTATGTGGGACCCGGCTGTTGTTTACAAACTTTGCGGTTGGTAAGCGGATACTGTTATATGCACAAAAGCCGTGGTGTTCAGTGCTCAAAAGGTGGCGTTTAAGAACAACAAATCTACAAACTCTCGGAACGATTCCTTCTGGTGTTGCTCTATGGTTGTGAATGACAATTCTCTTTACGCAAACTGACACAGTGAGTGTGGATCTGGATCGTTACAGTGCGAGCAATTTAAAACGGCTACCCGCATAACATTGACAAAGGGGATTCCCGTACCCGCATCAGATCACAGTGAGTGACAAAGACAACATCGGTTGTGACTCATTGTTCATGTTGTACAGGATGTGCATGCTTTGTCATTGATTCGTGGTTCATTTTATCATATTTCATTACACTGTGCAGATTGTGGTAGGAGGAGGTAAGACTTAAACAACTTTACCATGTGGTTTCAAGTTTTTCTATTTAATTTGTTGTTGTTTTACAGTGCGTTTATCTTCAACCATATGAAGGCAGCACTTAGAAGGAAGAAGAAGTGTTTGTCTTTAATGAGACTAAGGAAATGTTGCAGAACTTTTTGCCTATAGGCCTCCTACCAAATTGTATTTGTATTTTTTGCTCAATACATAAGTAAAATAGTAAAATTAAATCCAAGCAACAAAAGGTTGGCCTACGTTGTAGATCCAGTATGGGGTGCTAGAAGTAGACCTCTTTTTTTTTTATTTTGACTTTCGTTGTCGGTCAACATGTTAATTGAGTGACAACTGAAATAAATCCAGATTGTTTTAACTTTGTGGGAATTTTGTTTTCATTAAAAGGCACAGTAGATTATGATCGATGATTTTTTGTTCGCTCGGCAAAGATAGTCGAAATTTTTCGGTCTGGGAACCAGAATACCGCATAGGCTACAATGCGCACACTTATACGCATGCACATACTATCATTTCGCTTGTACCGTACCCCCCTCGGCGCCGAGCGAACCGAAAATTATCGATCGATCATTTCTGCGTGCACGTTTCAAGTGTCAGGTTGGCTCAGTGTGGAAAGGGCACATTTTGGCCTAAATACAGACAGAATCCACCAATGTGTCTTGGGTGCAATTTACGTGAGTATGTCAAGGGGTATAGTATGGAAGTTTAGGGGCAAACTGTGCAGCGGTTCTGTGGAAATTGGCTGTGTTTTGATGGACGTTTTTGTACTTAGTTGGTGTTTTGTAGAAGCAAACAATTTTGCGGGGTAAGCTGCCTATGGGGCTCTGCTCCGCGGAGTAGCCATAGTACTAGGTGTTTTCGAGGTCCACATCCAGGAGTCTGATTCCTTTTCTGGCCACTCTTCTGGCACCACTCACAGCACCATTGCAACATCACCTGCAACACATCTATTGTTATACATCTCATCTCTTGCAGGGTTTGTGGAGTACAGTATGTTGGGGAGAATAAGAACACGCTTAGAAAGCGTTTCTAATCATCGATCAACTGTCAACACAAAGAGACTGGACACCCCTGTTGGCTACCTCTTCAACCTCCCTAACCATTCAATTTCCGATATGACTTTACAGGGGATGGAGTCACTTGGCCGTCGCAAGGACTCAGTTCGTCTATAAAGCAGGGAGAAAGTGTGGATGAAGCGTCTTCGGACTGTTGAACCACATGGTCTCAACATCCACCAAGGCAATGATTAATGTTTCTATCTCTCCAAGTGTAATTTGTTTCAGATCCATCTTACCCTCTGTGGTTTTCACTCATCCTTTGTTCCACCCATCCCTTCCTCTTTACACTGACAACACTGTGCTTAAATAATGAAAGGTTTGCGGAAACACCATGTGCGAATAATTTCTCAACTAAGAGAATGGTTCTGAAAAGAACCAGAGGTATAAACTCGACGTTCCGGTCAGTATGCTCTGACCGTCTTCAGGAGAGTGCCTAAACTCTAAGAAAGTGAATACTTAAGTAGCAAGAGGTGAAATCAATGGAGTGTGAAGTTGCATCCTGTGAGGATGCCAAGTAGACAGGATCCCTGAGCAAGCTTGGTGCCCACTGAAGTGGAACAGTAGGGTATAGGAGACCCATCAGTCTAAGGTAGTAGCTGAGGACCTAGGGTATAGGAGACCCATCAGTCTGGAGAAGTGGGAGCCAGATGTCGTTGAGATGAAACCCGATGTCTTGCGGAACTGTGTTGTGCTTGCGGATCTCGATGGCTTCCCGTATGCGTCTTGGATGCCAGAACTGGATCGGTGCGATGAGTTCGGCCGCATCCCAATCAACTTTGTGGTCGTTGATGTGGGAATGTTTGACAATGGCCGATTTGTCAAAATCCCCTCGCCGTCCATGTGCTCTGTGTTCCTTGAGCCTAGTGGGAAGGTTCCGACCGGTTTCGCCGATGTAGACTTTGCCGCATTCGCATGGAATGCGGTAGACTCCCGGCTTGGAAGAGGAGTCCTGCTTGTCCTTGTGAGTATGGAGGCTGCCTTGGAGCTTGTTGCCAGATGAGTGGTACACCTTGACGCCGGCTTGTCGGAGGATGCGTTGCAGATGATGAGAAGCTGGACCTAAGTAAGGAAGGGTGACTGAGGGAGATACAGTGGGAGGACCTTGGGTATAGGGGACCCGTTGGTCAGGTTTGCTGATCTTGATGCGGTTGGGTTTGTAGCCGTTCCATTGTAGTGACGTCTGGATGTGCTGGAGTTCACGCTTGAGGTTGCCTTGGTCGCAGACCTCGAAGGCTCTCTGTACTAGGGTGCGGTTGACCGATGACTTGATGCTGGGGTGATGGAACGACCGCTGGTGGAGATAGCGGTCGGTGTGGGTGGGTTTCCTGTAGACGCTGTGTCCCAGGGTGCCATCCGGATTCCTGGAGATCTTGACGTCCAGGAAAGGAATGGTGCCATGCTGTTCTTGTTCCATGGTGAAGCTGATGCTGGTGTGTTGCTTGTTGAGGTACTGGAGGAAGTCTTGGAGTGTGTCCGGGCCATGGGGCCACACTACGAAGGTGTCATCAACGTAGCGTAGCCACAGGCTCGGCCGAAGATCCGCTGTGAGTAGGGAGGAAGACTCGAACTCCTCCATGAAGATGTCGGCTAGGACCGGGGATAAAGGAGATCCCATGGAGGTCCCAGCCGTTTGCTCGTAGAACTTGCCTTGCCACTGAAAACAACTGGAAGAAATACATGTTAGTAACAGATCATGAATTTGGTCGGGGGACAGGTCTGTGCGTTCAGCGAGAGTGGTATCATGTTCAAGTCTTTCCTTAGCTAGTTTGCAGGCCTCGCCTGTGGGAACATTGGTGAAGAGTGAGACGACGTCAAAACTGACAAGCAAGTCAGTGGGTTGGACAGTGAGGTTTCTGGTGATGCTGACAAACTGGGAAGAGTTGGACACATGGTGTGGTGTCTGACCCACCAAGGGTCTGAGGATTTTGGCTAAGTGTTGGGCTGTGTGGTAAGTGGGGGAACCTCGAGAGGCAACTATGGGGCGCAGAGGGATCTCAGGTTTGTGAATCTTTGGTTGACCAAAGAACCTGGGACAGATCGAACTGGAGGGTCTGAGTCGTCTGTAGAGGGGGGTGGATAATGCATCTGCTCGATGCAAGAGGAGAAGTTGGCTGGCAACTCGCTTCTCGATGGCGGGGATGGGGTTCTTGGGGAGTGGGCGGTATGAACCAGAAGAAAGTATGTCTTTTACCTTGTTGCTGTAGTCCTCCCTGTCCATGACGACGGTGGCGTTGCCCTTGTCCGCTGTGAGGATGTGTTGGTTTGGTCAGATTAGGTTTAGCTGGGCGAGCCTTGCGGAGGACTTCATTCATCTTGATGCGGACGTCGTTGGCTGCTGTCTTGGTGAGGTGTCTGAGGGCTGGCTCCGTCGACTGGATGATGCTCTCGATGGGTACGGACTTTGGAGGAACAGCAAAGTTCATGCCAAGGGACAGAACTTTCGTTTCGGTACTGTTCAGCTGTCGGCTGCTGAGGTTGACTACCGTATGCTTGGTGAAGGTGTCTTGACTACGGAGATGAGGTGGATGGCGCCAGGATATAGGGGATCCAGATGGCAGGTTACGCGGGCGAGAAGACTGACGCCAGGATATAGGAGATCCAGTTGGCGGGCTATGTAGGCGAGATGGATGACGCCAGGATATAGGAGATCCAGTTGGCGGGCTACGGTTACGGTGGAAAGGAGTCGGAGTATTCCGTTCCTTGCGTTCCAGGCGGTAGAATTTCCTAAGTTGTTTCTGACGAGTGGTGGAGAACACAAACTGGCTGGAAGAAGTAGTGAGAGAACAAATCCTGTCGAAGTGGACTGGTTCCAAGGTGGAGCGGAGATCCTCTTCCGTGTCGGTGATCTGCTGGTCGAGGATGGCGAGTTGTAGTCTGGTGAAGGAGATGCGTTCTCTTCGAGGTCTGCGACCAAGGCAACCTCAAGCGTGAACTCCAGCACATCCAGACGTCACTACAATGGAACGGCTACAAACCCAACCGCATCAAGATCAGCAAACCTGACCAACGGGTCCCCTATACCCAAGGTCCTCCCACTGTATCTCCCTCAGTCACCCTTCCTTACTTAGGTCCAGCTTCTCATCATCTGCAACGCATCCTCCGACAAGCCGGCGTCAAGGTGTACCACTCATCTGGCAACAAGCTCCAAGGCAGCCTCCATACTCACAAGGACAAGCAGGACTCCTCTTCCAAGCCGGGAGTCTACCGCATTCCATGCGAATGCGGCAAAGTCTACATCGGCGAAACCGGTCGGAACCTTCCCACTAGGCTCAAGGAACACAGAGCACATGGACGGCGAGGGGATTTTGACAAATCGGCCATTGTCAAACATTCCCACATCAACGACCACAAAGTTGATTGGGATGCGGCCGAACTCATCGCACCGATCCAGTTCTGGCATCCAAGACGCATACGGGAAGCCATCGAGATCCGCAAGCACAACACAGTTCCGCAAGACATCGGGTTTCATCTCAACGACATCTGGCTCCCACTTCTCCAGACTGATGGGTCTCCTATACCCTAGGTCCTCAGCTACTACCTTAGACTGATGGGTCTCCTATACCCTACTGTTCCACTTCAGTGGGCACCAAGCTTGCTCAGGGATCCTGTCTACTTGGCATCCTCACAGGATGCAACTTCACACTCCATTGATTTCACCTCTTGCTACTTAAGTATTCACTTTCTTAGAGTTTAGGCACTCTCCTGAAGACGGTCAGAGCATACTGACCGGAACGTCGAGTTTATACCTCTGGTTCTTTTCAGAACCATTCTCTTAGTTGAGAAATTATTCGCACATGGTGTTTCCGCAAACCTTTCATTATTTAGTATCTTCACCATGCAAAGCCTCAAATCTTACTTATCTTCGCTCTACGGGGAGCTGGTAACCAACCAGGTTAGGTTGTATGAACGGACGTCAATTCGGCGTTCTAAACTCATCAACAACTTAACCTTCCTCAAGCGATGCCGCGACTCTAAGATAACTCCTGCCGGTCTGCGTATCCGCGATCCCATACGCAATAACCGATCGGATGACATCCTCCGGAGAGCCAGCTCCGCACTCATCCGAGAACGCATCTCCTTCACCAGACTACAACTCGCCATCCTCGACCAGCAGATCACCGACACGGAAGAGGATCTCCGCTCCACCTTGGAACCAGTCCACTTCGACAGGATTTGTTCTCTCACTACTTCTTCCAGCCAGTTTGTGTTCTCCACCACTCGTCAGAAACAACTTAGGAAATTCTACCGCCTGGAACGCAAGGAACGGAATACTCCGACTCCTTTCCACCGTAACCGTAGCCCGCCAACTGGATCTCCTATATCCTGGCGTCATCCATCTCGCCTACATAGCCCGCCAACTGGATCTCCTATATCCTGGCGTCAGTCTTCTCGCCCGCGTAACCTGCCATCTGGATCCCCTATATCCTGGCGCCATCCACCTCATCTCCGTAGTCAAGACACCTTCACCAAGCATACGGTAGTCAACCTCAGCAGCCGACAGCTGAACAGTACCGAAACGAAAGTTCTGTCCCTTGGCATGAACTTTGCTGTTCCTCCAAAGTCCGTACCCATCGAGAGCATCATCCAGTCGACGGAGCCAGCCCTCAGACACCTCACCAAGACAGCAGCCAACGACGTCCGCATCAAGATGAATGAAGTCCTCCGCAAGGCTCGCCCAGCTAAACCTAATCTGACCAAACCAGAGCGGTTCGCTGTCAGTGACCTTCGCCGAGACAACTCCATCCACATCCTCACAGCGGACAAGGGCAACGCCACCGTCGTCATGGACAGGGAGGACTACAGCAACAAGGTAAAAGACATACTTTCTTCTGGTTCATACCGCCCACTCCCCAAGAACCCCATCCCCGCCATCGAGAAGCGAGTTGCCAGCCAACTTCTCCTCTTGCATCGAGCAGATGCATTATCCACCCCCCTCTACAGACGACTCAGACCCTCCAGTTCGATCTGTCCCAGGTTCTTTGGTCAACCAAAGATTCACAAACCTGAGATCCCTCTGCGCCCCATAGTTGCCTCTCGAGGTTCCCCCACTTACCACACAGCCCAACACTTAGCCAAAATCCTCAGACCCTTGGTGGGTCAGACACCACACCATGTGTCCAACTCTTCCCAGTTTGTCAGCATCACCAGAAACCTCACTGTCCAACCCACTGACTTGCTTGTCAGTTTTGACGTCGTCTCACTCTTCACCAATGTTCCCACAGGCGAGGCCTGCAAACTAGCTAAGGAAAGACTTGAACATGATACCACTCTCGCTGAACGCACAGACCTGTCCCCCGACCAAATTCATGATCTGTTACTAACATGTATTTCTTCCAGTTGTTTTCAGTGGCAAGGCAAGTTCTACGAGCAAACGGCTGGGACCTCCATGGGATCTCCTTTATCCCCGGTCCTAGCCGACATCTTCATGGAGGAGTTCGAGTCTTCCTCCCTACTCACAGCGGATCTTCGGCCGAGCCTGTGGCTACGCTACGTTGATGACACCTTCGTAGTGTGGCCCCATGGCCCGGACACACTCCAAGACTTCCTCCAGTACCTCAACAAGCAACACACCAGCATCAGCTTCACCATGGAACAAGAACAGCATGGCACCATTCCTTTCCTGGACGTCAAGATCTCCAGGAATCCGGATGGCACCCTGGGACACAGCGTCTACAGGAAACCCACCCACACCGACCGCTATCTCCACCAGCGGTCGTTCCATCACCCCAGCATCAAGTCATCGGTCAACCGCACCCTAGTACAGAGAGCCTTCGAGGTCTGCGACCAAGGCAACCTCAAGCGTGAACTCCAGCACATCCAGACGTCACTACAATGGAACGGCTACAAACCCAACCGCATCAAGATCAGCAAACCTGACCAACGGGTCCCCTATACCCAAGGTCCTCCCACTGTATCTCCCTCAGTCACCCTTCCTTACTTAGGTCCAGCTTCTCATCATCTGCAACGCATCCTCCGACAAGCCGGCGTCAAGGTGTACCACTCATCTGGCAACAAGCTCCAAGGCAGCCTCCATACTCACAAGGACAAGCAGGACTCCTCTTCCAAGCCGGGAGTCTACCGCATTCCATGCGAATGCGGCAAAGTCTACATCGGCGAAACCGGTCGGAACCTTCCCACTAGGCTCAAGGAACACAGAGCACATGGACGGCGAGGGGATTTTGACAAATCGGCCATTGTCAAACATTCCCACATCAACGACCACAAAGTTGATTGGGATGCGGCCGAACTCATCGCACCGATCCAGTTCTGGCATCCAAGACGCATACGGGAAGCCATCGAGATCCGCAAGCACAACACAGTTCCGCAAGACATCGGGTTTCATCTCAACGACATCTGGCTCCCACTTCTCCAGACTGATGGGTCTCCTATACCCTAGGTCCTCAGCTACTACCTTAGACTGATGGGTCTCCTATACCCTACTGTTCCACTTCAGTGGGCACCAAGCTTGCTCAGGGATCCTGTCTACTTGGCATCCTCACAGGATGCAACTTCACACTCCATTGATTTCACCTCTTGCTACTTAAGTATTCACTTTCTTAGAGTTTAGGCACTCTCCTGAAGACGGTCAGAGCATACTGACCGGAACGTCGAGTTTATACCTCTGGTTCTTTTCAGAACCATTCTCTTAGTTGAGAAATTATTCGCACATGGTGTTTCCGCAAACCTTTCATTATTTAGTATCTTCACCATGCAAAGCCTCAAATCTTACTTAACACTGTGCTTGCCTTCCCTTTCTTCCTCTTTAGGCTGTCACATTCAACACCACTCTCCTTTGTTTCCCCTGCATCTTGCCCTCCCTCCCCCTCCCCTTTTGCTCCCCACTCCCACCACACTCCTTTGTTCCCTAATCTCCTTTCATCCACTGTACACCTCCCCCATCCCTCCTTTGTGTTTCTCATTCCAACCCTGCCTGTGTGCATGTCCCCTGCATGTGTCATTTGTCCATGTGTCATTTGACTCTGAAGAAGTCTTTGCAAAAGATGAAATATATCAGGCCTCTATCTCTAACTTTTTTATTTGTATATTTCACGTCAATCCAGTCAGTGAGCAATTTGTAACAGCTTAATTATTTTTCATGTGGCCAAATTATTTTGAAAATGTTGACTTGGTTTAAAGATAGTAATGGCACTAAACTCCCTATGAAATTATTCTTTCTGGCGTGCTGTCATTTTGAAGAAAACTAAGAGGGTCATTTCCAAAGATGAGTCAAGTGACGCATTTTTGGAATGTTTTTTGAAAGTTGGTTTGTAATTGGGCGAATCCAATAATGGGTGCGCGCAAGCATTGACACGTAGCACTCGCGTGCGGTTGCTATTTTTCCTTGGTTCGGTGCATGACATCGGATAGCAACAATCAGCTGAATGAGAACGCGTACCGAATGCTGATTTTGAGCGCAATTCAAAATATGAATCGGCAACTTTTGAATCGAAATTGAGATCCTAGAACACAGTTTTCTCGGAATATACAGCATTCACAGCGCTATTAGACTTCATCAGTTAAGTTGTGAAGCGCCCGTCTTTAGATTTTGAGCACTTTTGTTTTTTAAAACGGAACAAATGACAAATGATCTGCTGTATCCGGGCATTTTTCATATTGGCTTATCTAGCTCCCAGAGCTATGTTCTTGAAACTCAATGGTTCTTGAGTCTGGAGTTCTGAATGGTAACAAATAGCATCCAATGAAAACTGCTGGAGTTCTGTATGGTAACACGCAGCAACCATTGAAAACTGACGTCACTCCGCCCCAATCTATATTCTAACAAGTGAAGTATACTAAATGAGACAAAATGAATATTTGTCTATAAATGAGACGTATAAGTTTATTTGTTTCATCTATTTCCCCATAAATTGCATACAGGTTTCTACTTTGCGGGCAACCTCATAGTTGGTGAAACTTTAATTTGGAAGTTTATGGAACTGCGCAATACAGACCAAAACAGAAAAGTCATGAGTACCATGCTTCATTCTGAAGGACCAGTCTCACCATGCCATTACCACTGCATGCAAGGGAGTCCAAAACCGTCCAATCGGCCTCTCGACTTGATGCAGAACTTACCGCCTGAACTATATCTGAGCATTCTGCTGAGGCTGGACGCAAGGAGCTTACAGAATGCATCGCAGACATGCAAACTGTGGAATTCAACAATCGAGGACACGGACTGGCTGTGGAGAAAGTTTTGCCATTTGAAGTGTGACGATTGGGCCATGAAGGAGATTCAGAGGGATAGAGGATTGGGATATTCTTGGAAGGTGAGTCAAAGGTTAAGATTATGACTTGGTAAGTTTGAAGATACACCATGTGGAATAAGTGACTTTTTGAAATAAGAGAAACGATTTTGAAAAAAAAAACCAGAGTTATTTTTACATTTGGACTTGCGCTGCACCATCATATTTTAACCAGCCAGCCAACTCTGGTAAGCTCGGTGGTTGGGTGGTAAGACGTCTGCTCTAGTAAGCAGGAGGTCGTGGGTTTAAGTCCCACCAGAGTATAAGCTTTCAAATTTTTTCAACACTGAGTATACAGTGTTTATAAAACTACGCAGGTGAAGTGCAAAACCCAATATACAGTCTACATCTCCCCAACACAAAGTCCATCTTGTAAAACAGAGTTACATATTTTGCTTTCTGGAAATGTGTGTTGTGGAGATATAAATGTTTGAGATTGGGTTTTTGCCGTCACTGACTCCTCTGAGTTGGTTTGGGTGCCAAAGAGTAAAAAAAAGAGATCCCATAATGACAAGAGTCCTTGTAAGTTTTGACCAAGCATTGTTCCCAGTTTGGGTTTGTTTAAAAAACCAGAGTTATTTTTACATTTGGACTTGCGCTGCACCATCATATTTTAACCAGCCAGCCAACTCTGGTAAGCTCGGTGGTTGGGTGGTAAGACGTCTGCTCTAGTAAGCAGGAGGTCGTGGGTTTAAGTCCCACCAGAGTATAAGCTTTCAAATTTTTTCAACACTGAGTATACAGTGTTTATAAAACTACGCAGGTGAAGTGCAAAACCCAATATACAGTCTACATCTCCCCAACACAAAGTCCATCTTGTAAAACAGAGTTACATATTTTGCTTTCTGGAAATGTGTGTTGTGGAGATATAAATGTTTGAGATTGGGTTTTTGCCGTCACTGACTCCTCTGAGTTGGTTTGGGTGCCAAAGAGTAAAAAAAAGAGATCCCATAATGACAAGAGTCCTTGTAAGTTTTGACCAAGCATTGTTCCCAGTTTGGGTTTGTTTAAATAATCAGCATTAATGTGCTATCCACCAAGCCCCCCCCCTGCCAAAAAAGAGATGCTCTCTATGTAGTTTTGGCTTCCTAATTCCAACTTTTGTTTACCGTTTTTAGGAGTCATTTATACGGACCTGTGGACCTCACTCCATCAAGCGCAAATGGTTCAAGGGTGCTTTCAGTAACCTCAACATGTACGATAAAAACTTGCCTCCTTTCATGTGCTGCATGGACGTCGAGACGTGGGGACAGATCCTTGAACTGGAGCTGAGCCGATAATGATGCAGTGGGATCAGAGAGTAGAGGGCGCTGTTCAGTTTGTTCACAAGAGCCAAGTGAGGACAAATCCTGGCCAAGTTCGGGCAAGGACCATTAGTCGACTAGTGGTTGATTTGTGACGTACCTTGCGCACTGATAGCAACGTGCGAACGTTTCTAGTCAAACGCTGGTCAAAATGTCATCGCAAAACTTCTGGATCCTGGCTCTCCGCTAGTGTTATGAATGCGCGCGGCTATTGGTTACCAGCGAAGCAACCAACCCCAGTAGGCTGGTTCCAAATAGTCGACTAGCGTAGTCAACCACCGTCGACTAGACAGAGTTCGGGCAAACGTTAGTTAACCATTGGTCAACTGTAGTCCTTGCGCGAACTTGGCCCCTGTGTATCTCAGTAAATAGAATGAATGGCACAGGTCTGGTAACAAGTACATTTACAAGTCATTTCAATAGTCTGGTGACAGTTCATTTGAATAGCTTGGGACTGGATGACTTGTGATTGACTCGACTACAATTTCCAAAATTGTGCAAAAACTGGTGCCGTGTTCAGCATGCAGTGTTAGGAATGCATCCTGTAATGCATGGTCAATGCCAACAAAAGAGTTCCTAAGAAATCTGTGTCTATTTTGCAATCCTGCAGCTAACAGGTGTAATTGTGCACACTGCAGATACACGAATCAATGTAAAATGTGTATTGCTTGACAGATAAGAAATCACAAATTTTATCATACACTCCTTCGTAGGTTTTGTGGCGATGTCATATAAACTTGTAATCAAACTTTTTTAATTTTTATTTTTAACATCTCATAGGGACAAGAAACTGTTCAAGTGTTAATTTTCTGCAAATCTTTCATTTTTTTAATGAATGTGTTATTATATGTACTGATTTCATTTTATTCGCATTTTTTTTTTACTGTTTTTAATTCAGGTTACGTATTTAAAATATGTACATTGTGTAATTTATTTTTAAAAATAATTAAAGTTATGGAGAGCATTTTGTCCAAAATATTCAGTGTAATATAAATGCTTTTTTGAAGTATTTTATGAATGTTCTTTAACATTGCAACTTGTTCCTTTCTTGTCAAGGAAGTACGTAACTTGAAGATTTTTTTTTTTAAGTCATTAAAAAAAACAAAAACAAACAAACAAACAAACAAATATAAATGAGATTGTTTTGGGGGTTTTCTCTTTTGAAATTGCATCATACAAAATTAGAAAATGACTATTTTTTCAAATTTTCTCCGACATTCCAGTTGTTATAGTGCTATTCTAAAGTCGTCTTGGATTTTTTTGTGTTTTAAGATTTTAAATTTCAGACTATTCAGTTAATACATCTGGGAATAAATAAAGGGAACCGCCACATTTCAACACCAACAGATATAATTGAAGAGTAACTTTAGTTGTACCATGTAATTGATCTCTTAGTTTGCGAGTGTGCGAGGTTCTGACAAAAAGGGGAGACTCAGTGTTTCAGATTTAAGCATTCTAAAGAAAAATTAATATAAAGATATTAGTCCTAAAGTAAAATATTTGCCTAAAAAAATAGTAAATTATTTAACATTAAAAATTATATGGAGACTGTTTTGATGCCAGAATACATATGTACATGTTTAACCTTTTTTTTTTCTTTTTTTTAAAGTTATCTCCCCCAAGTTGGTTTTCTGAATACTCGTTTTTGTATATTAAGTGACATTTTAAAAATCCCTGTACTCTTGTCAGTTATCTACAAATGAGACGGACAACAGTTGTTTTCTGATAATCTTCAAGAAAGGCTTTTATTCTCTGTTCTTATTTCTTGCAAAATAAATGTACAAAAATATTCTTGAAAGTATTTAATGGAAAGGTAGCAAACCAACCAATGTTGTTCAGAACATTTAAAAATATATTATGCCTGTAAGATAAGTATATTAAATGCAAGCAATGTTATGTATATTACCAGTGGTGTGTGTTTCATTGGAATGTGATCGTGAAATAGAGACAGACAGGTGCCAGTACCAGTCTTTTTGTGCAACAATTCACTGTGGCCAAGATTTGGCCAAAATTACAAAATCAGTACACTGTCACTATGGGCGCTTTCCTATTAGAGAGAGTTGGGAACGAGAGCCACCAATCTCATGTGCGTGTAAGCAAGAGTGATGTCATGATTCAGGTCTATTTGTATGGGAATACATAAAATGGATGAATACACAAAATGGATGATGGCAAGTCCTGGCAGTAATTTGAAAGACTATTGATACATTTGGGGTTCTGTTTTCATGTGGATGGGAATGAACACCACCTGACCTTTAACACAGTATATTTTGCCTAAATAACTCTCTGATTTGTCTGGCAAGAAGAACAATTTTGCTTAAAAATTTGAAACAACGTAGGTAAGGACAGGAGTGGGATGGGAGTCGTATGGGGTGGGGTATGGGAGGGAGTGGGGTGGGGTATGGGTGGGAGTGGGGGTGGGTGTGGGTGGGGGTATGGGTGTGGGTGGGGTGGGGTATGGGTGGGAGTGGGGTGGGGGTAGGGTGGGGTTGCCAAATCCCAACTGCCTACTCTGTGTTCTCTAATATTGTACAAATGGTGCTAATCATTGTGGGAGTGGGGTGGGGTATGGGTGGGGGTAGGGTGGGGTTGCCAAATCCCAACTGCCTACTCTAGTGATGTACATGATTGTCGCACGCTACACAAAAAAAAAAAAAAATGAGCGCCATAGAGGACCATCTTCAAGTCCAGTTAAAGTCCAGAGAAGCAGACACTATTGGTTTTTTTTACAGTAAGTTCTGAAGTACTGTGTGGCATAACAACCATCTTAAATAATGGAAAACACAGAGTGACATTTGGACTGTTCCGCATTCGTTTGTACAATATTTGAGAACACAGCACATACAGTGAAATATGGTGGCAGCCCTGGTCATACAATATCCAACTGCTATGTGCTGTACGCTATCTTCACTTTGAGCAAAGTTTTTCCTCACTGTGTCAGTAGGCCCATTTCTGGGTAACTTCCAATGTTTCTACCTTCCTTTAAATGCAGCCATGAATTGCATCTCAAATACCTAAAATCGCTGTTGGAGCGAAACGTCTGGAATGTTGACATTATTAGCAATTCTACACACCAATGTGTGAATGCTACAAACCACTGTGTGAACAATATTTTGTTCCGAACGGGGAAATTTCAGACAAATTTGAGTTGATTGTGTACACTCGTTTGGAAGGCACTCGTCCCATAAGAAAGCAACAAAGGTATTCCTGAACCCTTACCATTACCGTGTAGTATTCTTGCTTGTATATCATGAGTGATATCATGATATATAGAAGCCATTTGTATCCTAATTTTAAATCTTTGTTGTGGAATTGGTTTGGCACAACATTTTAATTAGGGAAAATCAGGTCTCCAAATGGATGGTGGGCTTGTTTAAAATATAGCACATTTGTTGAATTCGCACACCATGGAAATATCAATGCCTTACAAATAACCATCACAATTTCTACAAATCTAAACACAAAACTCCATGCAAGATACTTTTTTACTGTACATATAGTACAGATTCAAAATTAGAAGCACTGATTTTCAAAAAACAAAAAAACAAAACTCACAGGTAAACAGAAAAGGCAAAGTGAATACAAAAACAGCAAAATTAACAACGGCATCAATTAGTACACATTTATCATCAATGATAATTGAAAACAAACTTTGTGCAGGTGTTCGTCTGATAATATAAAGTACTTTTTTCGGCAGAAAATGCATGGCAATATATGGAAAATAATGGCAATACGTGTTTGTGCAAATAACGGCAACAGATATAATAAATAGCAAATAGCAATAATATTTAGATTAATACCAATCAGTCACACTGAGTAAAACCATTGATCTAAGTCCTACAAAAAAGGAAAGACAAAATGAACATTTCGTCAGCAAAACAAAACTTGAAATAAATGTAATCAGATTACTGAAGCTTAGCAGTTATATATTCATGCAATAAAGTGGCAAAATTGATATCATTACTGAAAATGAATATCTCTAGACTAAGAAAGCACCATCATGAAATTATTAAACACTAAAAGTGTAATTCATTTCTTTTTTCAAACAAATTTCCATCTCTCTGTGAAAGACTTCGCCAAAATTTAAGCTAGCACATGCAGAATATCCAAACCTTCAATACACTTACTTTGAGTGCACTTTAAAGTACAAAATTGGCTTTGGGCAAATCCAAAAGTTTTTTTAATGATTTGGAATGGACTCCAACATTAACCATCCGAAAGGCCATGGAAAACCTCTGAAATATCATAAATGGAATACAGTGCAACATCATCTTTGTAAATTCTCTCAAACGTGATGATTTACCAGACAAACTTAATTTTGTATGAAGCCCGGGAAGGGACAGGGTGGAAATGTTTTTGTAATTTGCTAATTCGTTCCCACCAATTGCTAACTCATTCCCACGAATTACTAATTCGTTCGCACGAATAGCTAACTCGTTCCCACGAATTACTAATACGTTCCCACGAATTGCTAACTCGTCTCCACAAATTGCTATTTCGTTTGTATGAATTGCTATTTCGTTTTCACGAATTGCTAAATCGTTCGCACGATTTACTATTTCGTTCCCACGATTTTTCTAATTCGTAGGAACGAATTGCTAACTCATGGATCCGGGAACGCGTTGGTAATTCGTGGGAACGAGTTGGTAATTCGTGTGAGCGAATTAGCAATTCGTGCGAATGAAATAGCAATTCGTGCGAACGAGTTAGCAATACCTGCGAATGAATTAGTAATTTCTGCGAACGAAATAACAATTCGTGTTAACGAGTTAGCAATTCATGCGAACGGCTTAGCAATTCGTGCGAACGAATTAGTAATTCATGGGAATGAATTAGCAAATTACAAAAAACATTTCCAACCTGTCCCTTCCCGGGCTTCATAATATTGAATTGTCTGGAATCAATTTTGGAGTAGGGGATAGATTTGTTGCCACTAGGCACTGGTACCTAAAAAAAACCCAGAATCCCTGTTCCATTTCAAAGTATGGTTTGTATTATTATACTCGATTCCAAGCTACAATTTGCCAAGCCTAGTACAAAACTGGACTGAACCCATCCCTTTTGGGAGACAAATGTGGTGAATACATGTAGTCTAAAACATGAATTTAAAGTCCAATTGTAACATCACCCTCTGCCATCCTGGTACCTAGTGCACACTCTTTTTGTGATAGCCGTTGACGATCATGTAGCGGGAGAAGAAGATGTAGAGAACACGGAACCAGACAAACTGACTGGCGTGGGCACGCATTGCTCGCTGAAACAGAGAAAATACATGACACACAAGGCATTATTATCTGAATAACAGCACGACAGAGTTTATGAAACAGTTGATGACACTAACCCATTTGTACCTGTAGTATGATTGTATAACATTGTACTTTTTCTGAAGAATCCATAAAACCACATAGTGCTATGGCAGTTTCAGGCGGTACAGTGAGTTATGGGCTCTGTGCACAAGTACCCCTCCAACGGCCAGAAAATTATTCAAAGTTATTGGGTTCGGGGATTAGTCTGGGAGACCATCGAAAGAAAAATTTGAACGCATTTGCGCGCTGACGACGCCTGACGCTCACGCGAAGATGCTGTGGCTAATAGCTTTGGCACAGAAAGTCGTGCGCACACCCTGTGTATCCCGTCCAAGGGGCTCTCAAAAGTGGTAAAAAAGCGCCCGCATTTGCTGACACATGGAGCCCTTAGGACGGTTTGGGGCAGTATAAAGACTAATGGGTTAATCCTACACGGAAAAATCACAACCCATGCAGCTTCAGTCCATTTTTGAAGTTTTATTATTTCCCTTTGAATTTCAAGTATAGTGTGTATTTATTTTTCTAAATGTGTTTTGGTGCTTATATTTCTTTCCTGATAAAGCTGATAGTATACAAATATTGAATCCTTTGAGTGGTGAAGTAAAACTAGCCTCCCGAGGTGATCCATGGACATTCTATATTCCCAAGGCTTTGCCTCGGGAAAATAGAATGCTCCATGGATCACCTCTGGAGGCTAGTTTTACTTTTCCAAGAGATAAAGCATTCAATATTTGTTTTATAACACTTCACCCACAGATTCTGCTTGGTTTTAATATTTTAAATTATTTAAATCTGAACACAATTAAAGTTCACTTTCAATACAAAATTGGTGGGAAATATATTTCTCTCTTCCAAACCACCCCTTCATGAAGTGTTTGAACCCAACTCTGTCGCGCGCTCTTTTGGAAACAACACGCGCTACGCGCAACGCTCAAACCAGCATGCATTTGCACACAAATACCGCGCCATGGTACAGTACTTTGGTAATGCTAATGGTATAGTGGTTGCTAATGGTATAGTACTTTTGGCCGTGCACTGAAAGACAGCAAAAATAGAAAGTACCATGTGACTCGCTCTCGGCCAATCAAGACACAGAATCTGTGGGTGAGGTGTTATAAAAGAAAATATTCAACAAGACAAGGAAAGCCTAGTAAAGCTGGTCCCAAAGCACACACAATTCTATTCCATTGCTCGAGAATGGTTTATTCACTGGTCTTTTCATGCATCCGGTGTACACAACGGGCCAGACTTAGACCATTCAGTGGCATTAAAGGGTAATCCTGTATGATAGCACTGCCCGGCTCTCTTCACCAGCTTACAACTAGTCTTCTATGTCACAAGTGACAGTCAATCAGTCAGATAGGTTAGTCAGTGACACAGGTACGTAGAGGGCACTAGGCTGGCCCTCTGGAACCAGCAAAAATAATGGTCAACTTTCCAGTCAGAGTGGTTATTGTTCTTTGTACAAATGTTTTTAAAAATGACGCCATATTTAGTCATTAAAACTGAAGCACTCACACATTTTGTGGCTAAAATAGTGTCAATTACGAATTAATAAAAATTCACGTCGCAAGTCAATCACAAGACAAATTACAAGTTAAGTCACAGGACTGGCTGACTTATAATTGACATGTGATGAATTGTCACAGGATTAAAATGGAACCGAATACTGTGGCTGAGTCCACGCATAAGTGGTTGACACCTACCTGAGCTATCCAAACATCACTAGGCCCAGCCAGGAACATGTGTCTGTGAAGCAGCATGCTGAAGGGGAGATCAAGGAAAGACAGGTACTTCCTGAGAATGGAGACACTCTGAAGGAAGTACAACTTGGTACCTGCAACAATACAGGGAGTTATCAGTAAACTAATGATTGGGAAGATCTAGGAAAGACAGGTACTTCCTAAGGATGGAGACACTCTGAAGGAAGTACAACTTGGTACCTGCAACAACAGAGGGAGTTATCAGTAAACTAATGATTGGGAAGATCTAGGAATGACAGGTACTTCCTAAGGATGGAGACACTCTGAAGGAAGTACAACTTGGTACCTGCAACAATACAGGGAGTTATCAGTAAACTAATGATTGGGAAGATCTAGGAAAGACAGGTACTTCCTAAGGATGGAGACACTCTGAAGGAAGTACAACTTGGTACCTGCAACAACAGAGGGAGTTATCAGTAAACTAATGATTGGGAAGATCTAGGAAAGACAGGTACTTCCTAAGGATGGAGACACTCTGAAGGAAGTATAACTTGGTACCTGCAACAACAGAGGGATTTATCAGTAAATTAATGATTGGGAAGATCTAGGAATGACAGGTACTTCCTAAGGATGGAGACACTCTGAAGGAAGTACAACTTGGTACCTGCAACAACAGAGGGATTTATCAGTAATTTAATGATTGGGAAGATCTAGGAATGACAGGTACTTCCTAAGGATGGAGACACTCTGAAGGAAGTACAACTTGGTACCTGCAACAACAGAGGGATTTATCAGTAATTTAATGATTGGGAAGATCTAGGAATGACAGGTACTTCCTAAGGATGGAGACACTCTGAAGGAAGTACAACTTGGTACCTGCAACAACAGAGGGATTTATCAGTAATTTAATGATTGGGAAGATCTAGGAATGACAGGTACTTCCTAAGGATGGAGACACTCTGAAGGAAGTACAACTTGGTACCTGCAACAACAGAGGGATTTATCAGTAATTTAATGATTGGGAAGATCTAGGAATGACAGGTACTTCCTAAGGATGGAGACACTCTGAAGGAAGTACAACTTGGTACCTGCAACAACAGAGGGATTTATCAGTAATTTAATGATTGGGAAGATCTAGGAATGACAGGTACTTCCTAAGGATGGAGACACTCTGAAGGAAGTACAACTTGGTACCTGCAACAACAGAGGGATTTATCAGTAATTTAATGATTGGGAAGATCTAGGAATGACAGGTACTTCCTAAGGATGGAGACACTCTGAAGGAAGTACAACTTGGTACCTGCAACAACAGAGGGAGTTATCAGTAAATTAATGATTGGGAAGATCTTGGAATAACAGGTGCTTCCTAAGGATGGAGACACTCTGAAGGAAGTACAACTTGGTACCTGCAACAATACAGGGAGGTATCAATAAAGTAATGATTGGGAAGATCTAGGAAAGACAGGTACTTCCTAAGGATGGAGACACTCTGAAGGAAGTATAATTTGGTGCCTCCAACAACAAAGGGAGTTATCACTAATTAATTATTGAGAGGATCTAGGAATGACAGGTGCTTCCCAAGGATGGAGACACTCTGAAGGAAGTATAATTTGGTGCTTGTAACAACACGGTTACAAAGAAGTTTGTAACAAACAAATGATAGGGAAATATAGAAAGACAGATGCAGCTACACTATTGTGGAAGAGCGCCCCCATGTGACAAAATTATGAAAAATATTAGTACTTTGGGAATGTACATGTACATATGTATGTACATGTGTATGGCCAAAAACAAGAATATGAACAGTGTCGCACTTGTTTGTTACCACCGACCACTAAATTGCCAAGGGCGGGTCCAGAACACAATTGAGGGGGGCCCCCAAAAAATGTTGGTCCCCCCAAAAATGGGTCAAAAAATTTACGGCGTGAAGTTCCGGGCCCGCTTAAGGGCCCCCAATTTTGTTTTGGATTCTAGATGCTCTGTGGTGCGATCTGAGGCAATTTCTGACCACTTAACCCCCCCACCCCCCGATCCGCCCTTGTAAATGTGCCTTGAAGAAACTGATTCCCCAAATGTCACACTCTGCAGTTGAGGTTTTTTCTTTCCAATTACAACAACTCCCCTATTCTTTTGATTTTTTGGCCACTCCTATGAATGGGATTGATTTAACCTCAAAAGTGGGTCAGAAAATACAATTCTTATGTGTGTCGCTTTAACTCTGAAGAAGAAATCACATACCAACTACCCACAAAAAAACCTTGCATTTACTGTGCGTGCATCATGGGTGATAAGATGGCAGACGCTGCTTCAATACACAAAAATTGTCAGCCAGTCCAGTAAGTATGGAAGTCAGTGTTGGTGACCCAATCCAACAAAATGAGTCATAAGTTGCCAGAGCTACTCTTTCTTTAGTAACAGGCCTTATTATAAGTCATTCATAATGGTATCAATAGGATGTATACTTATTTACCCATATAATATCGGCATAACTATTAAAATGATGACCTATGTGAGAAAGTAAAAAAAAAAACATTTATCTTACAAATATCTTATTTCATTGGATCTAACCACATTACATCTATCATGTTGGCCAAACCTACATGTTACAAAGCTTACCTTTGGGTAGCTTATGTGATTCCATCAGGGTCCTGAAATAAAGAAACGAGAAATTAGCTGTGAACAGCGCAGAATAGATCTGGTGGGTAGACTTTGAACACTGCAAAACATTGTCTCAAAATCTGAGATTTTAAAGGGGTTGATATGGAGTATGCTACAGACCAATCCAGGCACATAGTAGCTGTTAACTCATGGTGATCTCCAGTAATTGCAGAAGCATAATATGCCAACTCACTTTTCTAGGCAAATATCCTGCAGCCGATTTCACGAAACATGGCATAACTTACGCCATGCATAGGACTTTAATATGCACCAAATTTATTTTGCAGCTGCCCAATAAACTTACGATCAGTCTCAAAAAATTTGGCGTACCGGTACCTGTGCAACATTTTTTATTTATTTATTTATTTATTTATTTATTTCTGATCTTTTACCAGGGTAGCCCGTTCACAAAATAATGTGGTCTTCCACGGGGCCCTGAGCATATAATTTAAAATTAATAAAACAAAACTAACAATTTAAAGGATTAAAAGTGTATAAAACTATCAAAACAAATAGGAAATAAGATCATATAAAACTATAACCGTTAAATAATAATCATTAAATAAAAGAAACATGAACGGGTTTAACATAAACAATATAAATGTGTATATGAAAACGACGATAGACAAAAGTGCAGATTAAGAAGTTTAATTTAAGAATAAGATCACAAAATAAGTCCTACTTGCAAATACAAACAAAAAACAAGTTAAAAAAAACTATTGTAAATAATAAAAACAGTAAAAATGAGTACATGCATCCCTAACATGCTAAAAACAAAAACAAAACACGCAAGCAAGCCAACAAACAAATGAACAAGCACCCAACCAACCAAACAAACAAACAAACAAACAAACAGCCCTAACAACCCAACAAACAAACAAACAATCCAACAAACGCCCCCCCCCCAAAAAAAAAAGAAGAAGAAGAAGAAGAAGAAGAAAATTGTAAGTGATAAAAACAATAAAATTGAGTACACTTAACATGCTAAAAAAAAATACAATTAAAACAATAATTTGAAGCAACCTAAACTGTTAAAAAGTTAAGTTTCATTACTGACTTAAAAGAACCAATTGAGGCTGCTGAACGTGTTTCTTTATTTAAACTATTCCAGACAGTAGCCCCAGCAACAAAAGGACTATGCTTCAAGCATTCTGATCTATATTTAGGAATGAACAGGGTGTCCTCAGTTGCTTGTCTGGTGGAGTGATGGTGCATGTCAGATATTTTAATGAAATCTTCTGTCAGGTAGGTAGGGGCAAGATTGTTGGTACATTTGTACATGAGTACTGCTCGCAGGTAGTTAAATCGTTTTGGTATCGGCATCCAGCCTAGTGTATTAAATAATTCACTTGAAGGAGTATCGTACCCTTTACCTAGAATTAATCTGGCAGCACGTTTTTGGAGTTTAAACAGCTTGTCTGTGTGCATGTTGAATCTTTCTGACCAGATTTGCGAGCAGTAATCAAAATGGGGTAAGATAAACGCATTATAAAGTAATTTGACAGAGTCAGCCGGAATATATGGTTTCACCCGGCGAATAATACCCAATTTTGCTTGCACAGTACTCACAACCTTGTCTATCTGATCAGTCCATTTCATCTCATCATCAATGATCACCCCTAGACATTTGGTTTTATGAACTCTTTTCAGAACAATGTCATTTACCTCCACTCTGAAATCGACGACGTCTTTGAGTTTTGCTCTAGATCCTATGATCATCACATTGGTTTTATCATAATTTAAAACAAGACGATTTGTATTCAGCCAGCTAGAGATCTGCATCAAGGCAACAGATAATTTGTGTTCGACATCCGCAGTCGTCTTGCCATTAACTGTGGCAATTTTTAATAATCTAACCATCTCGGACAAGGATAATAACAGCAGATACGACAGCTGTTAGCGTATTATTTTGTTTGGTCATAAAACAGTCGAAGAATCACCGCCACCTGCCATTTTAAAAAAAATTCGTCCGACTTTCGTTGCAATCGTGCTGCAACTCTAAAAATTCTGTCACAAGTAAAATGGCAATTCATTTATCTCAAACACAAAGCTGTGAGTGTCTTATATCAACCTTGACATTATTACAGTTGTGCAATGCTAGGCTCCACGATGATCATGATTTGGTAGGTTTTTTTTTGTGATAAATGCAAATGATCCTAATTGCACACGTGGGTAGGGGTGGCAACAGTACCTAGGCTTTGCCTGAATGAGTTTGTATCAAATCATTGCCGAAACACATTCATATAATTTGACAGTTACAAACCCTTAAACTGTTTTTCTTTTTGGTACGTGATTGTTGGTTCTTCATATTTAGAGCTGACATATGACCTATGAACTATGACCCTTGGTTTCTTCCCATACCTGACAGCTGTGTAGCAAGATATATGATTCTTGTGACCACTGATGCCTGAACCATCAAACGTGAAGATCTGGGAAAACAAGGTGAAATGTGTTTCTCCTTTTTAGAATACAGGTTTAAAATTTAAAGCCAACTTCTTCATCCTAAACTCTTGAAGACTCTGTCAATTTTACTTAAAATGAAATGTGGAAGGAAAAGTCAATTGTTTTTCTCTTTGTTTCATTTTTCGGGAAGTCGGGAACATAAAACACCAACTAACATTTGCAGTTATCAAAAAGACACCACCTAAAACAATGTGGCAGTAGCCCCTTCCAATATTTCCAGAAATAAACTGCACATCCTCTTTTTTGATATGTTTAGCAAATTGGATTCAGTAGCTTCGTATGTGTTATATAATGCCAGATCTGAGCCACAGTGTTTTGATATGTCACTTCTAGAGTAGGCCCTATAACCGGATTTGTAAAATAACTTTTTTACTTGGGTTATGATCGTTGATTTATCACTTGTCTTTTTAAGTGTCAGATTTTTTTTTTCTTGTCTCGGGTTATTGTTGGGTATAAAGCGAGGTACATTTTCTTTCTTGTCATCATTTCAATATTTCCCCTCTACTATAATTTCCAGTCCTATAAAAAAACAACTGTAGGCCTGTCTAGTTTTAAGTGCATCTGTATAATGTTACTTTTGTATTGGTAATTTTATATTTTGTTTGCGTGCAATTTATCGTATTTTCTTTTGTAGTATGTGTAGTTTATATTTTAGGACCTAAAGCCTGAGTTTTGTGTAAATTCCTTTTTTTTTAGAAAAGAAAAAAGAAACTCCTCTTTGCTTCTAAGTCTTTAACTTTGGAAAATCTTATTTCAATTGGATACAAGTCAATAACAGATGATGAATATTGTTGCCGTTTTGGGCAGGAGTTCTACATGTCACTTGGTGGTAGGTCGGTCTGGCCCATTGTGTAGAAAAGACTTCAAATGAAGAGCCATTCTGAACAAACCCAGTACAATTTTGTGCACTCTGGGACCAGCTTAACAAGGCTTGCCTTGCATTGTTGTCCTTTTAGGGAATAACAGTGTTTACATCTTTACTGTGTGATGACTGGGCTGGGGAATAAACAGCGGCCATCCCCCAACCTGGTCATTATCATGCAGTAAAGACTGGGTCCTCACACTGTTATTGCAGTTAACAAAAACCTTTTTATTGAAATAAACAGCTAAAATGCTCCAATTTTTTTACTTGTCTTTTGGCGAAATTTTCAGATCTTTCGTATTTTGTATTATGTTTATTTTAGCTTGTGCATGGTACCCTGTCTCTTCAATGCGTTGTTATTATCACTCTAACCCAGGTTGGACGACATCTTCATTGCATTATGACTGACGTCCAGGGCATGAACTTCTACTGCCACAGTGGAAACAAATTACAACAATATTTATTAATACTACTTCACTGTAAACCAACACGGCAGAGAATGAGCATAATTATGTCAGTGTTGTACTCAAGTCCATCACAAGTCCGGTCAAAGGTAATCACAGGTCCTTTGACAAGTCTAGCCAAGAGTAACAGGGGATGAACGATAAACCAAGGAATACTTGTGCCATTGTTTATTTGAACAGCTTGTAACTTGACTTGAGCCTGGAGGACTTGAGACGGAGTTTGTGAGAGCTTGAAATGGAATCTCACCGTATCGATATCATGTTTCTTGGTATGGTTTAGGACGTGCTCCCCCACGACATCAGAGTCCCAGAAAATATCCGGGTTGTCTTGCAACTTCCTGAAAAAAAAACAAGGAAAGAATTTTGACATGCTTATTTTTTCTTTTCCCTCAAGTCTTAAAAGTATGCCAAAACACAAGGTAGTTTAGCCTTCTATTAAGTATGAAATTAAGTCCGAAAACTTGACAGTGTGGTCTTTGGGATGTGACTTTCTGGACAGAATGGTTTGTTGAAAATGTCCAAGTTAAAAGGACTTGGACTTGAGTCCAAGTGCGAGTCCTTTTGTGTCTAAACACTCAGATTAGGGCACACTTTGCCAGAATGGCAGAACATGAGTCAATAAAATTGACTCCAGTCAAGTCAATAGATATCACATTGGTTATGGTATTGGTTACGGTATCACATTCGACTCACATGCCATGATATTGGGTTCTTACCCAAATGGGGAACATGGTGCTTGTGTTCTTGTGCAAGACACTTTACTACAATTGTCTCTCTCCACCCAGGAGTATAAATGGGTATCTGTGAAGGTAGAGACTACAATCCATAAATCTCGAGCTGCTGCAAAAACTGGTCTCATGGCCTGATGAACAGGGGTAATAATTGTAAAGCTCTTTGAGACCTTGGGTATAGAGCTATATAAGCACCACATGATTTTTACAAATGTATAATACACTAACAAGGTAGAGTAAAGCCCTGTCAAGCCGAGTCAAATTCTGGCTCAAGCCAATTTGTGTTAGAGCTTTTAGCACTGGTATATTTTATCTTCAAGCAAAAATCCTGATTGGTCGAACCATAGCAACAACAGTGTGGCATTATCCCACCATTGCACAGCCCATACCACACTCTGCCTACGCGCTATACTAATAAGATGCACGCACCATTCCTGCTGCACGCACATGTAATAGGACAATCAATGAAAAGTTTGTGTACAGTGTGCTCATTCCATCTTTACTGTGCATCAAGTTTAATTGAAGATAAATTTGTTATCCCACTCCGTGTTCCACACATGCTTGTGAATGTGTTCCACTCGGGCTTAAACAGTAATCCCTCTTTTGCGTTAGTCCTTCCACCCTGCAATTTTTGTTTTCTCTACATGTTATTTCTGTACCACTGTCATTTGAACAAGGTCTTGTTAAGGCCGAAACATCAGGCCCTCTCAATCTGTTTGTTTTGTGTATTTTAGGTCAATCCAGTCAGTAAGCAGTTTGCAGCAGTTCTATTCATTTTCATGTTTAATGGATTCCTGATATCACTCAGGGGTAAATACAATGAAGTAAAATGTAGTTCAAGAGCTAATGGGTTGAAGACTCAGTGATGATGAGCCTCTGACTCAATCGAGTCATCATCTGAAAGTTACTCGACTAACGCAAGTAAAGTGGACTCTGACTCGAGATTCGAATCTGACTCGAGTTGAGTCAGACTCAACATGCCGAGATCTGGAACATGCTGAGTTCAACCAAATTCACCCTTAATAGGAATAAGCCTGTTCCTTACTCATTATTCACCACAGTGACTTTCTCTGAGTTGTTCAATCCTAGGATGTTGCAGCTAGCTACGAGTTCTTTCTCTCTGACTTCACCATGCTTATAGTAATCACCTGCAAGGGGGTGGGAGGGGGTGGAACAGTGGGTGATGGGGGGTAAGAAACAAGAATACAAAAGCCTTTTGAAGTTTACATTTTGATATGTTATCCTTGTGGCTTTAAACCCTCGTCCTATGAAATTTATAAATCCTCCTTTTGCATCATCCAAGGAGTATGTACCTCGGTCATGCTGTAAATTTAGGGACCAAAGTGTGACATTTTCCTGTCCCTGTTACCTCTGAACTCTGTAATTTGCCATTCAAATGTCACTAACAATGACTTCAAACTATTTTTATTTTTATTTGTTGGGTAGGTGTCATTTGCTTGACATGATCACTCTTGGAGCAAGAATACACCAAGGAGTGCATCCAGAATTACTAAATCATAGATGTCAGATGCAACAGGGACAGGAAAAAAAGTAAACTCCAAATTTATAGAATGACCAGATGATAAATATAATACAGATTTTGATACATGTATCAGGTACTCCTACTACCCCCCAAAATATATACAACACCTGAAGAGATCTCCAACTGTAAGCCCATAAATCATGTTTGAATAATACAGCTGTCGCCTCACTGAAGGACATTTTTTTGAAAGTCAAACCACAAAAAACTTGTCAAAGGTTGAAAGGTTTAAATCGATGTAAAGGTAGCAATGTTTCTGTGTCGGAGAAGTAAATGGGGGCGTTGGTGACCTTGCAATTCTGAAATGCCTTTGACAAAAAGTTATTATTCTGAGCCAGACAGGGGCAGGAACTTTACTGAAACTTTTTCCCCAATTTTTCAATTGTATGAAGACAGTCAGTTGTGGGTGCAGTTTTGTGTGTGCAGAACTCGTGCTTGTCAATTCAGGAATAAAATTGAGTTAGCTGTCTTGTTCAAAAACTGGTAAATTTTATTGTCTGTAGAATGATCTTAAAAATGGGAAAACGTAAAGAATTTTAATGCGTAACTTCCAACTCAGTTGAAATTACTACATTTTTTTTCTCAGAAACTGAACTAATTACAGCCATCACTGTCGAATCACAATTAGTATTATCTTTATTTAAATCACATAAAAGTACTTGTAAAAATACCATTTTAAAGAGAATAATGGTTAAATCAAAATCTAGTCTGAAAAATCACTTTTGTCTGTCAACTTTTGAACTGTTGTTCACAATTTTAAGAATTCTTGAAAACTGTCTGAAACTAAAATGTCTTTTAATCCGTTTAAATTTTATTTGGTAACATATGTAAAACCCTGTAACATTTTTAGAATTTTGTTTATTCACAACCTTTATTGGGGTATTTATTACGATTCAGCAATTCTCCATGGTATTTTTGTTAAATAAAATTGATGGTAATGTTTCAAAAAGCAGAAATAAACTTCGTCTAGAATGAAAAACACGCACTAATTTTGTACAGAGGAAAAAATAACGCATTTTGAATGAAAAACACGCACCAACTTTGCAGAGAGGGGAAAAAAAAAGCCAAAATATAAAACAAAAACAAAAAAGTCAAGGCCAGTAGCGTATCCAGCTTTTGATGTGGGGGGGGGGGGGGGGCACCCGCACCGAAATGTAGACATGTTTTTTTTCTCTGGACACTTGGCCTTCGTAAAATCTAAAAAGGGGGGGGGGGGGTTGGTAACCCATCTTCCAAATGGGGGCGCTCTTCAAAACTGACCATTATATTATGCATACTGGAGGTTTTTTAGCTCTTTTCTTTTTTGGGGTTGATGTAAGAACTCTCTAGAACCATTTATGGAAATTTTTACTGAAAAAATATCTTTCAGAAAAATCAACCGGGGAGTGCCCCCCTTCCCCCCCCCCCCCCCTTCTGGATACGCCACTAGTCAAGGCAAATGAAGTATTGATTCTTGTTCTACATGGCTTTTAAAATATTAAGCAACTACACGTTTATGCTGGGGAGTTGATCAGGTAAAGGCCATATCAATCAACAAGGCAGATATAAATTATTGACTTCTTGTTAAGGGCATCTATCGTATTGGCCTTAATGGATAGTGAGAACCGGTCCAAGGATCGAAAATCAGCCAGAAAATCAGCCGTAGGAGCATCACAATATGTACATGTATATAATTTATGATGCCAACACCAAATAAGCATAAATTTTGTACATGTTATTTCCAGTTCTTTTGAAAAAAGGTAAAAGAAAATGAACATTACAAAAATTTGACAGAAACAAAATAACAAATAAATAGAGACCCCAAAAAACCCACACCATGAAAACAAACAAAATGAAGCAAACCAAACTTTACTGAAACTTTTTTCCCAATTGTTCAATTGTATGAAGACAGTCAGCTGTGGGTGCAATTTTGTGTGTGCAGAACTCATGCTTGTCAATTCAGGAACAAGGTGGTTCTCGAACTATGCGTCTCGCCTGTTTGAAATGAGACCAATTTTACACAGCCTACTATACAACTTGACCTCAGATGACCTTTGACCTTGGTATGTGACCTTTGACATCATTATCAAATGAAGGTTGCCATGTTGCATCTTTGACCCAAGTTTGGTTCCAATTGGACTTCAACTTTTGCAACGAGACAATTTTTTCGAAACTTTTACAAAAATTCCACAAAGACATACGGACATACATGTAGATACGGACAGACATAGTGATTGCATGGTCTCTTTCCTGAACTTCATGCGGGCGAGACAATAAAATTGAGATAGCTGTCTTGTTCAAAAACTGGTAAATTTTTTTTTTTGTAGATTGATTTTAAAAATGGGAAAAAGCAAAGAATTTTGATGAGTAAACTTCCAACTCAGTTGAAATTACTACTTTTCTTCTCAGACACTGTTTGAACTAATTGCTGCCATCACTGTCTAATCACAATTAGTATTATCTTTATTGAAATCACATACATGTACAAAATAACATTTGTAAGAGATTAACGGTCGAGTCAAAATCTACAGTCTGAAAACTTGATTAAAAAATTACTTTTCTCTACATTTTGAATTTAATAGTAAGATTAATCCGTTCAATTGTTTTTTTTTGTAACTTATGTAAACCTTGTCACATTTTAGTATATTTTTTTTAAAGTCACCATCAAGTTTTTATGGCATTTTTTACGGTTAAACAATACTCCATGCCATTTTTAAAAATAAAATTGATGGTAATGTCTGAGAAAAAAAAATCAAATTCCTTTGAAATGAAAAACACGCACTAATTTTGAACAGAAAAAAAAACCCGGATTTTAAATGAAAAACACGCACCAACTTTGCACAGAGCGAGAGAGAGATACAAAAAAGACAAAACATAAAACAAAACAAAAAAGTCAAGGCAAATGAAGTATTGATTCTACACCGCTCGTAAAATATTAAGCAACTAGTAAAAAGTCAATGCAAATGAAGTATTAAGTATTAAGCAACTACACGTTTATGCTGGGGAGTTGATCAGGTAAAGGCCATATCAATCAGCAAGGCAGATACCAATTATTGACTTCTTGTTAAGGGCATGAGAACCGGTCCAAGGATAGAAAATCAGTCATCTCAGCATTACAATACTTATATAATTTTTAATGCCAACACCAAATAAAGATAATTACATTGTAATGCAATTTTTTTACATTATCCTTATTTTCTCGTTATTGTCACCAAGCTGAAAAGCATAAGAGGCTTAAAATCGTAAATAAACTGGGACAAAAAGTGGGTCGGTGACAATTAATTCTCACTAGCGATTTACATGCAACCATCGAGCTCGTGTAACTGGACTAGCTGCTATGTGCTAAATGGCAAAACTGTGTGCACCAATATTATTTCCAGTTCTTTTGGAAAAAGAGGAAAAGAAAGTGAATATTAAATAAATTTAATAGAAACAAAATAACAAATAAAGACCCAACAACACCCACAAAATCAAACAAAATGAAGCACACCAAACAAAATGAGACGAAAACAAAGAGCAAAACAAAACAAAACACAATTTGAAGATATGGGATATTTGGATTTTTTTGTTCTGAATAAATCTATAAATGTAATTTGAAGTTTCATTATCAGGGCATGTGATCACTGGACAATAAGAAAGGCCTCCATTGATTAATGAGACCTGCTGCAAAAAAATTATATGCCTATTGCGACAAAAAGTGAAATGTCACGTTAGCTACATTTGAAGGAAAATGGCACAAATTACTTAAATATCATTTTATGATACAGTACACATCACAATTCACAAGGTTAATTACATTGTTATGCAACATTTACATTCTCCTTATTGTAACTAAGCTGATAAAGCATTAGAGGCTTAAAAATTGCAAATAATCTGGGGAAAAAAGTGGGTCAGTGACAATTAATTCTCACTAGCAATTTACATGCAACCATCGAGCTCTTATAAACTGGACTGGCTGCTACATACATGTATGCTAAATGGCAAATGCCTTGTCGAAGTAACTGATCTGCCATCATGTTCTAATATATTTTTCACTTATAAAGATTATTTCACTTATGGAGTTTGGCCAATTCTAGGAATGGGATTGTTTAAAGGGAATGTACATCATTGGCTTTCGCTGTAATTTTCAGAAATGAACTAGTTCAGGGGTTAGCATAATAGATCATAATATTGTTACTCAGACATGTTTGAAGTGTTGTGTCCAAAAATGCTGGAAAAACCAAAAAAACCCCAAAATGTTCAAGTAGTCTGGTTCCCCGACTCCACTAAAGATGAAATGGATCAATTTATAGATGCCAGAAATTGTAAGGTAAAGGAACCAGTCTAGCTGGCCTGAACCCGGTCATGAACATGTTACCAATAGCAAACACAATTTGGACTGAAACAAATGGTAAATTTGGAGCAGAAGTTGAAAAACCGTTGGAAATATATACAAAAATACCATTTTCTTAAAATGACTTCACACCAGGTACCATAATTTTACAGGATGCTTTAGACTGTCATTTACCAACATACTAGTAAGGTTTTTTGTAAAAACTTGGTAGGTTTATTTTTCAATGTTTGCAAATGTTGTATTTTCCCTTTAAATCTCACAAACTAGTCTTAGGGTTGCGGCACATATAGGACGATAAAATTCCATGACCTTTTCCATGGCTTTTCCATTACCAAATTATGAAAATCCATGACCTAGTTCATCAAAATGCAGATCAAAACTGTAAAACTTGTTCCGTGAAAAGTGCTCAACAGAAACAGAAAAACAACAAAAACAGCAATGTCTTTCGCAATCAAAACACTTGTATTAGCGAAATTTGTTGATTTTTGATGCTTAAAAATTTGTCCTCACAAAATTCCATGATTTTTGTCATATTTCCAGGCCTGGAAATTGAAAAAATTCTGTGACTTTCCCAGGTACCCAGTAGTCTGAAAATACAATTCTTGTCTTCCCTGCCTTAACTTTTTAACTTACGAAGTCCAATACCAACCCGCCAAAAAAACTTGTGCTTTACTGCATGTGCATAATAAGAGACCCAAGATGACGGACACTGCTTCAAATGCGTGGGCAATGTCAGCCAGTCCAGTTAGCATTGAGGTCAGTACATCCAACACACAGTCTGGAGCAGACGGCAGCCTTTGTAAAGTGTTGGCTGAAAGCATAACAACAGTGTCAGAAAGTTTCGCTACATTTACCACATTAAACGTTGTTCTCATTTTTGATAAAACCTCGAGGGGTATCTTTGTACCTTCTACGCCTGGTTTCCACTTCATTGATAATTTCGGGATGGAGGCCTTTGCAAGTTTAATATGCGGTAATTTGACATTTCACCGTGTAGATGAAGTTATCAACAGGTCCGTGTTCAGGCAAGGACTGCTATTCGTGTCGTGCCTGATAAGACTGCTGATTTACAGCATGCTATGCTCAGAAATGGTACAGCACAAGCTAAGCCATGTCTTAGAAAGCATTTGTTTGACCATCATGCAGAATTTTAAACAAATACGCCAGAAAACAGCCACATGCAAATGAATGTTGTGAAGAAAAAAAAATTGACATACGGTGAAATTACATTACTATACAACTAAAAGTGCAAGGAGCACTTCCAAGTGTACAGCAAACACCACCAAATCAAAGTATCTGATAATAAAAATGCCCTCTTATTTATACACCCATTAGTAGCTGCACCACTCCAAACCTCTCTGCCTACCGTAACTCCTTGTACCACTCCAAAACCGCCTGAGCATTAATCAGTGAATAAACATAATATCTACAATGTAGTACAGTTGCTAATGGGTAAATATCTTGTTTCTTTCATTTACATATACCAAAGCTAATTTGTAGAAACAAAAGTAGGGCAAAATTATTGCTTGCAATCAATAGCAGCACCGTAGCCGGGGGTGGGGGGGGGGGGGTGGGGGGGGTGGGGAGGGGGCTGATGTTGGGAGAAGGGGAGCACACGCCCCCCATAAAAACAATTGTCATCCCCCTGAAAATGTACTAGTTCTCTAAAAGACCATGGTTAATGGGTTCAACAGAAATTGCCCGCCCCCCTCTCCTCCCTATAGTGAGAACCCTGGCTATCCCACTGATCAATAGACACTCTCATTTTTCCCCAGTAAATCATGTATAGATCTCACTGACCTTACACACTAATGGAAGACCAATCACAAGACTTCCTGTTGCCTTGGTTACCATATGATACCATATAATATACAAAAAAGTTAATAGAAATCACCCCGGTCTGAAGTGGAGCGCATATAGATGAAGAGAAAATTGTTCACAGCTCATATTGATTGTGGTACGCAAGGACCCTTCACGTATGATATCAAAGCTTAAGAGAGAGTTTTCTTGAAATCAAAAAGTGGTCGGTTATTGTTCACAGCATCAGCAGTAAATTTAACTTCTGTTTGATAAGTTGCCAAAAAATCATGGCTGGCATTTTAATGAAAGTGGGCTTGATTTTGCTCATTTTGAGCCCAAAATGGAGCTTGTTCGTGTACATGCAAGCAACGAGCGTGTTACCGAATCACTGTGAAACACTGCAAGCTGGGGCTTGCCCTGAAGGGTGGACGGCACGAGGAAACTTCTGCTACAAAACCCTAGATGGCATTCATAGCTACGCAGATGCTACAACGACAGCGTGCACAGATATCGGCGGCTGGCTCCCCGCACCAAACACGCCGGAGGAAAACGCATTCCTCCTCAGCATGTCGGTGCCTGAGCCTACTGCCGAAGGGGTCTGGCTCAACTGCAACGACTTGGAGACGGAAGGAGACTGGAAATGTCTTGACGGAGGGAGACAGGTCCCTGGCCATTACTGGGGAACCGGCGAGCCCAACAATGCAGCCGATAATGAGAACTGTGCGGTGATAGAGCATAACGATGGGCGCTGGCATGACGTGTACTGTGATTACAAGCACTACTCTGTTGTGTGCAAGCGTTCGGCTCCGGGTGTGCTCTCCATTGAAGCTTGAAATCTTCGCCCCTCAATTCAGCACATCCTTGCACCTAGACTTAATAAATGTGCTTGGGTGAAGTTGTGGGTCGGAAAAAATACCTCATGACATACACGTCCTGACTTTGAACCAACTCTAAAAGTAATTCACTCGCAGATTTTACCAAATAATTGTACTGTAAATGAACCATGGAACCCTGAACTGAATTGTTGTTTCTAGCTGGAATGGACAGCGGCCAACATTTGTTAATCCTACATCCATCCTTCAACTCCATGTTATTGAAAACTGAGCAGTGCACTAAGGTTTGTACATTTTGACAAAAGTTTAAATTACAAATTGGAAAACGTTTGTCTGCAGATAGTATAAATGTTATTTGTAAGTTACAAGAATGGTGCACACAAAATTGAGTTTACTGCATGTGCATCATAAGAGACCCAAGATGACAGACACTGCTTCAAATGCGTGGGCAATGTTAGCCAGTCCAGTTAGCATTGAGGTCAGTACATCCAACACAGTCTGGAGCAGACAACCAAACAGTTTTGGCTGAAAGCACATCAACAGTGCCAGAAAGTTTCGCTACATTTACCAAATTAGACGAGGTTCTCGTCCTTGATAAAATCTCGAGGGGTATCTTTGTACCTTCTACGCCTGGTTTCTACTTCATTGATTATTTCAGAAGGGAGGCTTCGCAAGTTTAATATGCGATTATTTGACATTTCACCGTGTAGATGAAGTTATCAATATGTCCGTGTTCGGGCAATGACTACGTGCCTGAAAAAACTGCTGATTTACAGCACGCTCTCCTCAGAAAATTTACAGCACAAGCTAAGCCATGTCGTTTAAAGCATTTATTTGACCATCGTGCAGAATTTTTACCTACATGTAATATGTTAGAAAACAGCACATGCAAATGGATGTTGTGAAAAAAAAAAATTGACATGAACGTTTAAATGACATTACTGTACAACTTGCAAGGAACACTTACAAATTTACAGAAAACACCACCAAATTAAAATATCTGTAATAAAAATGCCTCTTATTTAACCTATTAGTCATTGCACCCTTCCAAACCTCCCTGCCTACCGTCTTACTTACCAAAACTAATTTGCACTGTAACAAAAGTAGGGCAAATTATAACTTCCAATCAATACACTAATTTTTTTCCCGAACTTTTATACACAGATCTCTCACTGACCTTGCACACTAATGGAAGACCAATCACAAGACCTCCTGTTGCCTTGGTTACCATATAATACCATATAATATGCGAATAGTCAATAGAAATCACCCCGGTCTGAGGTGGAGTACATATACGAAGAGAAAATTGTTCACAGCTCATATTGATTGTGGTACGCAAGGATCCTTCACGTGTGATATCATAGCTTGAGAGAGAGTTTTCTTGAGAACATCAAAAAGTGGTCAGTGATTGTTCACAGTATCAGCAATAAATTTGACTTCTGTTTGATAAGTTGCCCAAAAGATCATGGCTGGCATTTTGATGAAAGTGGGCTTGATTTTGCTCATTTTGAGCCCAAAATGGAGCTTGTTCGTGTACATGCAAGCAACGGGCAAGTTTGCGCATCGCTGTGAAACACTACAAGTTGGGGCTTGCCCTGAAGGGTGGACGGCACGAGGAAACCACTGCTACAAAACCCTAGATGGCATTCATAGCTACGCAGCCGCTACTACAACAGCTTGCACCGATATCGGCGGCTGGCTCCCCACACCAAACACGCCAGAGGAGAACGCATTCATCCTCAGCATGTCGGTGCCTACTGCCGAAGGGGTCTGGCTAAACTGCAACGACTTGGAGACAGAAGGAGCCTGGACATGTCTTGACGGAGGGAAACAGGTCCGTGACCGTTACTGGGGAACCGGCGAGCCCAACAACGCAGCCGGTAATGAGAACTGTGCGGTGATAGAGCATAACGACGGGCGCTGGCACGATGTGTACTGCAATTACAAGCACTACTCTGTTGTGTGCAAGCGTTCGGCTCCGGGTGTGCTCTCAATTGAAGCTTGAAATCTTCGCCCCCCCCCCCAAAAAAAAAATCAGCCCATCCTTGCACCGGGACTTAATAAATGTGCTTGGGTGAAGGTTTGGGTCATAAAAAAATACCTCATGACATACATGTACTGACTTTGAACCAACTCCAAAAGTTCACTTGCTGATTTTACCAAAATACACGTGTACTATGAATGAACCATGGAACCTTGAACTGAATTGTTATTTCTAGCTGGGAATGGGCAGGGGTCAACATTTGTTAAGTCTACATCTACAGTGTATCCTTCAACTCCATGTTGTTGAAAACTGAGCAGTGCAAAGGTTTGTACATTTTGACAAATAAAACATTGGAAAAACTTTGTCTGCGGACAATATACAAAGTCACAAGAATGGTGCACCGGAACTACACATCTGAGTGACTACAGTCCCTGGTGCATGGAAACTGATGAGCACAAAAGAAATCTGCTCAGCAAAATTTAATCACCAACCGAAATCTAATTCAATGTACATTGTATGTTGCATGTGACAGGATCTCAGGTAATAGCCGCTTAGCACAAAACGTTTGGCAAGCAATGTTTTTTCTTCGAATGCTCCATGAAATTAGGCACTAAAATATACAAGTTTGATTCAGTGTGATCTTTGTGATAATTATGTAACAGTTAATTTAAATTTTTTGATGTATTTCATTTTAGAAGAAAAATTAAACCGTGGTCTAACAAGTTAGTATTAATTAATTGAAAATACACCATAAAGAAATACTGTCTGTGCTCTTCAAATTATTACTTTTTCCTGATGAATTTCAACTTAAAATTAACAATGTCTTATATACTTTTAAGAAAAATCTACTATTTTTTTCCTACTTTTTACCTTGTTTTTGCGCCAGCAACCTTCTGAGAGAAAAAAAAACATGCTTGTGTCTTGGGTTTATTTTGCGCTCAAACAGGTCTGCCATGTATTGCACTGGTTTTCCGTCCCTACATTGTTGATTTTGATACAGGGCAGAATCAATAATTTGGGAACCAATTTACACTGCGAGAACCAATATTGTTAGCAAATATTTCCAAATTTGTAAGCTTATTATTCCATAACTTAACACAATATGGGCAAATTTTTTGTTTGATGTGCATTAGAAATAGCAAAAAAAAAAAAAATTAACTTAAATTTTAGTTTAAAAAAATTGAATATCATGGACAGTGACTATTCTTTGTGATGTAGACTATTTTTTTTTTTTTTAAACTACATGTACTACACATATTCTGTGTTGAAAGTAATGTATTTTCAGAATGGTTTGTGGAAAACTAAACTGTATGACAGATGCTCTAGAGTTTGCTTTTTGAAAGAGTATTTTCCATCCATGTAAACGTATTACATGTACCTTGTACATTTGTACATTATAGCAATGTGATTATGTTTTGTATCAATGTTACAGCCACATAAGGCCAAAAAAAATAAATACTCGGTCTCTGGTCAGACCAAAGTTCCGGAATGGATGCGGCGACGTGGCTTTTTTTTTTTTTTGGCTTTTTTTTTTTTTCAAGCTTGGATTGTACAGACAAGGTGGGGTACTATTTTGCTTTTTTTGGTGTCCTCATGTACATTGGTGTCCTCCATAATTTGCCTTGGTGCCCTTGATCATTTGCCTTGGTGCAATTTCCCATTCCTTGGTGCTCTTTGGTAAAAAAAATTGAGGAGGTGCGGAAATAGAGGAGCTACCGCGGAACATTTTGGAAAAAAAAGAGATTGACGCACATGATTAAAATCGACGCGCGTGCTGACCAGAGACCAAGTTATTTTTTTTTTTGGCCTAAAACACAGAATTCCAAAATACAGTCAAGTACTGCAATCTGCAGTCTGGACTACCCCGTAACCATGAAAAGGTTTTAAATCAGGAATTCTGTATTGAAATGGCACATTTTTATTTCTTAATATTGGGTTTAGCCCTGCCCCAATGTAATTTTTTTCATATTAACTAAACTCCTTAGGCAGAAAATCGATGTGTCTGTTTTCGTTGTGTGTATTGCGTGGTACATTTACAACTTGCGTATCGGTGATGGTAGTCTGAAAATTCATGCATACCGTACGTATTTCTCTGCACACTTGACGAACATAAAAGCTCAAATAGAGAGCATTAGTTTTTCGAGTAGAAAAATCAACTCTCAATTACATTTTGGATTAGTTTTGGCAAAGTACACATTTTACAGAATAAACATTGACAAGATTTAACTTCTCAATAAAATACACAGGGTATGAATATTCAATGTTTTATTAACAGAAAATTAAAAACTCGTTTGCAGGTCTCGTTTGTTTCAAAAAAACATTTACTTACAAACTGCTTCCTTTTTAGACCAACCATTAATGTTTATCTTTTTACCCCACCAATTCATCATTCTTTAAGTTGCAGGCAACAAATTCCATGAGCATTGAATGCGTCATCCGTTTAAATTGCTACCTGAAGCATATATGTACAATGTCAACGGATAACGCAGTAAGGACAATGCAATGCTCAATACGGACACATGGACGTATGCGCGTTACTTACATGTATCAAACAACTGATTTTCACGCAGTGCCCACTATGCGTAACGCATGATGGACACATGGATTTTCGGCCTTATGCTGTCAAAAAAACATGCAAGTAATTTCTACGAGCATGCACGAAAAAAATCAGGAGCTTTTTCAGGTGGGACTCGAACCCACAACCTCCTGCTTACTAGTGCAGACATCTTAACCACTCAGGTACAATTTGTAAAAAGAAATTTTATTTTGAAATACGATACCCCATCTCTTTGAATATTTTCAGAACATAATTGTAATCATTTTTTGGGAAAGTTTTGATGCAGGAAAGTTTGGTTTTTTTGTTCTGGAGATTAAAGATCGATTCCCATTACAGTATTAATGTCATTCAGTTTTGTGGTTTATTTAGCAAAATTATGTTTTTTGTAACGAGGATTTTTGGGTGGGACTCTCCTGGAAAAGAATGCAGCCCTTGTAAGTGGAAAAAAAGATTGAGGAACATTTCGAGGTTTATTTGAAGAGGCCAAACACTTTACCCACTTCCATGACTTCAGAGAAAACTGACTGAGTACATGTAAATCAAATTTTCACTTTGGGAAAAAAAATCCTTCAAACCACCCTCCAGTGAGTCCCTTAAGAAAGTTACATTCTAAACAAGAAGGAAATTCTGCTGGAACTTTACTGACAGAAAAAGTTGATCTTTTTAAGTTGCCAATACATTCAAAATTATTACGGAACATGTGGAAGATTTGTATATCTCATTGTGCTCATGGTTAAATGGAATGTAGAATTATATAAAAATGAAATAATTTCCACTGACTTTTGTGAAATCTCTTTTTTTTTTTAAATACCCGATCGATTATGAATATGTTTTGTTCAGTTCATGACTGACTTTTACTTCGTGTTTGTATGGCCAGCCGCCCCGCGCGCCTGACAAACGTCATGAACTAAATGCATATTCCTAATCTTGCCCAAGCGCGCCCGCATAATGCACACATTACAACGCGGCCGCCATTTTGAAATCGCATGGAGGAACATTTTTTGGGACGATATTCGTGGGAGATGATGACTGAAAGTCGTCTTTTGGCCAGATAGATAAAGATTTTTATATAAAAGAACGTTTTTTCAAAAAAGTATGAGTTACTCTACGACTAGGAACCTTAACTTTGGAAATTTCTGTCCTGGATGAGAAGATAATCTCGATCAAAATCGCTACATCAGAGTTAAGCGTTTAGGGGAGCATTGGCTGTCTGGCCATACTACAGAGCTTGCGATAGTAGTATAGTCGTGTTCCCTAACATGGCGCACTTCGAAGCTAATATCCAACTTTCCTCGTGTAGTGTTGCCAAATCTCTTTGTTGATAAACCTCAAATTCATGCAGTGAAATACTGGTACTTTTACCTTTTTAATGCTTGCTATTTAACCTCTGTGAACAATTTCGGTTTCATAAAATTTAATCCAAAATGCAAAAACGGTCGCGTCCGGAAATTGGGCACAAATTGGCGGAGTGTTCCCTAACGTGGCGCACTTGAATAAATCTCGGAAAATTCCAAATTAACATTTAAGAATTTCTGTAAACTTGATAAATTCTGATAAATCATTATTATCTTTACCTACAAACATAGCCAGATGTTTGTCAGAAAATTATTTTCTTATTTTTCGGGGCATTTTTAAAGGGTTCACTTTGCACTTGAAAATAAAATCGGAAAATCACGCCAAAATTATTTTTTCTTTTAAGTAGTGAGTTTGTAACGGGTTAATAAACTTGCGATTTATGAACGGGAGTGTTTAGAACTTGATGAAATTTCACTTTCTGTGAAATTTCAGTTAAAACTTTTGCTCTAGCTAGGCGCTACAGGCGAAAAATCAAAGTGCACCACGTTAGGGGCCGCTACTCCTAGAACTATGAGGCTCCGCATGAGCGGAGCCTCATAGATCAAGAAGCCCGCAAAATTGCCTGCAGCACAAAACACTAATAAAGTACAAAAACGTCCATCAAAATGCAGCCATTTCACACAGAACTGCTGCACAGTTTGCCCCTATACTCCGTACTTTATCTCTTGACATACTCACGTATCTTGTGCGGAACTAACATAGGTGGATTCTGTCGGTTTTTAGGCCAAAATGATGAAAAATATGCCCTTTCCGCACTGAGCCAACCTGACACTTGAAACGTGCACGCATATGATCGAGCGATGATTTTCGGTTCGCTCGGAGCGCGCCGCGGGGGGTACGGTACAAGCGAAATGATGTGCATGCGTACAAGTGCATGTACTGTACCCCCCGCGGCGCGCTCCGAGCGAACTGAAAATCATCGCTCGATCATAATGCGTGCACGTTTCAAGTGTCAGGTTGGCTCAGTGCGGAAAGGGCATATTTTTCATCATTTTGGCCTAAAAACCGACAGAATCCACCTATGTTAGTTCACGCGGAGCCTCATAGTTCTAGGAGTAAGGGGCCGCGCCACGTTAGGGTATATCAACAATACTGACTACTGTCATGACTGTACGGCCAGATGCAGTCGGGCTAGAACTGGCCTCATGACCATTCTGTATGCTATGCTAACCTGTTGACAAACACAAAAGATACACTTGCGTGTTCGGTTCTCGCGCCAGCTGCAGAATCGTGGGTGCAAAGAACATGCACTCGTCGTCCGGATGGGCTGTTACTACCAACACATTCTTGGCTTTGCCGTTCTTCTTCTCAGGCTTCTTACGACGCAGGGCCAGGTAATAGATAACGAGAGAAATAGCTGTGTAAGGCAAGAAGAAATACGCGAAACCACTCGCAGCAGCGGCCATGTTGAGTTTTGAAGTTCCTGCCACAGAAATTGTAAAATTTACAGAGGGCGCAATTCATCTGTACCGTGTGCCATTTTTTTTTTGGGGGGGGGGGGGGGGCGGGACCGGGAAGGGGAAGGGGGGGGACAGGGAGGGGGTACACATATAGCTTTATTTAAAATAATTAATATAGCTCTATGGTAATATACCCGACAGGACTATGGGCTGATACTCAGACTAGGGGGGGGGGGTGAGCAATCCATAAAAATCTTAAATGAGATATTCCCGATTTCTCAATTTTGTAAAAGCCGCAAGAATCGGTTACTTGGTACCCGCTTAAGAAGGTCCTACGGTCCTACCCTAACCGATTTATTGAGAAAATTAACCTATTATAGCATGCTCAAATACCATATGAATCATTTTTGTCTGAATATGGATCACCATTTTCTGAGGTGGTATATAGAAAACAAGCATTGAAGGTGATAAGGGGGGTTGTGTTATCAGCAAATCGATGCTGAAACACAGTCGGAAATAATTACCATTTAAAAAAAAAAAATGGGGTGTCAGGGCGGAGGGAGTGGGGGGGGATGGGGTTTCGCATTATTTTTGATGAGTTTCTATGAAAAAAAAAAATATGGAGAGAACTGGGGGGAGTTTGAACCCCCCCCCCCCCCGGATGTCCGCCTAGGAGGAAGGAAAAGAAAAGGGAAATATGCCTATTGCCATGGACGTACCTCGCGTACCGTACCTGCATGCCTTGTATGGGAGTACGACCGGATTGCGGCCCCATTTCCGGGGATTTTCAAGATTTTAGACACCCCAAAGGCCGATGTTTTCGGGTTTTAGACACAGGGGGTTGTGTCTATTAAAGCGGGCAGAAGAATAGGGGGGGGGGGGGTTCCCGATCAACGGGCATGCCCCAGGAAAAAATCTACGACGATTTCTCCTTCATATAAACTTCTGTTTATACCAATTTCAAGAATATAATATTAAATAGGAATACAATGTACTAGCATCCATTTATTCCCCCCCCCCCCCATTTTACTAGTTTCATAAGTTAGTCAGCGGCTGAACGGGGTCCGGGGCTCACCCCTCCCCCTAGATCCAAGTGTCCTTGACGTCCTTCGCCACACGTTTTATTTTAGCAGACGACGCCCGTGCGATGTTTGTTTTGGTTTTTCCCTTGGATACAGGATGCCGATTGTAGCAATTTCAGAGCACGCGCGCTTCGTGTGCCGAGGTTTTCATTGGCTATCGCAGTGCGCGTGCCATTTATTATCAAATCAATCAAGCAGCAGCTGATTGTTTTGTCCACTTTGCAAAAACAACAGGCCGGCTGCTGTGCATGCGCTGGGGGCGCTTGACAACAACAAGGAACCGATGACATCGATGTGCCACTCTACACAAATTCATCATTATATCTGAAGTAAAGTCTGCGAAAAGAGCAGAGAACGAAATTGTACAGCATACGGGGACATTTGTGAGTAAGTTGATTGAACTTGCGCACTTGATTTTTTTTCGTTTCTCAGATTTGGACTCATCCACTAGACAAATGCAGTGCCAGTGGCCAAGTTGTTTTCCAGTCGGAATGCAGCTGGCCCAACTTCTATGATTTTTCTATTTTCCTGTTTTGTTTTGTTTGTTACGATGGGGGTGGGGGGGGTGGGGGGGGGGAGGAGAGTTCCGTACCTGGACATCACTTGACACCCTGTGTGCATTACAAGACTGGCCTGACAAATTAGTGTTTTCTCAGTAAATGCGTCAATATTTTCCCTGCTAAATTTGACTTTTTTAGTTTTTGGGACATGTTATTGCTTTCTGATGGCTGAGTGACAGTAGCCTACTGAGTACTGGATACTTTAGGGACAATTATTAATATTAGTGATGGCCATGTACTATGGAATTCGTCCCCAATTGGGATGTCCATGACCATGGTACGTACATGTAAGTTTGATTCATGTTTTTGCAGAGCAATTTCTCTTGTGACATTAAAGCGGACCTAGGCACATAGCTGTGTTTTTTATTAATTTGAAGTAGGCCTAGGGCCTAGCCAGACATTGAGTGCTGAAAAACATGCAAAACGAAATCAAGCCAACATTACTCATTCATCAGCCAGCAAAATTCTCCAAAAGTTCCATTGGGCAAAGAAAAGGTCTTCAGAATTTCCCCAACAAAGTTTGAAGACTCAACTCAATTTTTAAAGGAGACCTTTTTTCAATATTTTGCACAAAAATGACAGGGAATTCAAGTGATTTCAAAACAACGCTAAGGCAAAAAAAAATAGTTCTGCTTCTGGTTTCCCTACATAGGCCTACCCCAATTCTGACAGCCCTACCCTAATTTTTTATTGGAAAAATGAGAGGTCCTCAGTATTTCACCTGCCTAGTTTGAAGTCTTAATTTCATTTTTAAAAAAGACCTTTCTTTCATATTTTGAGTGATTCCAATTTGAAGCCTAAACATGTCCAAAAACCAACTGTTTGGAAAGATTGAGCATTCAGTCGCCTGTTTGCAGACTATGATGAAGAGATGTGTAGAAATAGACCAGTATTCAACCAGATGTTTCTGTTAACACAGTTGACTGTTGACACTGTTGACTATTAACACAGTTGGCTGATGCACTTACTAAAGGGATGTTGGACTGGTTGTTTCATACAGTGCCAGTCTACTTTCTTGTGTTGCATGTTTTAATACCTTCTGGGACTGTCAGTGTCATAGTCAAACATAGTATTGAGAATCCCAATTTTTGGACTAGGCCTATAGGCCATGGTATAATTTTCAGTGGATGGACTGAAACACACAACTTAATGTAATTAAAACTGTGACTCATAAAGACATAATAAATGAAGATGAGTTAAAACATGAATCATATTGAATCATTAATGCAAAAACATTTCCCCCAATTGTCCATGTCAAGACTAAAATTAATTTGAAAGCTAACACAATTGAGGCCTACCGTACGTCTAACCCTCAAACAACATGAGTAAAAAAAAAAAGAATAAAGTGAAATTTGTGCTTCTTTTCTTCTTAGGTAGGCGAGTAGTTGAAAGCTAACAAAGATGAGCATGCTGCACCAAAAACGAAAGAAATTTGCCTCTGTCCTGGAAAAAGCCTGCAAGCAGTCTGCATCATCAAGTCTCTCAGATTCAAGCAGTGTAATTTCCCAAGATCTACCCAATTCTTCCCCTAATTGCAATGGAGACTCTGCTGTAAACCCCTGGTGTGCTGGTACCCCTGCCACGCCTTACCAGCCAGATTCGTCGTTACTCAATCCGATGGGCTGGCCGGCGAGTTTACTCGGCAGCAGTGATGTCTCTTGTAGTTCACAGCTCAGCCCTTGGTAAACAAGCTTGTGCAAATCTTCCAAAGTATCATCAAACCTAAAAGTCACGAAATCACCATTCTCTTTCCTAATACTTGAGGCTGCGGTTCACTTTAACCTCAGCTTTGTAGAGTGATTAATATTTTGTGTCCAGTAATTCTAAATTGAGCATATTTATTCGGAAATCATTTTTGGTTAAAACAATAATTTTTTGACCAATAAAGCTCAATGCAACTTATTAAACTTTTTGGGGGGGATGTAGGAAGTACATGTGATCCAATCCACAAAAACGTGGTAACATTGGGAAAAAGTTTGACAACTTCCATAAAAAGTCCATATTAAACACTGTGAGCCCATAACAATAAAGTCTTGAAATGGCTTCAATATGAAAACACCTGAGTCAGGGGCCATTTACTCATAATGTAACATTTTCACAGGTTAAATTACACTTGATACCAATTAACTGATTAGTATTTTACCCCTCCACTTTCCTAATTAGCATTGATGGGGATAGCTGGCCATACGATTCGTGTTTCTCCTGCCCCTGGAATCCCAGTGCTGACTTGGAATTCCTCGAAGCAGACACGGCAGATCACATGCTAGCGAAAGCTATCTCAGCCAATCAGCAGGCAACTCAGACAAGCATGGATTTACTGGACTTTCTTGGTGAGTAAATGCAGAGAAATTTGAAATATTACACCTCATCAGATGTTCACTAATGAAATTAGCCTTAGACAGGAGTGGGGGGTTGGGGGAGTCAAAATAAATGAAATTGGAAGAACATACTCCTAAAATCCGAAGACCGAGTCTAAAATTCCTTAGTAGGCCTATAGTCCTCAAATCCCAGTATCATAAGTCCTGCATAGTCAGAAGACAAGCCCAAATGTCCTAGTGTTCTTTGTATCTGTCTTAAAGTCAGACTGAGTCCAACATCCAAATCCTAACCTGAAGTTGTTAAGACCAGAAACTTCAAAGTCTATGTTCAGAAGTCCTAACATTTTGTTTCACCACCAGATGACCAGAATCACACCATCAGCCATCTCGGGGCATGCATGGATATGGAGGACCAGCTGTTTGCCGACGCCGACAACTCGTCGCTATCCCTCCTTTCTGACCTCCGATGTGATCTCAAGTCAGACTGCCTCAAAAACGATGCCTGGCTGCATGACCCCATGACCTCTGACAGTGACCTGGATGACCTTTGGATGAGGTCCACCCTTACTGTGAAGACCCCATGTCGTAAAGGCAGTCAGTCTGTGCTTCAGCCCTTGTACTTCTGCAACGATGTGACCAAGGGTCTATCAACTGCTGATTATTTTCACTGTGTAGCTGACAGAGTTAAAAAGGTATGGTCTTATCAGTCTAGAATTTTCCTAAAGTTTCATTTTCAATTCCCCTATCAACTCCCACTCCCCGAGGTTTTTTTTGCTGGGAACCTTCTAGAATCCTCCAAATCCATCGTTGTGCAGGAAACCAGTAGGTGTTTTGCACATGCAGACTTCAAGCGAATGAACTCCAAATCTTCAAATGTTGAGTGAAAAGACGATTAGCCTTGTCTCGTGGCGCTGGACCTGAAAGTGTCAGTGTAGGGCATTATTTATACTCAGTGACTCAGTCAGTGACTTGGTCAGTTAAACAAGTGACTATAGCCGTGTCCGCACTGGACTTTTTTTTTGGAAGGTTTTACCGAGACGATGGTAAAATGAAAAATGGTCAAATGTGACCACTGTCCGCACTTGGACTTTCGACACGGGAAATTTTACCCCGACCGCGTGGGAGAAGTAACCGAGCTGTCACAGTGTCAGTATAATGACTCACCGTACGCAGAAAACAAATTGCCGATCACATTTTCAGCCACCGATACGCTCAGTAATATTACACACGCCATTTGCATGCATAACATAATCGTTTACACGATATTATTTCATCTTGACATGCTAAATCTTGACGAAAGGGCCTATAATTCTGACGCATTTGTGATGCACGTCGTCGAAGCCATGCCGCTGTACGATGTTCCGTGCGGCAGCAGTGCCATCAGTATTCGTTGGTTCCCATCGCATGCTTACAGAATCGAAGCTATGATGTGGGCCAGGAACCAGTGACTACGGCCTACATACGGTACCGGACCATGATGTTCCGTGCATGACTACAGTAGCGTATCAGGACGAATTTGGATCGTAGAAAATAACATACATCGGTGGAGAAAGAGAATTTCCGCAAATTAATTCTCAGAATGTGATCTCTCTTCTCTGTGTATGTATTTGTCCGTTGAAATATATATTTTAACGAGATTTTACCGCTCGGACTTGATAATACACCGCAGCGTGTTTCTACAAAATGTTCGGCCACTGCACGTGCAGGTTCGTGCGGTCTCTGTATGCATAACAGGGCGCTCGGGCCGGATGTACGCTTTCCTGAGCCGCTTTTACCGACTCGCACTGTCCGCACTGGACTAATCGTCTCGGGAAAAGCGACTCGGTCAGTTTTCCTGGGCGCGTGGGAAGTTTTCCTGGGCAGCAGTTGGCCAGTTAAAGTAACCGCTGGACTCAGGAAAAGTAACTGAGAGGAAAACGTCCTAGGCTGTCCGCACTGGACTTAAAATGGGAAAAGTACCCATAGTCTCGGTTAGTTTGACCAAAAAAAGTCCAGTGCGGACAGGGCTTTGGTCAGTTAAACAAGTGACTTGGTCAGTCAAACAGTGACTTGGAAAGTCAGTCAGTGACTCGGTCAGTTAAACAGTGACCCGGTCAGTCAAACAGTGACTTGGGGAGTCAGTCAGTGACTCGGTCAGTTAAACAGTGACCCGGTCAGTCAAACAGTGACTTGGGGAGTCAGTCAGTGACTCGGTCAGTTAAACAGTGACTCAGTCAGTCAAACAGTGACTGGGTCAGTTAAACAGTGACCCGGTCAGTCAAACAGTGACTTGGAAAGTCAGTCAGTGACTCGGTCAGTTAAACAGTGACCCGGTCAGTCAAACAGTGACTTGGGGAGTCAGTCAGTGACTCGGTCAGTTAAACAGTGACTCAGTCAGTCAAACAGTGACTGGGTCAGTTAAACAGTGACTCGGTCAGTAAAACAGTGACTGGGTCAGTTCAACAGTGACTCGGTCAGTTCAACAGTGACTTGGTCAGTCAGTCAATGACTTGGTCAGTTAAAAAGTGACTCGATCACTCAAACAGTGACTGGGTCAGTTGAACAGTGACTCGGTCAGTCCAACAGTGACTCGGTCCTAATTCAGTGACTCGGTCAGTCCAACAGTGACTCGGTCCTTCAGTGACTCGGTCAGTCAAACAGTGACTCATCTAGTCACTTTCATTTCATTACACATATCCTGAGGTTTCACTTCTTTTTTTTTAGAAGAAGAGCATTCCTAGAAAGGACGTCTCACCTGATGAGCTTCTCTTCAGGAAGGAGAGGAATCGTCTACGCAGCAAGGCCTATCGTCTCCGAAGGAAGATGCAATATGAATCCATGCAGAATGAAGTAACGCAGGCGCGCCAGAAAATACAAGAGGTCCAGAAAGAGAATCGTAAATCTTAAAATGGTCAGAGGTGAGGTACTGAACATTTATCAGAGTCCTGAATGGTTGAGTTACCTAATTCCAAAAGTTAAAGAACAGATCTTCTGTGAAGTTTTGCTGGCATATTGGGTTATGATTCAATAACAATGAATTCTGGTTGTACTCCTGCTTTATCCAAGAGGAACAAAAGCACTGCCCTCTAAGATGTCCTCTATGAATTGGGACTATCCCTACAAGACATTAACTTGCAGTTGTGTGTAGTTGGTCCCTTTGTTAATGTCCTATTTAAATTCTTCAACAATTCCTTCAACAGTTGAACCTCCACAAGGGAAATATAAGTTGTTAGAAACAACACAAATGAAATATTTTGGATGGGCATTTACATATTATACAGGGTGTTTCAATAAAAACACCAACTTTGAAGCCCAACTTTGAAGAACCAGTATGGACAGACTAAATGTTTACTGGCTATAAAACTGTTATCATCTGAAAGCGTAATCTCTATGCTTTTCAATGATACCTTGTCTACATTTCCAGGGTCATGCATCACTGAGCGCCCCTGTCATGAGATTTTGATGCAAAATTGCATTTGGTTCACTTTCATGTCAAACACAATAGGCATGGTGTGCATGAGAATAAGTATTCAAGAAGAAGACACGAGTGCATAAAAAGGAACCAAAAAAACAAGTCGGGTTGGTTTCAAAACTGGATTTTATTGTTTGTCATGAATTTCTCGTTTTGCACCAAGTCACGTTCAAAACAATGTGCCATTTTCCCGAGGATTAACATTAAAGCCATTTCACAGATATTTTCGTAACAATAGGCACACCATGCCCAGTGTTTTTTTTTGTTTATGAAAGTGAACCAACTGCATTTTTGCATCCAGTTTTCAAGACAATGATGCTCACTGATGCATGACTCAGAAAACCTAAACATAGTATCATTGAAAAGCATAGAGATTACGCTTTCAGATGATACCAGTTTTATAGCCAGTAAACATATCGTCTCTCCATACTCATTCTTTGAAGTTGGGTTTCCTTTTTTTTGAAACACCCTGTACACTTTTGTTTTATTCGGGCTGATACAAATGGAAATGTATTGGATCAAGTTTGACTCCTTCAAAAGGGTCACTTTATTGTATTGTGCATGCCCGAAGTTTGTCTAGTTATGTGCAACATGTTACAGGTTCAATACGATCCAACATATTTACCAGGACACATTTGTAGCTGACGGTTATTCTTTGTAAAACATTTGCCTGACTGTTTACTAAAGAATTGGAGTTTTAATACAGGGCCGTGTATTACAATTCTAAATCCTGCAGGGGTAAGATTTTTCAGGATTGTTCCTGATTTCAGCTTTTATTTGTTCAGGATTTTGTTCTGGTTTCAGAAACTTTAGTCATGATTCTTTTTGTTGGTAGGCCTATGAGTTTTCCTGATTTCAGGAGTCTCAGATTTCTTTGTTAGGATTTTATCTGATTTCAGGATTTTTAAAGAATCCCTTTTGAAATCTGGAATTTCTAACAAGTTTTACCGAAAAGGTGTTTTGACCTAGGCCTGTAGAGATATATAGAGCAAAGGAAATTGGTATTTTAGGGGTGCCTTGAGGCAAATTTATACAAACATATACCATACACCCTGCATTGATCTGGGGCCCTCTGTGACCATAGATTTTTCATTTTCTCCCAATGTCACCCATGTTAATATCCCTTTTAAAAATAAACCAAAGGCACTCCAGATGATTATTTTTTGAGATGTAAATAAAATTTGTTATATTTGAAGCCAAAAGTAAAGAAACAGATAATATATTCTGTTTTTCATAAAATGTATATTTGATGAAAACAAACTAACTTTGTACGTTTAAATAGGGTACTCCTACTTCTTGTGTACAACAGTCAATTGGGAGAAATTGCAATAGTTCTTATTCTTCCATAAACTCTATATTTTGATGGAAAACATGTATTCTTTAAAGATATCTTTGAAAACTATGCAACTTACCGTGCAATTTTCTTAGGTACATATGTTATAGGCCTCTTGATAAGATTTCAGTGCTTGTATATAAAAAAGATAACTTTGCTGTTGAAAAATGGTTGTTGACGGATTTTATTATAAAAATTAATTAAAGTCTGCTTGAAAAGGAATTCAGTACAAATTAGTTAACATAACAAAAAAAATTGGCACTGAATTGGTGCATAAAACCTACAGATATTCTAATAGAGTTCAGAGTATTGTATAACATTTCGGCGAACGATTTAGAAGTATTGTATTTCTTAAGTAAATGTAACAAAGCATATTTCACACTGAAGTATTAAGTTGTTTTTTTTAAACTCCACCTTCATACTTAGGGATATTCACCTTCAAAGGAATGACTTTAACCAAATTCTTTTTCATTCTACAGTTGAAATGTAGCCTGATTTAAGAGTAATTAGGTACAAAGACCTAAATTTTACCTTGTCATTTCTAGTCGATACATAGGCCCTACGTAATAAACAACTAGTATAAAGTTTAAAATTGTAGATCAATACAAAAATTGTGTAAAAACTGAAATGTCACACAGTGGTTGACAAATGCTAATGTTATAAACAAGACACTATTAATGTAGTACTGTTGTATGCAATATTTGAACAGTTTGAAGCGTTACTTTATTTTACATGTTAATAAAACTTATTTCATCTCCGAAGTATTTTCTGGTTGTTGTTTGTTTGTTATCTATCTCGGTGTATCAATAAATCCATTCATAAATCACTGTGGTTTTGAATTAAGTTTGCATATGAAGCGCAACATGAATGTTAAAATACACAGCAGAGGCAACTGAAGCATTTCTCAGAAAAAAGAGGAAAATTTTGACTTGAAACTATAGATTGACCCAAGCGATCAAATGAAGTTGATTTGTATTAAGCGTAACTCTAAATATTTGGGACTGCAAATACAACTTTCCAAACTACATTTGCGTTGGAATCTGTTTACAGCTTTAAGCCAATACTTCAACTAAACGGGGTAATTTTCCTCATTTAAAAACTCATACACGTTTTGTTTTGGCTCACTTGGCCCATTGGCCACATGACTTCCAGACATGGATGAGCTCGTGAAATCTGGGATCCACTGATCCAGGAACCTGCTCAATTGAGCAAAAAGAAGAAAACAACTTTTTGTTGTTTTTTGCCCCTTATTAGAGGGCAGTTTTGATGTAACTGTTCACATGCATTAATATTTTACGGCAAGCCAAGTTGGAAGCCTTTCAATGTACCGTGTGATGTGCACCGTTATCGCTTTATCGCTCCAATGCAGAACCAACTCAACCCCACTATTTGATAAAGACGATATGATTGTGTGTGTGTGAGAAATACATCAGACAAAACGTCGTTAGTTTAAAAAATGTGTATTGTTGATGTACCCTAACGTGGCGCGGCCCCCAACGTGGCGCACTTTGATTTTTCGCCTGTAGCGCCTACCTAGAGCAAAAGTTTTAACTGAAATTTCACAGAGAGTGAAATTTCATCAAGTTCTAAACACTCCTGTTCATAAATCGCGAGTTTATTTACCCGTAACAAAGTTATAAGAAAAATTTATTTTGGCGTGATTTTCCGATTTTATTTTCAAGTGCAAAGTGAACCCTTTGAAAATGCCCCGAAAAATAAGAAAATAATTTTCTGACAAACATCTGGCTGGGTATGTAAGTAGAGATAATAATTATTTATCAGAATTTATCAAGTTTACAGAAATTCTTAAATGTTAATCTGGAATTTTCCGAGATTTATTCAAGTGCGCCACGTTAGGGAACACTCCGCCAATTTGTGCCCAATTTCCGGACGCCACCGTTTTTGAATTTCGGATTAAATTTTATGAAACCGAAATTGTTCACAGAGGTTAAATAGCAAGCATTAATAAGGTAAAAGTACTAGTATTACTGCATGAATTTAAGGTTTGTTAACAAAGAGGTTTGGCAACACTATACGAGGAAATTTGGGTAAGCTTCGAAGTGCGCCACGTTAGGGAACACGACTATATAGTTCTTCAAAAATTTAGCCAGAATAATTCCCGGTGAGCACTGCTTTAACTGTTGTTTTCATCACTTATACTTCTTCATCGGTATACTCAGAGTGGGACTGTTTCAGCGCATTATATTTTGATGCGCACAGATGTATTGTTTTAAAATCCTCTATAAATGGTAAAAATAATTGTAGTGCTTATATCGTATCGACAATCTCAAAGCACTTTACAATTATTACCCCGTTCATCAGGCCACTCCACGCAGCAGCCGATTTCAGCGTACACATTCGGTCCTCTACCCTCACAGGTACCCATGTGAGAGAGAGGCAATGTGTGGAGAGAGGCAATTGTCTTACCCAAGGGCACAAACACCATGTTCCTGGCAGGGTTCGAACCCACGTACCATCGTGTACATGCGAGTCGAACACCGTAACCACCGGACCATGGCGTTCTATGACCATAGTCTTTAGTCCGAAGGGTCATTAGTCCAAAGGTTCGTTAGTCCAAAGGTTCAATAGCCCGAAGGTTCGATAGTCCGAAGGGCCCATTAGTCCGAAAATCGAATAAGGTTTATCAATCCGAAGTTTCGATGGTCCGAATAAACGATAGGGTGCGATTATCCGAATCCACAATAAGGTTCGATAGTCCGATTATATAGGGTTCGATAGTCCGAATTGGCAATAAGGTTCGATAGTCCGAATGGGCAATACGGTTCGTCAGTCTGATACTTCGGACTATCGAACCTTATTGTCGATTCGGACTATCGGACCTTATAGTCTTTTCGGACTATCGAACCTTATTGTCGATTCAAAGTAGTGAACCTTCGGACTTTCGTTTCGGACTATTCAACCTTCGGACTACTTAACCTTATTCTAAATTCGGACCACCGAACCTTTGGTTAGGCCTATTACCTTCGGATTATCGGACCTCCGGACTAATGAACCTTCGAACTATCGGGCGGACTCCCGACCAAAGTTAGTGTGAACAAAAATAACACTATTAAAAGTAGGGGAATTGGGACTGTTTGAGGTTTGGCAAGATTCCCTGCTAAAAAATGAAGCTTCGACAATTATTACGACACTGATAAATTGAAACAACAAACATTCACCGCCAAACTCTTTAATAATCCTGCAATAACTGCCTCGGGAAAATATAATAGTGAACCGTATAGTGATTGACAGCACGTAATTACAACCTACAAGTTAATTGCATGTTGGAAATTTTGGTAATTTACCGATCAAAGCATAATGTCAATTAAGAACACTGTGTAGTTTATCGTCTGCAAAAGGGTCTGAGACCGTTGATGGTTTGCAGTGCTCATTCAGAGGTGGGTTGCGTTTCGACAATTATATTGGTCGCCATGAGTCTGCTATGACGCATTTTGCGAGACAGAATTCATGCTGCAGCACGTACACGTCAGTGTCCTTGCCTTAAACGTTTGAA